TATTATATTGTATTTATATTAGGTTAATCATACAAAAATCATGGTTTTATAAATTTTTAGGACGAACAATTATGAAGACATATTTCTATTATTTGCTTAAGCTTTTTGTTTCAAATAAATAATGAAAATAAAACTAGAACTAAAATAAACATAAAAATAGTCAGATCATTAAATTAATTTAAATATACCTGTATCCCTCTAAGTTAAACCTAATTAAGTTAAGCCAAAATCTAAATAAGCCTAAATATTAAGACATTTTCTAATATAAGCCGAATTTTTTGAAAAAAATTATTTTAACTTAGAAGGATAAAGGTACTTATCCATACAAAAAATCCCTTTTAATATTATATATATTAATGTATTAATACTAATAAGTAATATTATAATTTGTACCATTAATAATCTAATATTTATTACATTTGTAATAACTGTATATTTATGATAATAAAAACTACTATTAATCTGGTTTATTTTATAAGCATTTTAACTAAAAAAAGTAATAATATCTATCTTATTAATCAACATTTACTCAAGAAATTTATTAGCGCAAAAAAAAAATAAATGCTTTACCAATTAAATAAATATAAGCAAGAATGAAATTGAGATTAATAATTAATTAAGCAAATTATAAACTATTAAAAAATATTTAAATCTAACTAAATTAGCACCATAAAAATATTAATTTATGTGTAAATTAAATATATAAAAAATAAAGTCTTTCAAAGCTTGAATACAAAATCTTTAAAATTCAAAGTAGCAATTGCTAAAACACTTTAAGCAGTATGTAGCCCAATTGAAAAAACTTCTTTGAACTTTTAATTTCTAGGAAAAAAAAAAATGATAATGTTTTAAAAAATAAAACAAATATTTTTTCTAAAATTCAAAAATTGAATTATTTCGTAAATGTATTTAGCAAAAATTTCTATGTATTTTTACAAATTTATAATTTAATTTTTAAACTTTGCTAATGGTGAAAAATTAAGTAATCATAACTTATTATTAATTCGCTAAGGCAGTAAAGGTAAGCAAATATCAATAATTAAACCAAAATCTAATCAAATAAACCAAGGTTTGATTTTTTATTAAGGTATTTTTATTGTATTACTTACTTATAGTTTTTAAGAAATGTTTGTAACAAATGAATAAATTAAATTAATTTTAATTTTATAGACTCAAAAGTGCTAAATAACTATGGGATAATATACTTATGGTAAGTATCTCTTGAATTCTTCAAATATTCATAAACATCTTAATTAGAATAAAAGACTTTGATTATTTCAATGCCTTTATAAGCCAAAGCTTAACCATCCATACATTCTATAAAATTATTACTTTTCTTATTTGAATAGATAATTAACTAAATGTAATACTCTCTCAATACTTCACACAAATTCAAAAATTGTGCATCTTCGATTATGCTTATTTCATCTGTTGAAAAAATAATAAATTATTAAGTGTATAGACAAGTTTATAATTTTTAGCTAAAGCTTTTATTTTTTTAAGATTAGCATGTAAATTTATTTTAAAGAAGTAAATCATTTATTGCTTTTTAGTTTGATGTATGGAAATATTGGTTTTTTATATTATTTAATTACACGTCATCATTTAATAATTTATTATAAAAGAAATCTTATTAGTATGATATATTGCTAATCGAATTTTTGAAGGTGTCATCACCTTTATTGTTTAAATTTTTTCCACATAAATTTAATCTAGTAACAAACACATCATTAGTTATTCTTTTTCATATTTTATAGATTAATATTTTTACTAAAGCCATTTTAACTTTCATAATAAAATATATCTTCTTTACATTAGTTATAGTTATTATTATTTTTTAAGCTGAAAGTAGTAATATGACTTAAATCTAGATCATTTTAAATAAAACTATAAATATTTTACTGAAATATATTGATTTTATTGAGATTATTAGAAAAATTTTGCTTTTCTTTTTATTTTATATAATAGATAAGGGGATTAAAAAGCCAATCCAATATTTTTCAACTCATAAAATCAGGATTTTTGGATTAATAATAAGACAATTTATAAATTTAAAATTAAGACAAACAAAAAATTATAATCAATAATGTTAAATATAAATAGGATATTTATACTGATTAATATTATCTCTTTATGATTTTAGAAAGACTGAAATATTTTTTGGTTAATATATAACTTTAATAATGTCTTTATGCAAGTGCTAAAAAGTTTAATTTGCTTAGGTTTCAAGAAAATTATTACCTTTTTCTGATGCTTAAATGATAATTACTATATCAAAGTAAAATAAAAATTAAGCTAATTCATCAAAAAGAGAGTCTCTTAAAATACTTATTTTATCAGTGCAATAGATTATATACTTTTAACTTACCTACTTTTTTTATCTAATGCATTCAGTAAAAAACCTAGCATCATTTTACTGAAATTTCAATTTTTAGAGTTTTAAATAACTTAACCTATAGTTTATTTCTTAGCAAAAGAAAAAATTTAAAGCTTTTCTTATAGCCAAATGGAAATTTTAATTTTTATTTTGTATTTAAGTTAATCTTTTATCTTTTTATTATTGTTTTATTTCTTAACAATCAAAGTGCCTTAAATTCTATCTCAAATACTTTGATTATTAATGGGCTTTTTATAAGGTTTAATTTTTTGTATTAAACTTATTTTGAAAGATAAATTTCATATTATTAAGTTATTTATTAGGGTAGCGGCTCTTTAAAGGTTTAATTTAAAATTAAGGAATTTAATCTAAAAATTCATTAGATTGTTGTTTATTTTCGGTTACTTGATTTTAACATAAGCTTTAATTTACAGAACAGCTTTCTAATTTAATATTTTTAAATGATTCAATATAAACAGATTCAGGTAGGTTATTTCCAATTTTTTTAAAGCTAATATTTTATCTTTCTTATAAACTCTATCCATTTTTTTCTAAATCTAAATAGTTTTCATTTTTTTGAAATGTTTTAGATAAATCAATTTCACTAGAGTTACTGCTACTAGTACTAGAATAGTTTGATAAAGATTTTATTTAAAATTTTGATAAGTTATTTCTATTTTCTTGTGTATCTTAATCTGAAAACTCTGAGCTAATATCTAATAAAGAAAATTAATATTGTGTTTTTTAAGTCATATTTATATTTAATTCTTAAATTAAATTCTAGTCTAATTTTTGGATCTATTTTATTTCAGTTAAATTCATATAGGGAGTGAAATAATTGTGCTATGTTTTATCTTAAAATATCACTCCGATTTTATCATTTTGCATATTGGAGTCAGTATCTAAAAGAGATTTAATAATATTAAATTATTCATATTGATTATTTTTATCTTTTTGAATTCCAAAAATTATTCCTACCTTTTGCTAAATTTAAGGATTAAATTTATTACTAATTTTTATTAAATCTTGCGAAAAGATTTTATGTTTTTGAAATATTTGTAATAATTTATTAATTATCTAGAATGGTTGATGACACATAAATGTTTCTTATCCCTCTAAAATTTATGTGAGTATTGTTGCACCAGTGTAATAATCTTATTATTAGATGGCTTATTCAGCTTTAGCAAAATTAATACAAAACTCAAGTTATGAAAAGGAAAGTGACAAATTAGCAAATTCATTTTCTTCATAGTAGTTGTAAAAATTTTAATTAAACTATGTTAAAGTTAATTAATTTTCTTCATTATTTATTATTTTTTTTTCATCTATCTAATTATTACTATATATAGTCTTTAAGCTTGAAGGTACATTTTGAAAAGATTAAAGTTTATTTGTAGAAAAGTTATTTTGATTTTAAATTTAATGCTATCTAATATTTTGTATTGAAGAATTTTTAAGGAAATTATCATAGCTTTAGTCATTTTTAATAATATTTTCTGTAAACCTTTTAGGTTATTTCCTGTCAGGAGAATAGGTAATATATTTTGGTAAAAATGTTAAAGAATTATTAAATTGTTCATTCTCAGGTTCTTTTTATTATTAATTTGTAATTTTAATTTTACTATGAAAAGTTTTACTTCTCTTTTAAAATAAATTTATCTATTCTTAACAAATAATAAAATTTTTATTTTATCTTATATTCTCACTAATTTTACGTTATTGGTTTTACTCAGATTACTAAGTATAGTGACTATTTTTCTTATTTATTTTTCTTTTAAAGCTATTTTAAAATTAAGCATCGCAAAGTTCTTTTTCACAACTATTTAAAATTTCATTTGATTTCTTAAAATTATTTTGTTTAAAGTAGCACTTTGCAATTAATGACTTTAATTCAATTTAATTTTATATTTAATTAGGTAAATACTAAGAGATTTGAATTAATTCATTTAATAACAATTTGATTTCATCCCAAAAATAAAATGATTATGAACTTTCTCTCTTCGTCAATTTATTATCATCAAAATCTTCTTAAAATGCAAGTAAAGCTATCACATAATTTTTTTTTCTATAAAACAAATTTTATAAAAGTTGAATTGATTACTGAGTGAGTTAATAATATTATATTTTTAATTTGTTATTTTAAATTTTACATTTAGTTTTATTTGATAAAATTTATTATTAAAAGCTAAACTAAGTATTCTAATTATTTATATTACTAAGGCGATTTAATTAATTTTATTAAGAATCTATTTCTTTTTAAATATTATTATTTTTAGAAAAGCTTTAATAATGAATTTTATTAAATCCATATCTGAAACTAGAATCTTAGCTGTTTAATTAGTTATTACTTTTTCTTACACTTTCTACTTCTCCTTTTGTTTATTCAGCAAATTCCAATGCAAAAGCAGTAGATTATTAAAATCTTATCAATAATCCTGATTCATTCATAATTTTAGTTGGGCTTTCAATAAGTTTATTACTAAAATTTTTTGATTGTAACGATTCCTTTTTTTCATTTCCATTATTATGATTGATTATTTTCACTTCACATTTTTGGAAGCAGAAATTCTGTAAAACACTCACATCAAATGAATCTTATATGCTTTAACAAAAATTTTATATTTCATATCTAGCAAATAAAATTGATTAAGAAAAGTGTTCCATCGCCTAAAAATAGTGCTACTATGAAATCAAAATACTGCCTATATGATTATGAGTTATTCCTACTGCACTAATATTTTAAAACTTTTTAAAGAATTCTAACTCTCTACTTAATCTAAGAAGAATCAATGTCTCATTCTCACAAAAAAAATTATCAGAAGTATAAACAAGAATTTAAAAAACATGAATAAAGCTTTCATAAAGCTCTTTTGTTTCTTTAGATGAGAAGAAGTCATATGGAGTCAAACTTTTGTCATTAAAAATATTTAAAATATCAATAGATTTATCTTAGTCTATTAAAATTCTTTTTAAAATATTAGTTAAATGGTTGATTGGAAAAGCCAACATTCCATAAATATTTAGCCCATAATACATAGAAATAATAATAAATAATTTAGCTAGGATCAAGTAGATTATAAAAAGATAGATTGTAACTTTTTTTAGAAAGATTTAAATGTTATTTGAATACTAAGTCATTTCTAGATTGCTTATCATATTTATCTATACAAAAGATAAACAAACTTAGAATATTTACTATGATTTATCATCAATTATATTTGAAGAAGGTACTTTAGCAATTACATTTATAGGGTTTAGTATAACTGTATAATCGCTGCCATTTCTTTGGTAAGGTATTATAGTAATATTTTTATAGTATTTAGAAAAATCTATTTATCCTATATAATTAACCTCATCAATCACAAATTTTGAATATAGCTTATGTAATGTATTATTTAAATTTTAAGCATATGATTGATCTTAAAGATACTAGAGTTCTATTTCTTCAAAATTAAGGGCTTATTAATTTACCATTTGATGGCTAGAATCGTAAACAATTGTTTAACTTAATGGCTCTATCATATATAATTATTTTGTTGAATTTACGAAATTTTTAAAATAATAAGATGTATTATTTAAAGGAAATGTAAAGCACATAACATGATTTAAAAGGTTTTCCTAAGATTTTTAATCGTAATAAAGTAATTTTTAACAAAGATTTTGAGATAATCCTCCAAGATAAAGAAAATCAGGTTTATTTTAGCTTAATGATTTATATTTTAAAGCATTTTAATACCAAAATCTACATCTTGGATCATAACCAAATAAACCAGGACCACAATTTTCATTAGAGGTATTACCTTCAATAGAATATTTATTTTATTGAGATATAAAAATACCTTATTCTTACATCCCGAATATTGTATCTTAAAATTAAAGTTTCCTAATACCCTCAGATACAAATTAATTCTCATAATCAATAGCCCTTATTAAAGGATTTATTTATTAAAAGGTATATAAAACAGCTTTTCCTTACTCATCCAATTTACTTAATTTTGTAAAATTTTTATGGTACCTAAATTTTAAATATTAAATTTATATTAAAAATTATTTACTATATTAAAAAGATTATTGATATAGTCCTTTATTTTTAATTTAAAAATATTTTATAAATTATTGATTTTAATAGTAAAATAATAATTCATTAGTTTGTAAAAATATTTTTTTAATTTATAAAGTTTTATTTATTTAGATAATAAATAATTCTTATTTTATTTTTGAATGAGAGTTGTACTATAAAATTAATATTATATTTTTTGTAAAAAAATAAAAAAAATTAATAAATGAATTATTACCAAGAAGTTATTGAGAATGGATTGTTTTACAATGTGTTTGAAACAGATGTGTTATTTTAGCTATAAAGCAATGTAATAAGATTAATATAGCTGCTATGATGATTAGGATTTATTTTAACTTTTCCTTCAATCACTTTTGAATAAAAATTATTTATTATGTATAAATAGGAAGACATTCTTTATATCTAGTTGGATATCTAGTAAGAAATAGTACTAGTAAATTATTTGCTAAAATCAATCTATTGCTGAAACATTTTATCACTTAAATTTTAAACGATGACCTTAATAAAGTAGAGTGCTAGAAATTAACTTAAGTATGCGCAAAAAAAGATTGTTAATATTGGTAAACATATCATCAAGATAATTTTCAATTTCAAACTCATAATTTTGTAATCTTTTTTAATTTAATAGTGTTTATTTTTAGATTTAATTTGGTTAATTTCTTTATAATTTTCTTGCTATTTTCCTTTTTACTAAAAATATTAATTTTAATTTAGGATTTTGATAGGTAATCATATTTTTAAATTTTGCTTGAATCAAATAATTTCTTTGAATAAATAGAATAAAAATTAATGGATTGATTGTCATTATAGATTAATTAAAATGTAATTTAAGTAAATCAGAAAAAATGTATTTTTTCAGGCAGAATTATTGATTAGCCGATATTAATTAAATTTAACTTAAAAATACAAATTAGAAAATATCACCAAAAACTTCATAAAATAAATAATTCTTATATAAAAATTTCCATAAAAATGAGTAACAAATTTCATTAATTTTAAAAAGGCAAATTAAAAGATTACTTACATTACAGATAATTACTTTTTTGTATTTATATTAGATTAATCATATAAAAATCATGGTTTAATCAATTTTTAGGACAACTAATTATGTAGCAAAATTTCGATTATTTGCTTAAGCTTTTTGTTTCAAATAAAACTAGAACAAAAAAAAAAAAAAATAATCAGATCATTAAATTAATTTAAATATACTTATCCATACAAAAAGTCCCTTTTAATATTGTATATATATTAATGTATTAATAATAATAAGTAATGTTATAATTTGTATGATTAACAATCTAATATTTATTTACATTTGTTAAAACAGTATATTCATGATAGCAAAAACTACTTTTAATTTGGTATATATTCTTTATTTTATAAGCTTTTTAACTAAAAATAGTTTTTATTTCTTATTAATCAACATTTACTCAAAAAATTTATGAGCATAAAAAAACAAATAAGTGTTTTACTAATTAACTAAATATTAGCAAGAACTAAAATTGGATTATAAAAATTAATTAAGCAAATTGTGAGCTATTAAAAAATATTTAAATCTAACTAAATTAGCACATTAAAAATATTAATTTAAGTGTAAATTAAAAATATAAAAAATTAAAGTCTTTCAAAGCTCGAAAGCAAAATCTTTAAAATTTAAAGGTGTAATCTCTAGAAACACTTTAAGCAGTATGTAGTATTTTAAAAAATTTTTAAATGCCAACACTTTGTAGAACTTTTAATTTAAAGTAAAAAAAAAAATGATAATGTGTTAAAAAATGAAACAAATATTTTTTCTAAAATTCAAAAGTTGCTAATTTCATAAACAAATTTAAGTATAATTTCTTGTATTTATAAAAATTTATTATTTAATTTTTTAACCTTACTAATGGCGAGAAAAATTAAGAAATTATAACTTATTATTAATTCGCTAAGGCAGTAAAAGAAAGATAATCAAATATCAATAATTAAAATAAAATCTATTCAAATAAACCAAGGTTTGATTTTTTATTAAAGTATTTGTATTGTAGTACTGATAGTTTTTAAGAAATTATTTTACAAAAGAATAAATTAAATTAATTTTTATTTTACAGCCTCAAAAGTGTTAAATAACTATAGGATATATATACTTATGGTAAGTATCTCTTGAATTCTTCAAATAGTCATAAACATCTTAATTAGAATAAAAGACTTTGATTATTTCAATGCCTTTATAAGCCAAAGCTTAACCATCCATACATTCTATAAAATTATTACTTTTCTTATTTGAATAGATAATTAACTAAATGTAATACTCTCTCAATACTTCACACAAATTCAAAAATTGTGCATCTTCGATTATGCTTATTTCATCTGTTGAAAAAATAATAAATTATTATGTGTATAGACAAGTTTATAATTTTTAGCTAAAGCTTTTATTTTTTTAAGATTAGCATGTAAATTTATTTTAAAGAAGTAAATCACTGATTGCTTTTTTGATTGATGTATGGAAATATTGGTTTTTTATATTATTTAATTACACATCATCGTTTACAGATTTTTTTGAAAAGCAATCTTATGAGTTTGATATATTGCTAATCGAATTTTCAAAAGTGTCATCACCTTTATTGTTTAAAATTTTTCCACTTAAATTTAATCTAGTAACACATTTTTAGTTATTCTTTTTCATATTTGATAAATTAATATTTTTACTAAAGCCATTTTAATTTTCTTAATAAAATTTATCTTCTTTGCATTAATTATAGTTATTATTATTTTTTAAGTTGAAAGTATTAATATGACTTAATTCTAAATCGTTTTAAATAAAATTATTAATATATTACTGAAATATATTGATTTTATTGAGATTATTAGAAAAATTTTACTTTTCTTTTTATTGCTAATATACACCTTCTAAATTAGTACTGCTATTGTTTTATTTTTAACTTGTATCTTATCCTTACTACTTTTATTATTTTTATTTATAGTTTTACTGATTACTTATTTAAAACGATTATTTTTATTACTAATTAAGAACAGTTTCGTTATTTGTTGACTTTTAAATTGTGTTAATGGAATATTTTTTTTATGTATTTTGAACTACTTGCTCAATAGCTTAAAATATTAATTCTTTTGATGAATGCTATCTTGTCAATATTTCTATAATATCTTAAACAATATATTTTATTAAACTTTTTATTTTACTGATTTTTATCAATGATAAATAAGTAGTGATTGTTTTCATTTCTCTATCTGAAAATAATATTTAAATTTAATCTTTCTCATTTGTAAGAGTGGTATTTATTAAATTGCTTAAAAGCTAAGTGGTTTCTAAAATTTATTTAATTTCAAGAGGCTAGCAATATATCATGACTATTTGAGTTGTGATGTTAGGATTGAATTTACAATAAAATTAATTAAACTCTTCGTTGTTGATTTTTAATTTATCCAAAACCTACTTCATTAAGAAGGTGATCTTGTAGCGTATTTAAGACATAAAATTCTACTTTGTTTCAAAAAGATCTACCAAAATTAACCCTGATTCTAAAAATCTTTTTTCAGAAAAGAGAAACTCAGCTTTACAGTAATTAAACATGCAATCTATATTTTCGAGAGAGGTAAATTTTTCAATTTAAGTATTATCTTAATAATCTTTTTCATATTTTCTTAAAATTGTAAACAGCTATTCAATATTATTCTCATTTATGACTATACTGCTTTATTTAATTTATTATTTAAATAGTATAGATTATTTTGACTCTTTTTTCTTATTGTTAGATATATTTTATGCATCTACTTGCTTTGAATTATAACTTTGAGGATATTGTGTTGTGCTATTAAATGAAAATCTTTATTGCAGATACATATTAAATTTATTTTAAATTAAATTTTAATTACTGAATTTATTTAACTTTTTTACATTTACAAAATATTTAAATCTATTTTGGTTTTAATCTATATCCTTTTCTAATTCATCAGAATTCCAAAGCGATAAATCACTAGTATCACCTTCTAATAAATCAAGCTTTTTTGATTTCCTTCTTTATTATTTTAGTTTTGAAGGCGAGTTGCTGCAATCAAATTGATTTAAATTACTTGTTGAATGATTCAAGCTAAAAATTTGATTTTTAGAATAAGGAATCTAAACTTTACTTGAAAGTGAAATTAGGCTATTTTAATCATCAGAAAATATTAGCTACAAAGGAGTGTTTGAAATATTTTTTGATTTTATATTAGATAATTCTATTATTGTAGATTTCTTTCTTGTATTTAAATAGTCATAATCTATAGTTTACCTACTTTAATTTTTTTAAGCAAAAGATGGCAGATTTATTTCTGGTTTGTAATAAGTTGATTCTTGATAATTTGATAATCTTTTTTGTTTTTTTTAATATATACTTCTTTCTTGCATTCTATACTTCAAAATATCGTTTTCGCATCCTATAAGAATTGAATTTGCTTTTTTGTAGTTTTAAAGATAATATTAGCATTTTGCTGTAAGAGCATTCATCACTATTTTATTTTTTGCAAAAAGCTAAGAAATTTATGGCAGATTAATTAATTCTTTCATTAAAATCTTTATTTCTTTCCAAAAGTTATACTTTAGACAATATTTTTCAGTTTATTATTAATTCTCTTAAAACTAAAGAAGAGCATAAATATAATTCTTTTTTCTTTGATAGAGAGACTATAACATCTTATCAACATACTCAAAATGTTCATCAGCTTTATTGTTATTTATATTATTATTACTTGTATAATATTTTGAATCAATTTCATCATTCTAATTCATTTTGCTTTTCAAATGTGGCTATTTATCTAATCTTTAAAAAGGTGAAGTTGATGGAGATTTGGTAACTATTTAGCTGTAATTTCCTTCATTTTCATACTTTCCACAACTTATTAAATTTAATTTGTTTTGGTTTGTGGTGATTTTAATATCATCTTATATTTATCTCTTTTCCTTTAAAGATGATGTAATCAGGATTCCTTATTAATTTTAACTTGTTTCCTATTTATTTAAATCAAAAATTTAGTAAGCAAAATGTGCAAATCAAATCATATCAAATTAAATTTACTTTTTATTTATCTTGAAAGTTGCTCTTTTGAATTTGAGTTGAAACTTAAGAATTGAAAGAAACCTGTTCTAGGATTTAAGCATATTAAGAAGATGGATTTTGCCTTAAAAATTATTAAATTTCATATTTTGCATATATTATAGACTATTAAAACGACTCTAAAGATTGCATATAGAGTTCTTATGAAAGCAATATATATCCAATATTATTATAAGCTATTCCAACAGCGTTTAGATTTTCAAATTTTTTAAAAAACTCAATATTTCGTGTTAGTTTTAAAAGAATTTCACTTGAATTTTGCTCAAAAAAATTTTCTGAAGTTTAAAGTAGAAACAGATGTATTTATTTTAGACTATCATATAATTCACTGATTTCCTTTGAAAGAAATACATTTGTACTTTCAAAGTTGAATATATCCCATTTTTGATCAACTTAACTCATATTTATCAACAAAGTAATAAGTTGTTCAATAGAAAAATGTATCATATTTTAAATTTTAGTTAAATAAATCACAGTTATAAAGAATGAAATAACGCAAAATATTCCAATCGATATATTAAGGTAAAGAAAATATCTATTGAAAAAATCCTAGAATTTGTTCGCTTACTCTTAATAAATTTAATCACTCAAAAAATTTATTTGTAGATAAGGAACCTATATTTAAAATTGTTTTCCATTAAATTTACTATCTTGCATATATTTGGGTGCTTTGTCATAGATTATTATTGGATTAATTACTACTTTTATTTTTTCACCATTTCTATTAATTTCAAAAAGAGCTTAGTTGTTTTTGATGTGTTGTTGTTTATCATTAGCAATAAAATCTAATTATGTAAATTGATACTTTTAGTATATGCTGTGAATTTATTTGATTAAAAATTCTAAGTCTTCTTTTGATTAGTGTTTTTATTCTACCTCTGGCAAATATTAAACCTCTTTATTATTTGTTGTCGCATTCTACGAATTAAAAATAATAGACTAAGTTTTAGAGTCAATATAATAAACATTTGATGTAATGTTGTTTATATTGTTAAAATATGTATTTAGATCAGAAAGCAAAGTGTTCATGCAAAGAATACTAAATAAATCAATTTAATTTGTAGTTTGATTGAATGTTTTTATCCTTTAGCATTAAGAAGATTCCATTTAAGGATTATTAGAAGAATAAATTATACTTGGTTTGTTAAATTAAACTGATTACTGATTTTAAGTATCTATATACCAAAATCTACACCTAGGATCATATGGATAAACACCTTATTCACAATTTTAATCTTTGGGATATTGAGAAAGCGTTGAATTAACTCCACCTTACAATAAAATACCTTAATAATTAAACCCTTAAAAATAATCTGTAATTTTTATTTTTCTGTTGTAATTAGAATTCTTTAACTAAGATTCAAGTTTAATAGGTCTTAAAAGTATTTCTTAAAATGACGAGTTATATAATAAAATTTGTCCATAATTGCTTAACTCCTAAATATCTGTAAAATTTTTGTGATACCTATTAAATTATAAATTTATACTAATTAATATTTAAAATATTGAAGATTTCCTTTGTTTTTGAGCAGATAGTTTTTTATTTATTTAGATTACATTAAGTTTTAGTGTGAATTTATATAATCTATGGGAATTTAGTAAATTATGATTTGTAATGATTTAGAATCTTCATTATATTAAATTTATCTATCATCAAAGAAATCCAAAAATTAATTCAATTTTTATTAAATGTTAATATTTACCAAGTGTTGATCCACAAAGGATTCTTCTTAAATAGAGAGATTATATCTTAATTGCTAGAATCATTTTTAAAGAGTTTTTCTGTGTTAATAAGAGTTTTTATTGATTTATTTTCAAGTGTTATTTAACCATTTATCAGTCGAAAAAAATAGTTGTTTACTAAATTTAAGTAATATGGAAATTTTTACATTTCTTGTTGAATTTAAAAAGTTATGATCTGCATGATTGACATATTATTATTCACTTCTTACTCAAACATTTACTTTTTTTGACTATTAATAAATTGCCTTGCATATATTAATGCTACATATTAACTTAGAATTGCTACTATCAAGATTGATATGATTGGAAAGCCTATAACAATTATTATTCTATTTTTGCTAGTCATATTAATCTTTTTCTTTTTCTTTTAAATTCCAAACAAATTTTTACACAATTTTTAGACTATAATTCTTATCATAAAATTTTAATTGAGAAACAAATTAATTTATTTACTTGAGAGTAAATATCTTCTTTCCTTTTTTTCTAATAATAGAAAGAAAATCAAAACGCAAATTAGTTTTATATCATCAAAAATGAAAAAATAATTTTAAATTAAATAATATTGATATACCTTATTCCATAAATAATTTTTATATTTTATTTAATTTTAATTTTTTTTCACCAAAAAAAAATTTTCATATACTTTAAAAAAATATAAATATTGTTTTAAGATAAATAAAAAATAAATTACACTAATTTAGAAATGTTTAACATTAAATATTGATAAAAAAATTTACAAAATACTTAATTATCATAAGATAAGAATTAAAATGCAATTAAGATAAACAAATTTTTTTTTTTAAATAAAAAATTGTTACTTTTTTAAAATCTGTAACATAATTTATTTTTCAGTTAAGTTAATAAAATGGAAGAATAATAATGCAAAATAAATTATAAATTTAAATTGCATTCAAAAGTGCTAAATAATTGTTGGGTATATAAATGGATTTATTTTATCTCTAAAATTTTTTAAGTATTAAATAACTTATTCTTGTTTGTAGAATACTTTTATTAATTATTTATTACTTTTTAAATAGGATTATTGAGGCTAAAGTTCTAAAAAATTTTATCCTTTTTAAGAAGAATAAATGATTATTGTTATTTTGTACTTCAGTAAAAATAGGCATAATTATTCAAATAAATAATTTTTCCTAATTTAAACTTCATCAGTACAATAAATTATAAATTTTTGTTAGGTAAAATTTTAATTTTCTTCTAAATCATGTAATAATTTAGAGCTGCTAAATTGTTTATTTAGGTTCTAAGAAGATATATTTTTTTAATACTTTTAGACGATATCTTTTTCATAAAATTCCTTAAGAGCCATCCTTATTGACATGTAAAACTAATGATTTCTATCCAAATTATTTAAATAATGAGCTTCTACCTCAAAGCTATCTTAACTCACTTAGTTATTTTCTGCTTTAACAGATTAATTTAACATTGATAAGTTTTAAACAGTAATAGTATCGAAATTTGAACAGGGCAATTAGTTATTTGATGTATTTTAAATTTTTGATAAGAACTCATTGGTAATTTTCTTGTGGATTTAAATAGTGTGTCTCCTTTGACTCTTATTAGAAAGTTAGCTGTCAGCCCTATTTAAATTTGTTTAAGAAACTTATAAATGAGGACTTAAATAAGTACTTTCTAGATCAGAACATTTTTTTTGTTAAGTATTATAATAATCTATTTTTATATTTAATTTATTAAAATTAAATAAAAATGATAAATTTTGTTAAAAATTTACTTATGTTAATATCAGAAAATGAATTTATGTTTAAGTTACTTTTTTCATAATATATTTTTGTAATATTATTAGATTCATTATCCACCTGATTCTTAAGTTATTCATCAAAATTTTCACTCAATTTATTCATATACTCTTCTTAGTCAAAAGCAAAAGAATATGGAGTCTAAACTTAATCATCAATACTATGAGATTTATTACTTTCTGTAGCAATATTATATTACTTATTACGGTTATTTAGTACATTTAATTCGTTACAAATCTATATGAGTTTTGTGTAGTCTTTTTTTTAAGTAGTAAATCTAAATATGTCTCCTATAATTTTATTTATCATTTGTTTTACAGTTTTTAATCTTGTATATGCCATATATTAGTTAAACTGAATATCTTGAATTTCAATTAAAAATATACCTAACTAGTCATTATCACTATTTAAGATTTTACCTATAATGTCACTAGTAAGTTTGGCAGAATTAAATACATGCTCTGAATTAAGTCCACAAGCAAAGACAACTCCTATCTGAAAGTATATTTATGGATTGAACTTTTAGAACATCAAATCAAATTCTTTAGATTTTATATTTGCTTGATTAAATATGTGGTTTAATTTATTTAGAATCAAATATGGATAGTTTGAAATAATAAAATTGCTCTCTTCAAGAATTTACACTAAAATTTAAGCAGCCTTCTTGGTTTCATAAAAATTTAAATGATATTCTGCTTAAACAAACTGAGTAACAATTGATAAATTCTTAGCCGAATAGTAGTTGAAAATTTAATATTGATTTTCTAATTTTTTGAGTTTTTTTCTAATTTTTTAAAACTTTTCTTCAAAATTTTCAAGAGCATTTTCATTTTTATTTTAAGAAAAATCAAATTCTTATTTATCCCTTAATTTTGACTTTTTTTTTAGTTTATTTAAAGTTAAAATTATTTTACTCTTTTATATAAATTTAGATTTGATTTTGTTTTAAGATTATTTAACATTTATATAACTGTTTACTGTTTAATTTAGGCTATTAATAAAATTGTTTTGGGATATTTGATTGCTATTTTAATCCTTCATAAACTCTATCGGTTAAAAATTGTTAAATTTTGTTTAATCATTTTAGTTGAAAGACCCTTAATTACAGTCAAAATATTTGTGCTTTGGGCTATTATTTTCATCTTGTTTAGTCATTTAAATACTTTATACCAAATTAATCGCTGAAAAATCCATTTCGATATCTTAAATTTTCTATACGTTTCGATTAGGGATTTATATTTATTTCGCTTAAGTATCATAATTTTTAAGTATTTATTAGGATTAATCTAAAGAAAAATTTTATTCACCTGTTAAATTTTTTTCATTTTATACAATGCCATTTAACAAAAAAGAATATTTTCTAGATTTTCTTTTCCCAATATTAGTTTTATCATCATTAAGAGAAATATTAATATTTTGATTTTAGCTTAATCTTTTACTTTTTAATAGTAAATCTGGATTATTATTAGAGGAAATTTAAGGTAAAATTGATTGACTAATTGATAATTACTTATATTTCTAGTACTATCCCTTCAGTAATTATAGATACTCTTCGCATAACTGAATAATATACTTTGATTTTTCTTTTTTGTTTAATTGCATTTGACACTTTGATATTAGTAAAAATATTTCAAGTTGTTAATAACTTTTTAATGGTAAATTTTTTGATATAAACAAAAGCTCTTTAAGTAATTTCTTAATTTCTAACCAGAAATTGTGTAAATAAGGCTAATTTTAAGATTTTTCTTTATCTATAAATTCTTAATAGCATATCATCGCTATTGCAAAATTTCTTTTTCTATAAAATAAATTTTAAACTAATTCAATTGCTTATTAAGAAAAGCTAACTAGTTCAGGTTTTTTATAATTATTTTAATTAGATTTTTTTTGTAAATTTTAAATATTTTCAAGTAAAAAATGTATAGTAGAAGTTTTAGTCATACTTTAGTTTTTTGAAAATTCTTCTATCTTAATGCTCATGCTTTGAATTTCTTGGTTCGTACTTTTCATATGTACTGTAGATTTTAGCTTATCCTTAGTGCTTGCATTCTATATGGTATTAAAAAAAATTTATTTAAAGCCAACTTTTACAACAAAAAATAAAAAATTTAAAACCTTTAGTTTCTTAAATTAATTCTAAAGTTAATCAAATTAATATGTGAATTCTAAGAGTAATTCATTAGTTTTTGAGTAAGGATCTTCATTGCAAAATTCTTAAATACAATACTTTGCAATTACAATAGCTTCAGAGTACTATTTTAAGGCTTTTAAGTAAAAACCTTAATTCAATAAAATAGAAGCCATATTATTACAAATAATTCCAAGAGCATGATAATTTTTAAAGAATTTGAAAAATTATTAGCTTTATGATAGATTCAATAATACTTCTGTCTAATCTTTGACATAATATTCGTTTGACATGCTAATCAGAGAAAAATAAATTTCTTTTACACTCTGATACAATTCTTGTGTTTCTTTCGACAAAAAGTAATCTTCAATATCAATTTCAAATATCTTTTTAGTAAATTTTGAGCAATTCATTTCCTCTAGTATATCAATTATTTGCTATAAAGATGTGTTAAATAAAAGTATTATTTTATTTGAGTAAAAAATAATGAGTGCTATAATAAAAATTCCACTCATAATTAGTATTATATTCACTATAGTAAAATAAGTGTTGAATGATTTATTTAGTATATCAAAAATTTCGATATTATTTTAATTTGATATTATATTAATTTAGAGTAAAGGAATTTGAATTTTATATTCTGTATTGTTTATTTTATTTATTTCATTCACATATGAAGGCATCTTATCAATAAAGTATATAGGGCTAATAATAAGTTAAGATTATGATCCGTTTCTTTAATATGGAAATGTAATTAATAAAGATTAAATTCTATCAATAGCTTCTTTGGAAGTGTTATTGATTATTTCATAACTGTATTAATGAAAATTGCTAAAAATTTATTCTTGAATTTTTATTGAATCTTATTCAGACTATAAGTATTTGAGTTCACAACTTGATAGAGTTTATTAATGTGTTGAAGAATTGCACTGTTATTTGTTATAGTCATAGTAAATTATTTAACTTTGAGGATCTATAAAATAGATTTACTGTGTAGCATTTCCAAAATTCTAAAAATAATTTTATATATATTCAAGAGAGAATTGATATCCCAACAAACTAATTAAATTTTCTTTATTGAGTGTATTTTTTGAAAATAATGGCTAGTTCATAGTAAATTCATTTGTAGTATTTTAATCTAATAGCTTTTAGTTTGTAATTTATATGAAGTTTTACAAAATTCCTTCTTTAAACCATGCTGTGCATCTTGCATCAAACTAATATAATCCTTGATAGCAATTTTTTAAAGGAGGAATATTTCTAAATGTTGTGTTTTTTCCATTTAAAAATAATAATCCTTACTCTTAAAATGTTAAATAATAATAGTTAGGAAATAAAACCCTTTTGCTAGAATAATATGATTTTTCTTCTGTATAATCAAAGACTCTTTAAAGAATGCTTAAACATGAAAATGAGTCTACAATTTGCTAAGCTTTATAATCTAACTTATGTAAATCTGTAATATTTTAATGATACCTTTAATTAAAAATAATAAGGTAAAAAACAAAAGGATATATAATAAAAAAATTGATATATATTAGTCTATTAAAAATTATTAATAAAATTAGCTAAAGTAGAGGTTTTTATTTTTATATTACCATGCATTAATCATGTTTTTTTTAAACTATTTTTCTATTTCTGGTTATTCTTTATTTTCATAGAGTAATTCTAAATGCGCCATACTTTTAGAATTGTTTTTTTAGACTATAACCTTGCCATTAATTGTATTTGCTAAAAATTCATTTTAAATTCTAATTATTATTGCAAATTTTTGCAGCTAATTGCTTAATTGCAGCGATATTAATGATGTAAATTATTAGCTAAACTATATTTGAGTTTAAAACATATTATCTTATATGTATTAATTAATTTATTTTGCTTAGATTAAAGCATAATATTAACTTAAGATAGCTATATTTATTATGAATACTATAGGAATAATTATTAATATCTTTTTTTTGCTAAAAAAAGCGAGTAGTTGTTTCGCATTCATTTAATTCTATTAAGACCTATTAATATTAAGAATATTATTTAATCATAATTTAATTATATATTTGTTTAGATTTTAATAAGGGAACTATATATTATAATATCAATAATTATATTGATTTTATTTCTAATTTTGTATGATCATCATACTTGTAAATATATGCTAATAGCTTAATATTTTTTTTAAACAATAATTATTATTTTAATAATTCTTAATAAAAAAGTTTTAAATTTATAGTTACTTTCTAAATAAATAAAAAACAAATAATAAAATACACTGCAGTATAACATAACATAATATATTTTATTTGAAATTGATTATTTTCAGTAAAATGAAAAGTTATTTTAAATAAAATTTTTAATTTATATTTCAAATCAAAAATGCTATATTATGGTAGGATATTAACAACAAGGGAAATAATTTCTATTATTTTTCAAATAATTAATAATCTATTCAGAATGATAAAAGACACGTATTATTTATTTTTATTTATATTCATAAATTTATTCAGGAAGCTATTCAATAAAGTTATTTCCTTACTAAATAGAAAAGATTATCAGCTGAATATTCATGTTGTAAAGAAGATTGCATAATTAATAAAATAATTTATTATCAGCTACTTCTACTTTATCAGTTGAATATAATATAAATTTTTTGTGGTTTTCAATTTTCATTGTCTTAGTACTTGAAATTTTATTTATTGAAATTCGATAAGCTATTTAATCTAAAAATACATTTATAATTGCTTTTCTTATGCTTAAATGAAATGCTTCGTTTCTAATGCATTTTTTATTAAATATTCTCTTTTCTTTCGTTTTTATTATGCTGTTAAACATTTTATCCCTCTATTCAATACTTTCAGTCTTAGAAGATTAATTTTAGTTTTCTTAAAAATATTACTCATAACTACTTTTGTAATTATTAGAATTTATGAATTTATACTAGCCTTTTATTTAGATACTTTCTAACAAATAATCTAAGCTTTTGCATTAATCTTCAGACTATTCTTTTGCGAGACTAGTATTTTACGATTCCTAAATATAATTGACTATTTGATTGTTAAACTAATAAAATGATTCTTATTCTTTTTAATAAGTGTGTATTTATGTTTAAGTAAATCCTTCTTTAAAATAGTTTTGGGATTGAACTGTGGGATAAATTTTATTTTCAAAATGAATTTAATCATCGCTGCCAATTGAAAAGTCTAAAAAATTGCAAAAACTTTCTTATTTTTAGTTTATTATGGCCTCTTAAAGATTATTAACTATATTTACCATATTTTATTTTATAACAGAAGCATTTGTTAGTGTAAAATTTAAGTCAATTAAGTTATCAAATTAGTTTTAGTGTAGTAATCCTATTTTATCATGTTTATTAATTAGAACACTACTCACTAGATTACTCAATAATTCGATAGATTTTACTACTGAGAGAGGATTCTAATTGCATGCAAATATAATCCCAATATGGTAAGTTTTTTAATTGTTGAACTATGAATAAATTTAATCTAATTATTCTGATACAATTTTACATTTATCAAACATATTTTTGATATAGTTTACTATTTTCTAAGGAAAGTGAGACATAAATTTTTGTTTTTGCTCAAGCAAAGAGCTTAAAATTGAAGCAGATTCATAATAATTGCTTTGCATCATTAATATTTCTGCTTCTGTGATTTTGATGATTGTATCTAAAGTTTCAGAAGAAAGATAATTCATAAAGAGGTATTCATCTTAGATTTCATTTTAAATTCTTCTTTTATTTATAAAAAATGACTCTAAGCCTTTCTCCCCTTGATTATTTTATTGAATAAATTAAGATAATCTATTTTTTCTTAAACTAGTTTCTTGAATAGAACTTATCCTTTATCTATAGCAATTAGATAAATCAAGAATTTAATCAATTTAAATTCTAGTTTGTTCTTAGCTAATGCAAAGAGAATTATCAACTATTTTTTATTCACATCTTTTCTCTTGCTTTGAATTATTTTGTTTTTTTAGAAATAGAGGTTAGCTAGTTCTACTTAAAACTTCATTTGACTATTTCTTTTTATCTTGATAAATTAAGTTGTTTGATTGATTATTTTAACTTTAAATATTTGTAAAGTTACATAAGAAATCTTCACCTGCTTCATTCAAATAAATTTTTTTTCTTTAATTGCTGACTTATAACTTAAAATTTTTTTGATTATTAAATGAGCAATCAAACTTTTATTATTGAATTTAGGAAATATTTGATTAATATGAATAGCTAGATAATCTATTCTACTATATTGATATTGATTCAAGCTATAGCAATAAGGATTTTGAAAATGAAAGTATCTGCTATGATTTTTTAAAATTTTTAAGTTTATAATAACACTTACAAAGATGTGTTAGAAGCTTAATTTCTTAATATTCTCCATAAGGCAATTATCTTGCAACTTTAATTAGCTCTTTAAATAACATTTTTATTTCATACCAAAAGTTATGATTAAAATTTTCTTCTTTATGATTTTTTTATTCTTAATTTTTATCACAATATTCTTAAAATGACTAAAGAGCTATTATGTAATTTCTTTAACGATAAAATAAAGTAGTCAATAATTCCATTCTTTCATAATAAAATTCTTCCTTTTAAATAATTTTTTATTGCTATTTTATTTCATGAAAATTTTGAGGCTATTAAGATAATTAGGCAGATTGGTTAATTTAATAAAACTAAGACATATTATTTCTAAAAGAATAATCTTCTAAAAGCTTTGAGCTAATTGAATTAGGATACTTTTCTATGAAATTTTAAATTGAATATTTGGCATATATAATTGATTTTTAAAAATTTTCAAGTGCTTCAAAATAATGTCCCTATTTAAGTAATATATTGCCAATGTTATTGCAAGTTATGCCAGCAGCATAATTATTTCCCAATTAGCTAAAATAGTCAATTTAATTACTTAGTCTAATTAAGTTTTCAGCTTCATTTTCTTTAAAGTAGTTTTCTGAAATATAAATGAGGATTGAGCAAATCTAAAGCACACTTTAGTAAAGATCTTTTGTTTCTAAAGAAAAAAAAGCTTCACTCTCTTTCAGATCTGTCATTTATTTAAAATCAAATTCTTAGTCATTAATTAATTTGAGTAGCTATATTAGCAGATTAATAGAAAAAAGAAACATCTTCTTAATAGAATTCTAGTAAAAAACAAACAAAATAATAGAAACCATAAGTGCTAAGCATGAAAATATAAGAGAATATTATTAATTTTTAAAAATTAAATTGCTCAATTAATCTTGCAAGTTTAGCAAATTTTAATTTCTAAAAATATAAATTTCTAAAAATTAAGATTGTCCATTATTGTTTTAATTAATTACTAATTTATTTTAAGAAAAAATTGGCTAAATAATTAGCATTTAACCATTAATTTATTTAATAAATTTGTAATTAAAATATTTAAAACTATTGTCTTAATTTATTAACTTTTAAATATCTAAGGAATAGTTTGAAGTAAAACTAAAATAATCAAAATTCGTCCTATTATTTGGAGTTTATGAGTTATAAACAATTTCTTAATTTTGAGGATCTAAAATAAGTAATTAATAATTAGCTGACCAAAATTAATTGAAATAATTTATAATGAATGTTTATTCAATAAAAGAGCATGTTATTATTTAATCATTATAGTTTATATTTTGACAAAAGTAGAATCCTTAAAATTGAGTATTATTTGTTTCTATAATCAAATTTTAAGGAATAATAATAGTTTCATTTAGAAATGTTATATTTTAATTTTGTAAGATTTTTAAAGTATTTTAAAAAGTTTTTTATGTGAAGGGAGTGATACTTATTATTGTTGAATTATTACAATTAGCATACACTAATCTTTCTTTAAAATAAATTACTAAAATATTGCTAGGATTTACATAAGAATTATTATTACCTGAGCTACTTATTGATTTAATTAGTGGCGCTAAAGTATATAATTCCTAAAAAATCTGATCATGAAGCTATATCTCTTGTTAATCATTCTCATTAAATGTTTAATATCTATTATATTAAATTTAAAATATATAATTAAAATTAAAATATTTTACTATAATTTAAAATTTTTTATAGATTCTTTCTTTCTATACTTTATAAAAAAATTAAGTAGAACTAAATTATTACAAACAATTCAAAAGAAAAGGTTTAAGTTAAAGACAATTTTAATACTCATAGCCTTCATTTACAGTGCATAAATAATTTGTTTTGTTTTGCTTTAGGAATTTAACTTAGTTTGTTTTAATATAGCCATTTAAGATATTCCTTTAAAATTTTGTTATCAGCTAAGTATTAACTATAATGTTCTCAACTAAATATACAACCTATTAATTGAATATATCAATCTTAAATTTTTTCGACTGAAATTCTTAAATTTAGAGCTGATCTTACAGAATTTATATCTGCTCATTTACATTTACTATCATTAAATACTAACAAGTGCTAATCCAAAAAAATATGCTCAGTATTTGAACCAATCCTACAATTAATAATCTATATTAAATGACCATCTATATATCTATACACTATTAATTTATGTTACTTTTTTATTCGTTTAAATGTTTAATAAATTATTAAATTAAATCAAATCACTTTTTAAAAAAATATAAAGTAAAATATTCATAGATGAGGTAGTAAATTATAAAGAAAATTTAATTAAATAAATTTTTTTAAGCAATAAGTAAATAATATATATGATTGTATGTAGTTCATAATTAATTATTTATCTTAATAATGTTATAAAAAACCCTTAATTTTTTATTTATTAAATTCACTATAAAAATATTAATCTTTTTAAAGATGGTATCTTATTTAACACAATTATAAAAATCAAAGCTAAGCTATTTCAATTTTTTATTTTTAAAAAAATTTTTGTCCTTTAAGTTTTTAATTTTTTATTTATTTATTTATTTATTTATTTATTTATTTATTTATTTATTTATTTATTTATTGAAGATTCTCAATTACATAAAAAATATTTGAAACTAAAAACAGTTAAGAAAATGATATGATAATTGTTTTAATAAAGGTAAATCAGAAATTATTTTAATTAGATAAAAACATTTAATAAATATAGGTATACTATTTAATAATATTAACTATGTTTTGATAATAATTACTATAAATACTCTTCAGCTAAATATTAAGAAATAAATGATGATAAAAATAATAATTACAATAAAAATTTCAAAAATGCTAAATGATTGATGGATATGAACATTCGACATACGTGTTTCTTAAATTCTTTAAATAATTAAGTACTTTTTCAGCTTGGTAAAATATTTTAATAATGTATTTTCCTTAAAATTCATAAGTTTTTTCAGGTAATAACTCTAGAAAATTATTTCCTATTTAACTTGAAAAAATAATTAGCTATATATTTAAGCAAAAAAGTGTTAGGGAAAGCTCATCAAATTATTGATCTTATTAAATTTCTATTTTATCAGTACAAAATAAGATGTACTTTTTATTTAAGTCATCACTTTCTTAAAAGAATTTCTATTTTATTATTTTACTATTTAAGCTATTTTTTATTTTATAAAACCAAATTTATTATTAAAAAAAATGTATTAAGACTTTTTTCATGCTAGCATGAAATACTTAATTTAATTAATTAAAACTTATTGATTTTTTTTATTCTTAATTTTTTTCTATTGAATTAATTCCTAGCTAAAAATTTTACTTTACTGCTGATAACTAAAAATCTTCTTTCTTGGAAGGATCAGTTTCAGTTAAATTGCCATTTGAAGTTTATAAAATTTATTATTAATATTAATTTTGTAATTTATTTTCAAATTTATCTGAGTAACATTTAAATTTTTAGCTATATAATTAATGATTAGTTTCATATTAAAACGAATACTCTTGTATTTCTTCCTCATCTAAATTACTAGATTAATTTGATGAATAATCGTCATAAAGGATGCCAAAAATAGTATTGAAACTTCTTAATTTTTATTTATTTTTTAGAATTTAAAAAATATCTTAAATGATATTTGAAATACCATTTTTTATTATTTTAATATAGGTTAATTGCATATATAACTAAATAGTCTGATTTTCTAAGTTTTGAATAATTATTCCTAGCTTGTCATTTTTTTATGTTAGAATTTGGCTTATTACATTACTTGCTAATTAGATTGACTTAAAAATAGACGACTCCTCCTAATTGCAAGCAAAAACAATACCTATGCTTATATTTATTTAACCGTTTAATTGCTAATAAATCTAATTCAAGTGCTATGATTTTAATTTATGTTTTTCAAAAATTAACTAAATTAAACTAATTATTTTTTTAGGAAAATGAGACATTAATTCTTTTTTCTCTTCTAGTAAACTGGTTAAAATTAAAGCTGATTACTTGTAATTTTTTTTTAGGTAAAGAATTTCTGCTTTAGTCATTTTAATGATTGAATCAAGATTTTCTAGGGACAAATAATTTATAAATGTATACTTTTCCTCCAAGCTTTAATCAATATTTCTTTTCTTTTCAAAATGGCTTTCTATATTATTATCTAAATGTTCACGCTAAAAAACAAAATACTAACTTTATCGCTTCAATCTATTGAATGAGTCAATTTGTTTCTCAAGTGATAATATTTATTATTAATTCGGTATATTTTGAAGAGCAATCTGTTATTAATTTTCAGTCAAATAATCTAAATTGTCTTATTTTTTTGACAATTTACTTTTTTTTGTTTTATTAAAGCAATTATCTGAATCAAAATCTGTCATATTAACCTATTCAAATTTTTAATGAGGTGACTTTCTCATATTTGGAGAAAAACTATTCATTTTTTTAAAAGTAGAACTATTTCTACTTTTTTGATATTTAAAATTTGATATTTTTCTTTTATGAGCCTTCAAAAAATTATTATCAAATACAGAGCTTAATTTTTTAAACATAATATCGCTATTAAAAGCAATTTATAAGTTTTAATTTAAGGATTTTTTTCTGGATGTAATATTTAAATTTTTTATTGATATTTAATTCTCTTCATTTTATTTACTTTATTCTGTGTTTATTTGTTGATCGTTATAATTGTCAATCAACTCAGTTGCTATGCAATTAGAATCAGTTTTTTATTAATTTTAAAGTTTCTTCAGCTACTTTAGTAAACTATCTGATAGGGTTAGATAATATTAAGATTTTTATTCTTTTCCTAACTTAAAATAGCATTTTGATAGATTGGACTATAGTTTTATCTCTTGAAGCTATCCATATGGTAGAGTCCTAGAAAACTTAATTAGTTCTTTTACTAAATTTTTAATTTCTTACCAAAAAATATATTATTAATTTTCTTACTAATTTTTTAATTGCAAATTATTTTAATCACAATTTTCTTAAAATGATTGTAATGCAAACAAAAAGTTTCTCTTTCTATAAAATAAAGCAAAAAGTAATTTGACTATTTCATCATTTGTATTTCTGCTTTTAGAATCTAGATTATCACTTTCAGTTATTTCTGGCTTATTATCTAAAAATATATCTTAATTAATACAATACTATTCAAGTAAACTACAGTCAAGTGTCTAGCAATTCTCTGAGCAGAAGTCTTAAATTTAATATTTAATATATAAAATTGATTTGGAAAACATTTATAGAGCTTCGAAATAATATCCTCTTTTTAAAAAAATACTTCCAACATTGTTATAAATAGTACCAACTGCAAAATTATTTTTAAATTTCTAAAAATATTCTATTTACGAGGCTAATCTTAAAAAAACTTAAGCTTCTTCGTCTTTAAAAAAATTATCCGAAGTATTTAATATTGTAGCAATAATTTGAATGATACTTTAATTTAGATCTTCAGCTTCTTTAAAAAGAATTGTTTCTTTTTAAATTTTTTAAATAAAATCCAGTATTTCATAGTTTTCTTTATTTGCTTATTACAATATTTAAATTAACATATCAATCTATTGTATTATATCAGATCTTATCAACCTCATTTTATAAATGAGAAATAATAAGGAGATTAAGCTTGTAATTGATAGAATTAAATCAAAAATCAAAATAAATTGCCTTATTTTCTATATTGCAATTAAATAATTTTCCTACGATTATGATTAATTAAGCATAACAACTTAATATAAAATATTACTCGTTTGGATATTAAGATCTTATCCACTGTTTAATTCAACCAAAATCGGCTTTATAATTACAAATTTTGAATTTATTTCTTATATAAAAGATTAATTTTATTTAATGCTTTGATAATTACTAACTTAGTCCAATACACTATCTATATTATCTTAAAATTTAGTATTATCATCAAAATCACTTTAGTTTTAAGAAGGCGAGTAAATTACTTCTTTTTATTTATTTGTAAAAATGTACAACTAACGGTTAGGTTAATTAAATCTGTTGAAATAGGAACTTCTATTTTCTTTATTAATGTAAAGGCATAATAAATTTTAACTTTCATTCAAATCAATTATTTGTGGAAAATTAAATATATTTAAGCAGAAGTAAATATCTTAGGATTAGCTAAATTGCTCATCAAAATATTAATTGTTTAAAATAACATTTAATTTAGTTTCATTTAACATATTGCGAAACCAAATACTATCTTAAATCGTTTTTTATTGAATATTGTTTTCAGTAAAAATACTTGAGTATGTTTAACTATTGCAAATGGAGTATATGCTTTGTCCTCCAAAGTTAAAAAATATGTTTGAGTAGTTTAAGTTTTGTGAGTTAAATTAATTTTATATGAAAATTGATTTAACTAAAAAACTAAGAGAAAACATGTTTATTAGCCATTATTGCTATTTTTAACTTAGCTAATATAAATTGTTAAAAGAAGAATCAAACCTATTTGTAAAAAAAAATTTAAATATTGAGTTATTTAAATTAAAAAGAGAGATTATTTTTTTATTAAAAATAAAGCAGAATAATTACCAGCAATTATGCAAAGAATAGCTTTAATGAAAGCATTCCTAAAAAGAAGTATTATTTTAAATATAGCAAAATAATTCTAAATTTTTTTTGTCTATTTGTCTAGCATATTACATATTTATCTTTTAACTAAAATTGCGTAAAAGCTAAATACTTTATATTACCTATTAGATTTAGATGCTAATTTGCAGATTATTAGCATTCATCTAAATATCACAAAATTCCTGCTCTTTCTAATTCATGTAACTAATAATAGTATCAACCTACTCATTATAAAATTTATAATTTATTATTTAACAAATTATGGCTCCTATAATAGTGCTAGTGAAAGGCAAAGTAGCTATAATTATTATTTTATAATGTAGAACCATGATCTAATTTTTTAAAACTACTTTCTTCTTTTTATAAAATAGAATGATCAATTTTATATTAATTAAATATACACAGAAGTAGAAATAATAAATTTTGCAAAATAAATAATAAAGAAGGCAATAATTTATTTTTAAATTCTGGAATTTCTTAAAGCTAATATTGATAAAAGTTAATGGATTTCAAATTAATATAGAAATAATTTTAGTTTATTAGAAAATCATTTATGAAAAATATTTAATCTTAATGAACAAATAAAATATTTTTAAGACATATATTAATTTTTTAAATATTTTTTTAATAAGTTTTAATTTTGAAACGTTAAAAAAAGATTATTCAATAGTGTTAGATGAAGTTAAGGCGAGTATTTTACTCATTGTGTTATCTTTTTGAAGTCATGAAGTTAATTAGCTGCTCTTTTTCATAAAATATTCTGATTACTTCCTAATCATTATGAATAAATTTTAAATCTTAATTGGCCTCCAGAAAGTTATTCCCTTTTTTCATGGAAAAGACGAGCAGCTGTATATTGTAATTTGACAATATCTTAATTAATTCATCAAATAACTAGTTTTTTATTATGCATATTGAGTAAGTTGAAAATATTATGTGTTGCTTCGAAATTTACAAATGCTGATTATTAGTAAATTGATATTTAATTTTTTAATCAAGCTTTTTTATTTAATCCAAATTTATGTTTGCTTATTCATATTTTTAGCTTGCATATTTAAAGGCGACTTTATTTAAATCTAAATATTATTTCAAAGCCTTTCTAATAGAGAAATGAAAAAGTGTATTTTATTTAATAATTTCTGCATTATTATTCTCTAAGTCTTCAATATTTTCATCTAGTGAATTATAACTTGATATATTTGATTCTTAATTGTCTCCTAAATGCTTTTCTAATTTATAGAAAGAAAATTCATTTAGCTGTATTTTATATTTATTTTAATCTTCCTGATCATTTTCTTTAACGTAGAGATTTTTAGAACTATTATTAAAATTTAAATTGTTTAGAAAGTTATTATCGCTGCTTATAAATGTGTCTTATGACATATTAATATCTTATCTCTAATTATCTAAGTTAACATGTTATTTATTTTTAATTATTTTCTATTAAAAATTATATTTTGATTAATTCAATAGCCTATTTTGACTTTATAAACTAGTTCTTTATTATTAAACAATATTTTTGCTATAATTTAAAAATGTTTCTTGATTTTTATCTTAAAATTCTATATTTTTCTCAAAAATATTTTGGTTTTTAATAAAAAAATTTTCTTTGAATTATGTAAATAATTTATTTATAACAGGTTTTATTAATTTCATAGGTTAAATCCTGTAATTTTCAAGAATTTAAAATTCATCTTCTCTAATCTCCATACATCCAAACCTATCTTATTATTAATTTAAAACTTTTTCTAAGAGCTGACCAACAATGAAAAAAGTATGCATCCAATTATTGTGATTCTTAGATAAATTAAAGATAACTATTACTTAAAGATTGATTTTTTTGTTTAGAGATTAAAGCATCTAATCTAGTTACTCCGAATAAATATGATAATGCTCAAATATTTATTTTAATCTACTATAAATCATGTAAATAGTATGTGATAAAAAAAATTATGTATTTTCCATTGTATCAGTAAGAAGTAATGCAGCACTTAAATATTTATTTTATCTTATAAGTATATCAGAAGATATTATATTCGATGTCATTTTCATAGTTTCTAAAGGCATTAAAGGTTTCTCAAATGAAGTTAAATTCTTTTTTTACTACTTAAAAAATAAATCATACTTTTTTTTTGTCTTTTCTTTTAAAAGTATATTGCTACTTTAAAAATCATTTATTTATTTTTCAAACACTTATTATTTACTTTTTTATTATATCTACCTTTATTATAGCTTTTATTAAGTATTTTATGCGCTCGTAGTATTTATTTTTAATAAATTAGGCGAGGTTTCTTTTAAATAAATTAAATTTTAAGAAAAAATACCTCCTTCTGTTTAATCCTCAATGTTATTATTATGATTAGTTTTAATTTTTATACTAATGTTATTTTTATTGCTATTTTAATTTGATGTTTAATATTTGTATATTTTTTCTAAATTAGATACTATTTTTTATTAATTTGAGCTAATAAAACTTTTATTTTTTTATCTTTGTTAATTTAAAAATTTTGGAGTATCTAAAAATTAATCAAAAACATATTGTTTGCTTGCCAAATTTAAATTTATTTATTTAGCTTATTGATCTAGTATAGTGGGGTTTTTTTCATTGAATATTGACTTTAGTTGTTGCTTATTTTCATTTTCTTATTAATTGTTTCTTATTTTTTTAAGGGTTCTTTCCATCTATTAGGTATTTTCCTGAGATTTTGAAGCTAAGTTTTAATTAAAAATCCATGAAGTAGAGTCATTAGAATCTATATGACTTATTACCTAATTTTCTGTTATTTTATTTTATTATTTCGTCTTTTATATAAGAGAATTTATTTATTCATTTATTTACTCTATTTTATGATATTTATTAAGTTTACTATAGCATAATCTTAGTAAATTAAAGTTCATTATTTTTTATTAATCTTTCAAACCAATTTAGCTTATTAAAACATTGACTTCTTTACAACTTTTTTTAATTTCTTACCAAAAATTTAATAAAATTACTGAATTATTTTACAATTTATTATTTTTATTAATATCGCTATAATATTTATCGATGCTAGTTTAAAACCAAATAAGAGAAAGATTATAATTTACTTTTCTGTAATACAAATTCAACAGTAATTATATCCTTTGAAGATAATGTTCATCTTTTTATTCATCTTATTAATCATTTCCATCATTATCAATTAAGTTATTTCCAAAAGCATCTAAAAACTTATTAATACTTTCTTCCTCATCAGAATTTAATTTTTTTAAAGTGTTATCTTCATTTTATTTTTTTTAAATTAAATTTTTAAATTAACTCAAAATTTTAGTTAAATAATCAGCTATCCTGAATTTTTTTTAGGCTTTATTTTTATTTTCATAAATCTTAGATTCGGCTTTTTTGGTTAAGGTATTATTATTATCATAACAATAATTTGAAAGATACTTATAATTTTACGAAGAAGGATGCTATCTACAAAAATCTTATATCTCGTATCGAGCATATATTATAGATTATTAATAATGTTCTAAAGCATGTTAGTAGTGTCCTTAATTCGCTAAGATAGCTCCTATGTTATTATGTGTTATCCCAAGAGCATAATAGTTTTACAAAGATTTAAAAAAGTGAATATTTCTATAGAGCTTTATTAAAGTTTCAGCTTGATCGTTCTCAAAAAAAGTTTCAGAGATGGAGAGTAAAATTTACAAAATTTGCTAAAGACTTATCGTTAAATCATATATTTCTTTTGAAAAAATACTCTCCTCATGATTAAATACTATCTATGATAATATAAAAAGATAGTTTTATGAGTTTTTCTAGCTATGCAATCTTCTAAGAGCTTAAGTCATTTTTTCTATTGGAGACTATATTAAATTGTTAAAAACTAAAGAGTAATATATTGCTATAAAGATGAAAAATATTATTAAGACAAATTGTATAATGGAAGCAGCAAGAAATAAATTTTTTGTAAATTGCTGAAAGTCGTTAGCTTTCTATTATAAATTATTATCAGATAAAATTTATATAAAAATACTATGTAGGAGAAATTTATATTTTCCCAAGTTCTCAGTTTCAGAAGAAATACTTGTTTTTTTGTCTAAAATAAAAATAGGGTTATAAATGAAGCTGTAACTAGACCCATTAATTGATTTTTAATAATATATTGGAGAAGTAATATTTTCTTTGTTATCTATATTTAAATAATCAAAAGTTTATTATGCGATTAACAAAGAATTAATGGTAAAATTTTAAAGAAATTCTAGATCTTTTGAGTTAAAATTATACAAATTTTGTAGAACTTCAAAAATATTAGATAGCTCATTTTAGCCAGTACTGTCAAACAAAATTAAATTTTTAGATGTCTCAAAACTAAATAGTTATATTTAACTTATACTTTTTTATAAAAGAAAATTAAATATATCATTATTTTTTATTTAATAGCAAAACGTATGATAAATCTCTTTTTATTAAGAAGTACTGTTATACCAATTGAGTTTTTAACATCCAAATTATACTAAAAAAGGAGGTTAATCATCCCCTATTTGCAAATTGTAAGGTTAGCTAAAGTATGAAGATTCTTGTTTGTCTGCTTATGCAAACCAAGAATAGCAATTGTATTATGATTTTAAGTTAATTTCATTTTCATCACAACCATCATCAAATAATTAATTTGTAGTTACATTCAAAGCAGTAGAATAAAGTAAGCTTGATGTGTAATAAAAGAAAGAAACATTAAAATTTATTAAATTTAAACTATCTTAGTTATTCTAGCTGTTAGTTTTCATAATACTATTAAGCAAAGGACTTAAATAGGTAGCATTAAAGAGCTAACTTACTATTTAATTATTTGTTAATTGGTTTATCTTTAAACTTTAGTAAAACCTTTTAATAAAAAAATATTAATAAAAATTTAGGATTCATTTTAGTTTATATGGAATTGAACATTTAAGTATGAAATAAATATGATATTAAAAACTAAAATATAAAAAAGGCAAATTTATTTTGATAAAACATCAAATTAGCTTTTTTATAAGAGTAAATTAATCAAATATTTAAGTATTTGCTTTTCATTTATTAATTTTTACCAGCAATTTATAAGATTTTAGTTATTTTAGTACATTTCTAGTAAATGCGGATCCCCATTTTATTGCTACAATTCTAAAATGTTTATAATCGCAGGAATATATTTCTGATTTTTATTTACCAATCCATTAAGTAGCTTTTAGTAAAAGTTATTTACTATTGATAAATAGTAAGGTATATGGAAAGCTTATTCTGCAATTTTAATGGAGGCAGATTGGCTTCTATATTTAGTAAAAATTACTTAATCCTACATTATACCATTAACATAATCTTTAATAAAATAAAGCAAATAATTATATGCCGCTAATTAGCTTCCTATCCCTATTATAAATATTATAAGAATAGGTGTTCCAACTAAAAATGTTATTTTAAAATTAATGCTCATGATATTATGCTTTATGGTTCCTATTTAAGGCTAAAAGTAACTTTATGATATTTATGCTATTTAAATGAATTAAATTTCTTGGTTTTTTGTTCAAGTCTTATTAATAATCTGAAAGTTATTCCAAAAACTTAGCAATACTGATTATAGTTAATATTTAAATTAATATTACCTTGCTTATTAAAAGTATCAAGCTATAACAAATACCATCAAAAAAATATATTTTCCTAAAATCAAATTAACTAAAGTAAAATGATCTAATGATGTGATAAAAATGAAAACTTTAATAATAATTAATTGCATAATATTATACATATGAATCCATCTTTACATATCTATAAATATATCTAAGAAACTCATAATAATAAACCATTTTTTAAATCAAATTTATTAAAAATTATAAATTATTGAAATTAAGTTTTAATTAAATTTTCATAATTCTTTACCATAAAATTATATTTTAATTTTTTTCAAGAAATAAATTTAGATTACATATATTATTTACTCAAATTTTTTAAGAAAAATTAATTTAACATACGCATAAATATTTATAAGAACATAAATCAGATAGCAGTAGCAGAAAGTATTAAGTTCTTCATTGACCAAGGATAACAATCACAATTTGCTGAATATAGAGTTAAAAGAGTACCTGCTTAAAAATCTTTAATCGTTCTTATTATTAGAGGACGGTATTATTATTCTAAGTTTTAATCATAAATCATTTATTCAGGAATACTTAACAGATTATCTAATGAATATTAACTTGTTAGATGCAGACAAATATAACCACTTTATTAAGTGTAGTAAAGTGAAAGATTTATTTCATATTTACCTTCTTTTAGAATTTCAAGTTTAGCTAACTAGTGTTGATAGTCATAATAGTTTCCTGTCTTGACAAATTGCACATACTTTTCTCCAGAATTTGTCCTATTTTTTTTGTCAAATTCCTCTTTAAGATGATAAATTTTATGATTTATTAATTTCTATTAGATTTGAAGCATTCCAAATTTATCCATATCATTTTTCTAATTCAAGACTATTGTTTCTTAAATTAATGGAAGGAAGTTGTATTAAACCTTGATGATTAGCTTTAAGCATAGTTTTTTTTCAGTGTTTTAAAAGTTTTCAATAATTATTGATAAGCTTTCTTCATTTTTTTTATTAAGTATTGCTATCAATGTGGATGGACTGATCATATTTCCAAATTAATGTCTCTCTACTTAATAAATAAGGAGGGCTTCTTTATCTACAACTTGTAATCCTATCTCTTTCTCATTTATAATTGTAATTTAGAAAAGGTATTTTTAATACTCTATTTCTAAAACTCCTGAATCTTGTGTTTTATCCATCAAATTGATACTATTAATTTAAATGCTTAACTATATATAATATTTAATTTATTATAGAAAGATTCTACTTTGCTATATAAAATAAATTATTCTATTTATTCCTATAGACACACACACACCTTTTCATTTAATAATCTATTCTTTAATTTTTGATAGACTCTTTATTTTGTTGATCTTAAAAACCATACATTTATTTAGTGTTGGCTAGAAACTTTTCGTTTAAAAGTTATAAATTTCTCTAAAAATGAAACGTACTTAAGAATATTTATGATACAATTTAAATTATTTTTTAATGTTAAATTTAATAATTATTTATTTAGTAAGAGTAATTAATTATTACAAAGAATATAAAGTAATAAAGTAAAGTCAAAAATGTTGTATGTAAGTTGGATAAATGTATTATGTGATATTATATCTTTGACTATTAATATAATTCTCAATACTTTGAATAGAGTAGAAAATTTTAATAACTTCTCTTTCCTTATGAACATAAGTTCCTTAGTCTTATTTCTCTATAAAATTATTTCCTTTTTTCAAAGAAAATATTATTAGAGTGATTTGTAGCTAGAATAAACAGTCACACAATTTATTGAAGAGAACATTTTGTTTGATTAGTATTTCTTATGTGACATAAATAATAAATTTACTTTTTGTTTCAATATTTAACTCTTTTATTTCTTGCATATACTCAAAGAAATCAAAATCTTATTTTTATTCATCTAGCTTACTTTTTAATTTCTATTGGATATTTGGTATTAGTTAGAATATTGCTTTTCTAATTAAAAAGTGAAAATTGCATTCAGAATTAGTTTTTTACTCTTCACAATCAATAGAGAAATCAATAATCGATTGGCTATTATCATCACCATCGTTTTAAGGACTTTTATAAGGAAGAGATTAGTTGCTAAAAAAATTAATTCCTTTTAATTTAGGATTATCAGATTATCTTGAGTTATTCAGCTTTGGTAATTCAAGCTCTTCATCAGATAAAATATTTGATTTAATTTAAGTAGAATTTTGAATATCTCTTTGCTTAATCAATTATAAAAATTAATTGTTATTATTAAATTTATAATTATGCTTCTATACAGAAGGATCAAGTAGTTAAGTCGTGTTTAATAATAGTAAAGAACTTGGCTTATTTCTTTGAACTTGTTAATTCTTTTAAAATTTTGTAAATTTTTCGATACTTTGATCACTTTCTTCTATACGATTTTACAATATAAGTGTTTCTTCATTCTCTATTCTGTCCCTTAAAGGAGACTATAGAAAGCTATACATAGAAATTGGGAAGTCTTCCCTTTCTTAAATATTCACAAAGCATTTTTGATAAAGTGTTCCCTTTTTTCTTTTAAGATTTTCAATATCTTCTAGTTCATTTGGTTATTCAACTATTTAACTAAATGAATTTATTTAGCTTTTTATGTAGATGTCATTAAGAAAGGAAACTGATTAATTTTTTTATATTAAATTTACTAAATTTGATGTTGATTAATTTTTTATGCTTAAATAAGGACTATGCTAATACTTTTTCAAGCTTGGATATTAATAATTTTAACATGAGTTGTGTTTTATTTACTATTTGTTCATCAAATTAAAAAAAATATTTTCAATCATATTCTATATTTAATTTCTTGAAAACTCAGTTTCAACCATTTCCACAATGTTTTGGATCGATTATTCGCTTTTGTTGTAAAATAGTAATCCTATTTCATCTTTTTAGTTAATAAGAGTTTAGCTAATTAGATTACTAAATAAATTTAATGCCTCAAAGCAATAATTATAATTTTTACTGAGATCTTCAACAGCGAAGCATACTTTGAATTGTATATTTTTATTAAATTTCTATTTAAAATTATCAAAATCTGTGTTTCTAATTTTAGAATTTTTAAAAATTTGATTCGCTTTGATGATAATTTATACAGGAATATGTGAATAGAGGAAATGATTGTTTTCAAATTATTCTGCTAAAATATATGCAGATTTTTAAAACTGTTTAGTAAATACTAAATAATCTGCTACTGCAAGATTAAATATTTAAAAAATCAATTCTTCTCCTTCAGTATTTTATTAGTTTTTAGATTTATTTCTTAAGCTCTCAAATATTAATTCTAAATTATTTTTTTCATCAAGTTTAAAATTATGAGTTTCATTTTATAAAAACTGCTCTATTTATAAGTTTTTATTTTATTTTAAACTCTTTTTCTTAAAAATTAATTCATAAATCTTCTAACAAAAATTACTCTTTGATTTTTTTATGTTATTTTTTTGTTTGTCATTAAAATTATTTAATTTATGTTATGGTATTCTAAAGGAAAGAAAATTGTTTTCTTTACTGCATTTATAGTTTGAATTATCTTTATCTGCATTAGTAGCCAGTCTTTAATTGTTTGATCTAAATATCTTTTCGTTATCATTTTAAGTATCCATCTTGAATAACGATATTACTTTAGATTTATCATGAATAAACACTTTTTCTTTTAATTCTTTTTAATCAGTGTTATGAGTATTTTAATAGAGATTGTTGAAAATTAATTGGCATTAGTTTAAGCAAATTAATGAATTTTAGAATTTTCCTTAGTTTAAATTGCATTTAGAAATAAAAGTGAGTAATTCTATCTTTTCACAATCACTAATCTCGAGATATTAAACCATGACAAATAGCTGCTTAAAAATTTTTTTGATTTCAGACCAAAAATTGAAAGAATTTATATACATTGCTTTTTTTTAATTTAACAATTTATCATGGTTTTCTTAAAAAGACACAAGGGCGAGAGCATAATTCTTTTTTCTAAAATAAACATTTGTGAGTAAGGTATTTAGCTATTCCTGTAACGAAGTGCTTATAGTTAAGTTTTATTTATCATTTAAAGAGCTAAGATAAATAATATTCTATTTCGATAATCGTTTTCTTTTATCAACACTAATCATTTAGGATTCTTTTTAATTAATTGTCAATCTTTCTTTATTTTAAATATTCTCATTATCTTATTAACATACACTCGAATTATCCCATAATTGAGTTGGTTTTTAATTATTTAAATTATTAATCAATAAATCGTTTTATTAATAAATTACATTTAGATTATCCTAAACTATTTATCTTTAGTATAAAGAGTTAGATTTATCATTTTTATTAAGATAGACACTCAGTTTTGCTAAACTTTAATATCTCTTTTTTTTGTCACTTGTTAGAATATTATGATAAGATATTTTCTAAGTAATGGATAGGGAGGACATACTTTTATTTAATTCTTTAGCTTATTACTCTAAATTTATTAACTAACTATCATTAAAGTAAAATAATTTTATATTAGGATTAATACTTATGTCATTATTATTTTAGAGGAATTCTTATATTTCATATTAAGCATATAAAGTTGCCATAGAAAAATGTTCTAATGCTTGAAAAAAATGATCCTGAGATAAAAGTATACTGCCAATATTGTTATGTATGATCCCTAAGGCATAGCTATTTTTAAATTATTTAAAAAACTCTATCTTTTTATATAATCTTAAAAGTGTATCACTTTTATTTTTACTGAAAAAATTTTCAGAAGTTTATATCAGCACTTAAAATATTTGTTCAAAACTCTTAAAAAGAAGAAATGTTTCCTTTGATAGAAACTTATCTTCTGAATTCAGTTGAAAATTATTATAAATGTTAAACAAATCCTATGATTTTATTTCCTCGAGCATTTATTTTAATATTTTAGTTAGATGATCAATCGGTATTTCTAGTAATTAGTTTAGCCTGTAAGTGTAAAAGATTGTAGCTAGAATAGCAAAGACAAAAAATACTAGAAGAGACACAGTTAGGCAAGTAATATACAAATTGAATTTCTATAAGAGCTCATTAGCCTATGCTCTTAAGTCTTCATCAGAGAGAAAATTTATCTAAAGATATAACATTTCTAATCTGAATTCTTAAGTTTAAGGAAATTTAACACCTTTAAATCTAGGTATCTTATCTATTAAGAGAATTGGATTTAAAATTACAGTATAGTTTTTATCATTTTTTACATATTGTTATTATGTTATTAAGTTTAACTAAGTATCTATTAGCTATTATAGATTTGTTTGATTAAATTTTAAATAAACCCATTAAGTATAATTTTAGATTATAGTATCATTTAAAATCTAAGCCTGTTAGATATTTGAGTTTTTTGAAAGTTCTATATCGCTAAAATATTAAATAGTATTTTGCTTTCCAACCTACTAAGAATTATATACTATTGACTAAGTTCTAGGCTCAATTAAATAAGACTGCTTAGTTTAATTAATAAAGTTTTGAAAGTAGATTTAAAACTTGTCTAAATAAAGAGGCACACATGAAACCATGTATATGCTATCTTATTATAAAGTGGCATTATAGTTTCTTAATGGTTAGCATATACCAGAAGAAAGTGCATGGTTATTGTTAATAGAACTATAGAATGGAGATAAAGCATAGAGGGAAGATTGTTGCAACCCTAATTTATACCAAGACAAACACCTAACGTCTACATTATATTTTCCTTTTGTACAATTAGCTGGTGAAGAATATCTAAAAGTTGTGTTTTAACCACTAGAATAATATAAGCCATCAGCTGAGAACCCTGAAACAATTTTATCAATTTTTAAATACAAAAAATTATCTTAATCCTAATTATCGAATACATACTAATATGCTCTAGAAAGAAAATTTCCATGTGATATATTTTATATTACGTTCTAACCAACAGGAGACAATTATTTTACATTCGTGATATTTTATTAAAACCTTTTTTTTTAAAAAAAAAAATTAAAATATTTAAAAATAAATATTAAAAAAAGATAAAATATTTTTTTAATATTAAGATTGATTTTTTAAATTAACAATTTAATTTTAAAATTGTAACAAAATTATTATGTGGGCAATCTTTTATTTGAAATTAAATTTTATAAATAGTAAATTCAATTTAGTAAGTAAGAAAAATAATCTTAATTAATTTAGTTAAAATTCTTTGACAAATGTCTAATGTAATTAAATAGGAGATGACTGTAATAATTTAGATGTAAAAACTTAATTATCAATTTCATTAATAAATCCTATTTATTTTCATATTTTAAACAATTTTATTAAATGAGTTTTAAAAGTATTCTAAACCTAAACAAGCAAGTCTGCATTTTAATATTTTAAAACTTCTTTTTTTATCCATCCAATTCTGATAAGTGTAAAAAATAACTCTTGTAAGTATTTATCAATAATAAAAATTAATTCGTATAATAAATAATTCTAGTTTATCGAAAAAATAAAAAAAATCAATAAAAAATGATGATAAACTTCTATATTCAATATATTCAAAAGAAATAATGTTTTAAAATAAAAAAAACTAATGTATAAATAATAATTTTAGTATTTTGATGTATTTACCATATATTTGTAGAATGCTAATTTTTCAAAAATACTTATGTGATACTTGGATCTTCTTTATTGTCATATAATAATTCCATATTTAGGTTACTAAATTTAGATAAGGAGTTTGCAATTGTCAGCCCATTGATAACTCTTGATTGAAAATTATTGATAGTATACATCATAATAGCATATTTTTATATTTCTTATTATATTTAATAATTGACGCTTACTGTAAACAGTCGAACATAGCTTAATTGTATTTCATATAATTTGTTTGCATAATCATCAATTATTTCTTTACAATAGTAGAGAGCTACATATTAACTTAAAATAGTAGCAATAAAAGATATTGTAATAGGTATAGTGGCATAAATAATAATCGCTGTCCTGAATTTCATGTTTATGCTTAAAGAATTTTAAGTATTTAGCAATTTATGAGGATTATTTCTTTTAGACTAAATATTAATGCACAAACAAACTATTTGTTATAAAGATTACAGCAAAATTTTTTAATAATTAAATAACAATACAGATTAAAAAGAGTGAATTACATTCATTACTAAATAAATAATTCAATTTAAAAAAACATAAAAATACAATCAATCTTCCTTTACTGTTTGTATGCCTTATGGAGGTATGAATGTTATTAAAAGGTTGATGAATAAAAAAAACTTTTTATTTTGATTTATATTTATCTGATTTCCCAAAAAATACATTTGCTGAAACTTTACCAAGTATAATTCAAGTACTCACTTTTTTAAAGCCATTCGAATCCACAAATTTTAGCTAAGTAAATTGTTTGGCTGTAATCAACTAATTAAAAAATTAATTGCTTAAATATTATTTAGCTAAATATCAAACAATTATTCCATTATAAATTACAATTTTTGCTAAAATTATTATTTCAGCTGATAAATTAGCTAATAAATGTTTATATGTTAAAAAAGAAATTTTTTTAAGTTGATATTAATTAATAAAAATTTTTTTAGAAATGTGATTGACTTTAACAGATTATAACTTTTTACAAATTAAAATTTGTGATTATAAAGATTTATAGAAAGGATAATTAATTTCTTTATAGTAGTAGTATTTATTTAGTTCAATATTTATAAATGACGTAAATTTAACATATGTCTTATGTATTGAAAAAATAATTTTTTACAGAGGTAAATTCTCAAAATAATCAATATTTATTTATATATTACAAAAATTTGCTAAAATAAAGACTGTAACTTCTATTTTAAATAAGTAAGTAAGGTTCGATATTTTTATTAAAATAAAAAAGAAAATTATACTTTTTAAAAGAATAAGAAGTGAAAGAAATCTTAATTTATTAATTAAATACAAATTAAAATTAAAATTTCTGTAAATATTCATAGGATATTTTAATAGAAATGTTTTGGATGTTATTATAAATCTATAAAGATCCCTATGTTTAAATAGCTCTTACTTAATTTGTTTTCTACCTCTTCTTTTTTGTTTTCAATATTTTTATTAATTGTATTAAGCTCATTATTAAGATTTATGAATTATTTTTGATATTTTACTGATAGATAATACATAAATATTTTCATATATTTTTTTCTATTTAATTCAATTTATACACAACTATTTAAGTTTTTATACAATTTTCTATTATAAATTTAAAAAATAAATAAAATCTTAAAATTTTTCTATTAGATTTTCATCGTCTATTTATTTTTTAGTGTATTTATTCAAATTATTCTTTTTGTTCATAACACTTTTATAGTCTCCAAATTATTATCTTATCCTTTGATTATTTTATTTTTAACAAGTTACTCTATTTAAACAACTATTTCATCTATATTAGCCAGTAATTTCAATTATTATATAGCTAAATGAATAATTAAAACTAAGTGACTTTGATAACAACTCTTTAAAATATTCTTCATTAATAATAGTACCTACAGTATTAATTTTAATAGAAGATAATTATTTCAAAAGTGCTCAACTATAATTGTATCTGTACTTTTACAAAAGCTATCTCTATTTGACTACAGATATTTTCTAATTTTAGAAATTGAGTAAAATATTTTAATTACTTCCTGATTTTAACAATTAAGTGTCTTATTTTATAATTTTTCTAAAAAGTTATCACCACTTTTTTAAGAGAAAATAATTATTTGGAGCTTATTATTTGCCAATAATTTACAAAGTTGCTTGAAAATGTTATTATTTTTGATATCTATAAAATCTGTACAATAAATTAAAAATTTTTTGAACTTATAGCTTTTTTAGTTTTGGTTTTATAAATATTCTGATTAAATAAGTTAATTAAATTAATTTTGTTTGAAGATACTCTGTTCAAATTAGTTTGAGTAGGCCTAAAATGTTAGGTTAAAAAATTGTAAAATTGATTTCCTAATAGAAAGATGGAATGCAGTGTTTCTGTCTATAACTTCTTCAGCATGAGTTTATTCTTAATTATGTTAAAGACTTTAAGGGGTTAGCAGGAATTCTTTGCTCTAAAAGCTATCTAAAGATTATATTTTTTATTGCTTTTCTTCACAAAATATATATTTAGTTTCTTCTTTTTACTTGATTGGAATAAATCTATTGGTATGTTTTTATTCATTAAACTAATTTTATTAATCATTTGCTTATTCAGTTGATTTTTTATCTTTTAAAACTTTTAAATTTAATAAATCTTTTTCACATATTTGATGATCTATTAATTCCATTTCTGATTTTGGAGAACTTAAAATATTTTAAGTTGATAAAAGATAATTCACATGTAAAAATTAATTTTATTTTTTTTACTCAGTCTATTTCACTTCGAAGGAATCACTAAGCCAATTTTCATAAAATTCTTAGCTATTTAATTCTGAAACTCCTGAAACATCTCCATTAAGTTGATTTATTTTTAATTCAGTATTTTGCTAGTTAGGTAATTTTGAATTAAATTTACTACTTTCTTTAATAAATTTATAATCTTAAATAAATATTTTGCCTATACTTTCATTATCAAGTTGGTCAAAATTGTATAAATTTTAATTAATCGATACTTTATCTTCATTTTCTTAGCTTTATTCTAAGCATGGAGGTACCTACGAAAGTTACTAAAAACCATATTTTGATCTTTTGTTGTTTTCATGCTTATAAATTTAATCTGTGTATGATTTATTACTTATAATGCTTAATGTTTTTAAATCTAGACTTAAAAATGTAGATACAGAAAAATAATTTTGTATATCATAAATAATATAGCTCATAATTGGTTTAATAAATATGGCTTTGTTTAAATCAATATATTAGTAGATATGTTTTTGATAGCTATCAAATAAAACAATGCCTAATTGATCTTCACTTTTATTCAAAACATCGTTTACTAAATTGCTTATTAATTAAAGCTCTCTAATGTTTTACTAATCTTCTCTGATGTTATTAAAAATTACTCCTACTTTAAAAAAAAGGTCTTTGTTAAATTTGTTGTAAATCAGATCTAAATCAGGTGAACTGATGTTGCATCTGTCAAATATACTTTTTAATTTATATATAATTTTATAAGGAAAGTGGGACATTACTATGAAGTTATCTTCTAAAATAAAAGTTAAAATCTCTGCAGCCTTCTTAAAATCTTAAATTTTAATATAATATTCAGCTCTGGTGAAATTTATTTAAAGTTTCAGCTGCTCACATTAGATAAATTAGTAATTTTTAAACTCATTAAATTGTTTCTATTCACTATTTTTTTTTCTTTTACTTTCAAAAATATATTCTAAGCTATTATTTTCTTCGTTTTAGTCCTATTTATTTCTCTAAACACTGATGCTGATACTATTTTCTTAATTTTTCGAAGTATTATTAATCATACTTAATTGATTTGTCTCAGCTTTTAAAACTATATTTTAAGCATTATAATTGTAATTAATCGAAGCATTAGGAGATCGAATTTCATTAATGTTTAACTTATGGTTGGAATTAATGTTAAAATTTTAATCTGAATTAAAATTAAGAATTTGCTGAGAGTTTTACCTTGGAGAAAATAATTTTTTTTCATAAATCTTACTGTCATTCTGTTAGTTATTGTTAGGGATGATATGTAATTATTATTTCCCTTTGTATTGGTATTCTTTTTAGTATTAATTTTATACTTTTTTTGATGTTGTATATGATTTAATTTATCTGTTTTCGACTTCTGAAAATTTTGATGGTAAACTACGATTTTAGTCTCTTATTTTTTAAATTTATGGAGATCGTTATTAATTGTTTTAAAATTTATAATAAGATATTCTACGTGGTTAATTTTTTTGGTTTTAATCTTTAAATTTTTTCATAAATTTTTTGAATATTTGTTGACTTTCTTTTATTATCTGCTAAGATTTATTTAACTAATTTAAATTGAAATATGTTTTTGCTAAATAGGAGTAAACACTAATTTTTTGAAAATCAGGTGAGATCATCAAATTGGATATTTTATGCAAATCTTTTAACAATTTCTTTATCTCATACCAAAAGTTATAACTTTATACGCTTTAATTATATATGGATGAGTTGTTTATATTTTTAATGGATTAGACTGCATTTTTTTTTGCTAAAGATTTTTATTTCCTTTATTAAAAATCAATTTATTCCTAAAATTAAATTATTGTGATGATATAATTCTATTTTCTATAAAATATCCTCTATAATAATTATATAACTTCATTTCGTTCTTATTCTTACTCATCTAACAATTATTAATTTGATTAATTGTTAATTTCTTCAATATTATTATTACCAGAAGGGCATTTATGGGTAGATTAATTGCATATCGAACTGTCTTAGTTATTGTTTTTATCTGATAACCTTTTTTCTTAATAATTAGGGCAATCTCTTGTGGAACGCTACTATGAAGGATTTCTATTTGCCTACATTTTTTTTAAAAATGTCTAATCTTATTTTTCACTATTTTAGTTATTGGTTTGATCTAGACTAGCTTAATTTTAGAGACTCTGAAAATGCAATTTTTAATTCTTCTAGAAAAATGAAGTCATGAGTTCAATTGATTCTATATTCAATTTGTTCTGTTTAGAACCAATTACTTTGTCACTATAACAAAATTATCTAAGGATATTGCAATATATTGAGTCTGGTTTACTCAAACAAAATTATTCTATCTAATATCTTGCATATATTATAGACTGAGAAAAGTGCTCAAGTGCTTAAAAATAGTGTTGCTTATTTAAAAGCAAACATCCAATATTGTTATGCGTTATACCAATTGCATGGTAATTCTAGAATTGTTAAAGAAAGTCTATTTCTTTACACAATCTGATCAACGTTTTACTTTCATTTTCAGAGAAAAAGCTTTCAGAAGTGTAGAGTAAAATCTAAAATACTTAATAAAATGACTCATAGAGTTCCTTCGTTTCTTGTGATAGAAAAATCTCCGTCGCCCTATTTTCATACTACTGCAAAATTTATTGCATGTCACAATGTTTATTTTGTCTCTGAATTTTCTTTAAAATTGAGCAAAGATGTGAAATAGGCTATTAAACCAGGTTAAAAATTTGTAGTGCATAATAAATAGAAATAAATATTGAAATTAAGCTTAACACTAATAAAATTATGCTAACAGTCAACTATATAAGATTTTAAAGCTTTAAGAGATCTTGTGATTATTATTACAAATCTTCATTTGAAATCATATTTATTTATAAGTATGCTAAACTCATTTATGTTCCATAAACTTTTTCTACTTCACTTATGTAATAAGGAATTCTATCTTAAATAATAATTGGATTCAAAATAACCTAATGCAAAGTACCATTTCTATTGTAGGGAATTAATTTATATTAATTAGTATAATTAAATAAATTTTAACTATCTGCATAAGGCAGCTAGTCAAGTGACCATGTGTTGTAGTTATTATTAATAGTATCATTAAGTAGTTTTGCATCATCTTATGATTATAGAAATGTAAGCTCTAAATCAGAAAAATTATCAATTTATAATTGATCGAACGAAAAATCCTTTTTTGAATTATAGATTATTGATTATGATCTAGGATCTATGATATAATATTATTTAGTAGATTTAACTACATTGCTAAATAAATCATCAAGTGTGGATAGAATGACATCTAAGCACACTATATGTTTAAGCTCGTTTTTTTTAGTAGTTGAGTTGTAATGTCTAACTCTTTAACACTCTTACTGAGAAATATGGGCTTGAGGAGGAGTTATTGTTATTCTTGGTTGTAATATAGAAAACGAAAGAAATTTAGAAGCATCAAGATACCAAAGTTTACATCTAGGATCATAAATAAACTTTCCTTAGTAACACCCTGGTACGTCCACTTTACTCATAGAACTATTAAGAAAATTCATAAACATCAATCCTTCGAACTCGAATCCAAAACCCACTTAATTAAGAGGAAGATAATCTGTACTTTAACCTGGATTAAATTTATTTTCGTTTTATATAGCTCTCATCAAGGGAGTTAGTTTATACATATTTAGAATTAATTATTAAGCCTCACTATCTAAACCATCTATAGTAGTAGAATTCTATTGATACCTATTGAAATTTATTAAAAAAATGAAAAAAATAAATATTTATTTTTGTAAATTTTTTTATTTTAATTTTATTTATTTATTATTCTATTTCTATCCTAAACATTTTATTTAAGTAAAATAAATGTAATTCTAAAGCTATTTTATAAAATTAATAATATCTAATAATCTATCTTAATTTTTAATTCATAGTAATATGTAAATAGAAAATTATTATAATTAAAAAAAATAGAAGAAATTAATTAATTGGGAAATTACAAAAATAATAAATCAGTAATATTTTCTATTAATTAAACATTTACCAAGCTGTTGTATACAAATAATTTTCTCTGTATAATTTCATTAGAATAGGGTCATCATTTTATTGGTATAAAAGGACTGGATGAACTAGAGCTCTAACATGATTCTTGTTGTAAATAACTTTCCCTTGAAAAATTTTTGTAACAAACGAGTTGACAGCGAATAAGCAAAATGGAGCAACTTACATTTTTCTATTTAACTAAAAAGACATGATTGATGTAAATTGCTAGCTAAAGATAACTTATTAGTTAAATAATTCCTACGTATACGATTGAATTTAGTCACGCATATAGAGCAATGCGATGTATTAGCTGATGAAAGCGCCAATAAATACAGAAATTATAGGTATACAAACTAGTAGAACTATTTATATCTTTAAAGTCATTTCGATAAAAAAACCTACACACTTCCTTTTCACTTTTTCTTATTTGAATATTTCAAATAAGTTATTATACAATACTATCAAAAAAAAAGATTTTTCTTTGTTTCAATAAAATTATCATAAACATATGAAAAGAATTTTGAACCAAAAATTAAATTGATGCAAAGTCTTTCTTATATTATTTTATTTTCCCTCATTGTATTCTCAAGTAAGAAGCGACGTATAAAAAGAAAATCTAATTATAAATAAGATAGTCGAGTCTTTTTGTGGAAATCCTTACATTCGATCTGAAAAATAAAAAGCCTATTGAATTTTTTAAAATTTGAGTTATCTTATTTTTATTAATATGTATAAAAGTAAGGTAAAAGAACAAATCTAAAACTTTACAATTAAAGAGATAGATTAGTCATTTTTATTTTTTATTTCTAATTAGTATTTTAAAACAATTTGAATTTCTAAACTAATAAATATTTTGAAAATGAATCATTTTATCTCTTTTATATTATTTTTATCATTTTGTTATTAAGGCTAATTGATAATATGAATGAGCTGTAATGGTGCTTTTTATCTTATTGCATTATTCAATAAGAAGAATCTAAAGATGAGTTTCAGAAAAATACAAATTAAAATAAGATAGATTGAAGATAGAATTTTATAAAAAAAATTTATTAATCACTTTTGAAAGCAAAACAAAAACTTACATTTTTAATTAAAAAGTAATGTATTATTTTAACTTTGAATTTATTTTCAATTATTTACAATATTTAGTTCTTATTAATGCTTATATTTTATATCTAACAAATCAAACCTAACTTAATTATGTAAAATTTAAGTTGCTTAATAAACTAATTATTAAAAACTAAATTAGATTCTTTAAAAAGTTTTTTTAAATGAAAATTATGTATTATTTTAACTTTGAATTTATTTTCAATTATTTACAATATTTAGTTCTTATTAATGCTTATATTTTATATCTAACAAATCAAACCTAACTTAATTATGTAAAATTTAAGTTGCTTAATAAACTAATTATTAAAAACTAAATTAGATTCTTTAAAAAGTTTTTTTAAATGAAAATTAATTTAAAATAAATACTCAATCTATCAAATTATTTGTAAAATATTTAAAAATTTTCTACAATTTATCTAGAAAAGCAATAATTTAATTCAAACCAAAATAAAAAAATGAATACATTTTAATTAAATGCTGATAAAAAGCAAAGAAAGAAATACAAAATATTAATAAGTAAGCCAGAAAAAATTTAAATGATTTATTAAAATAAAGTATTTCAAATTAAATTTCAAAAATTTTATATGTAAGTTAAGTAGGCACAGTGAAAAAACTAATCTCTTTTGAAAGATAAATACTCAGAAATCTTTTCATGTGAATAAAAAATTTTAATTATTTCTTATCCTTTATAATAATATGTAAAATCTTAGCTTTTTTCAAGAAAGCTGCTTCCTTTTTAACCTGCAAATATCAAAATTTATACATTAAAGCTTCTCAAAATCTTACATAAACTTTAAAATAGGTAATTATCTAATATTTCTATTTTCTCAGTTTGATAAAGTATAAATTTGAGGTCATTCCTATTATTATCCATTTTTTTAAAATAAAACTTTTTAGATGAAGCAAAATTATTATTTTATTATTAATTTTTTTAGTTTTTGACTAAATAATAATAATTTTTTTCTGCAAGTCTAAATGTATAGGTGTTAAAAAACAGCTGATTTAAAGAAGTTCTTATAAAATAATGGAAATATTGATTTCTATTCGTTTCAATTATTTAAACTTCTTTTTTAGGAATCTGATATGTAACCTAATCTTAGCACTCATCATCATTTTTTAATGTTCTTAAATTCTAAAAACTTATTTAATTTTATTAAATAGAAATGGCTTTTGATAAATTATTTTATTTACTTTAAATAAATATATTTTTTTGGCAAATTGGTTGTTAAAAAGATTAAATAAAACTAAAATCCACAGAAGAATTTTAATTTTCTTTTATGTACTTTTAAAAAGTATTTTTTTTAAAGCCAAATGAAGCATTATAATTACTTTGATTTTCCATATCTGTAAAAATCGTTTATTTATTTAAATCTGTAATTAAGTGAAACAAAGATTATTCTTTTACAAAATTTCCTTGAGTACTATCACTTTAATTTATAAATTCATCACAAATAATGTTAAATTAATTAGATTTTTAAGATTATTAAGATGATAGATTGTTTTCTGTTGAAAATTGTTGTATTTCTTCAACTTTTTAAGAAAAATTTACATTGATTGTCTAATCTTAGAAGTTTTTTTAGTTATTTAAGATTTAAAGTAATAATTCAATTAATAATTTATTTTTTATTAATACGAACTAATTTGCTTTTATGAGTTTGCTTAATTAGTATATTTAATTGCTTTTTAAATCAATAAATGAGAGGGAAATTTTATCATTAGATTTTATTAAAACTGTTTTAATTAAAGTTTAAAATAACTTTAACTAACTCATTAAAAACTCATTTAAATTCAAATTTTAATTATTTTAATCAATAATTTCATGTGTCCTGTTATTCATTTCAAAATTTTCAAGAGTTATTGATTAATTTGTTTCAATGCAAAAAGCTATTTACATCGAAATATTTTAATTAAATCTGGAATTATATTCTAAGAGTGATTTGTTTTCAATTTTATGGTAATTAAAAATATAGATTAGTCTATCAACTATCCGAAAAGGCATATGAGACATAAACAACTTACTATTCTCTAATAAATTTGTAAGAATTATAGCAGCTGTTTTATACTCTTTCCTAAATATAAGATACTCTGCATAACAAAATTTTATGAACTACCTTACTAAATCTAAAGAAGGTACTTTCAATTAATATGAATAATGTCTACTATAGCTTTAATTTTCAAATTCTTTTTGTAATATTTTATTAACTATTTAATTTCTTTAGCTCTGTACAGAAACTTTTTTAGTGCAACTTAAGCTTAAATCATATTTATTGTAGTTTTTATTCGAAGGTAATATTAAGTTTTTATTGTTCTTATTATTATTTTGATCCTAGTTTTTAGGTGAAAAAAAACTCAATAATTTAGAGTTATTACTTACAAAATGAGAACTATTTGCTAATTGAAAGGTAGAATTAGTTTAACTTTAAATTGCTCTCTCAAACACACTTGTGCCAGGTGAAAATATTTTAAACTAACTATATCCTATAAATTTTTGATGTTAAGATTATTGTTTAGCTTAATCTTCAAGATAAGTTTTAGTGATATTTAAAGACTTATTTTAAATTTTTTAATTTTGTAGATAAATCATTTCTTTATATTTTTTAGTATTCACTTATTTAGAATCTAATAAAAAATTAAATTTATCTTCAATATTTAGCTGATTAATTTATTTTCCTTCATTATTTGTAATTTGCATGGCTTCTTAAAATTTTTATTCAGCTTCGTTACATTAAAATAATCTATAACTACTTTATGAAACTAAACATAAATGCAAAGCTTAAGCACTTTCGCTTGTAGGAAGGAAAGACTAAACTTGAATTAAATCATTTAATAGTTATCTTATTTCTGGCCAAAAATTATAACTCCATTAATCTATTTAATTCTTTTCTAAATTCTCTTAAAAAGCTATCAAACTTATTATATAGTTGTAAATACGTGATTTTAAGCTCTCTATTAACTCAAAAAACTATTTTTATTTTTCCTAATTTTCGTAATATCTATTTAATTATTGAAATTAAAAATTTTAATCATTAATTTCACTATTTAATAAAAATTTGTTTTTTTATTTTTTCTTATTTTAAAATATTTCTTTTGGAATTAGTTGTTATATAGGACTCATAGAAGTGGCTTCAGAATTTCCTTAAATATTTTCATTATTTGCTTACTATTCTAAATTGAAAGCATTGGTTTTTAAATTATTCTATGTTTCAGAAAAAGAAGGATTTTTTTTCTTGAAAGATAAATTAGAAATTTAGGATTCTTAATTATTCATTTTTTTTAATTTTTCAGAGTTGCTTTCATTAAATTAATATAGTGAAAAGATATTCTCAAATAAATAGTTAATGTTGTTATCATTATAGAATTGCTAAATTTCATACTTAGCATACATGATAGCTAGTGAAAAATGCTCTAAAGCTTAGAAATAATGCTATTAATTCAGTAAAATATTTCCTATGTTATTATGAATGATTCCAACAGCTGATTTGTTTTCAAACTTTCTAAAAAAATTTACTTTTTTACTTAATTCTAATAAAGTTTATCCTTAATTATTCACAAAAAAATTTTCAGATGTGTATAAAACGCATTCAAAAAGCTCAAAAAAACTTCTATAGAGAAGTTATGTTTCTTAAGAAAAAAACAATTCATCTGCATTTCTATCAAAATCTTTTATAATTTCAGATATTTCCATCATTTTATTTAACTCATTTATATGAATTAAATCTTTAGTCAAATAAATGAGAGGCTAAGTAATTAAATTTGCTATTTAAAGACCATAATAACTAGATATAAATAGGAATATTAAAGTTAAGACTCCTAAACCGATCTAAATTATCAAAAAAAATTGAGAAGAAAACTGAGTTAATGAATTTGTTTAAGCTTTTAATTCCTCATTAGAAATCATGTTAATTTATAGATAAACGTATTGCAACTACTAGCCCTCTATTTTAGAGTACTTCGAGATATGTTTTGGAATATCATCGTAGCTTATAATTGGATTTATTATCACTTTGTAAAATGAAGAATTCCTATGATAATCAATAATGATATTTTTTTAGCTTAAATCCATCATTTATTAGATGCTTGTATAGTTATTTTGAGTGAGAAAAGTCCATTTATTAAAATTTGAGTTTATTATATCAATGAATTCTTGTGATTAAGTTTTGTTCTACAAATATTTAAGTTCTTCGTTATAAAAATTATCTGTTTATTAGAGAGAAGAATAATTATATTGTTTATTAGAATTATATAAGATTGATAAAGTCCTAGGGTCAATTATATAGTATTATTTGGAAGATTGAATTACATTTTAAAAATAATTTGATATATTTGTAAGCGTAGCTTCTAAACACAATACTTTATAAGTTTGTATATTTTTTGTTGTAGAATTATAATACAGCATTTTTTAGCATCCATATTGTGATAAATAAGGTGTTACTTTCCCTAAAGATACTAGGGGAGGATTCATGAAAAATGAAGTCTAATTTAAATTATTCATATACCAAAATCTGCATCTTGGATCATATCTAAATTTACCTTTGTAGCAGTTAGGATCATCTACGGTAGAAAGAGATGAGTTCATAAAGTTAGAGAAAAGTATGCCATCTTAAGTTGTTGATGAGATAATTTATTAAAATGGAATTCTTGAATAATTACTAAAAGGTAAATTTAATTGGTTTTGATATCCAATTACTCTTAATAATGGACTTAAGTAGCTATAATTTTTTAATATCTCCTGGGCTGAATTCTCTAATTGGTTTACTTCTGTTGCATTCTATTAAAACCTATTTAAATATAAATATATTCAAATAAAAATATGTTTTTTTTACAATTTACAAATGATAATTTCATTAGTAAAAGAAATTCTTCATTTTAAAATTATGTTTAAGCTTTATTGGCTTATATTCTACTCTGAATTATGTAAATTCAATTAATTTATTTAAATAGCAACATAAATTTTTATCAAAAAAAAAGAAATTGATAAGTAGAAGTAAAAATAATAATTATTTATTTATTTATTTTTACTCCCTTATTGTTTGTTAAAAATTATTTTAAATAAGTTTATATTATTAAAAATCAACTAGCTAGAATTTTTATTATTTAAAGAAACAAAATCCATATTAAATATTTTAAATTTAGATTTTATTTGTATATAATAATTTTACCAAGAATTCACCAAGAATTAGTTTTTATTAATCATTTAGACTATTTTTGGATTCTCCGTTTAGTAATAGGTCTTCATAACATTATTAAAGGCATAAATATGGTAAGGATTCCATTGTACTTATCCCTCAATGATTTTCTAGTGAAATGAGTTAATTTGATTTAAATAGATAGGGAATTAATAAATTTCTCTACTCAATCGAAATGAAACAGTATTTATTCTATCAACACTGAAAAATGCTTAAATTTAAAATAGATTATCACAAAATTCATTGATATATTATTTTGAATAGTATAAAGCATAATACAAGCTAGCTATAGAAATTGTAAATATAAGTAATATAGGAGAGATCGATAATAATATTGTCCTTTTATACATTTTATGATAGAAATTTAGTTACAAATTTCTAAAAAACTATGTTCTTTATAAGCACTAATATTAATTATAAAAAATATGTTAATATATTGATTGATTAAAGTGGAATTATACAATTTTTAAAATTACTTAATTAAAATAAATTAAAATGTCAGATTATAAGCTAAATTCATAAATTAACAAATCATAAAATTAAAGTGAATAAAAATAAAAAAAACATTTTTAGGTTAGAAAGATCACTATTTATTTCTTGATTTCTTTTAAAATTTATAATAAATATAAAACATATTAATAATGCAATATAACTTTCACAACAAACAAAATTATAAATTTACTAAACAAATATTTTATAAAATTAAATTTTAAATACATCAATACATATAATAATAACATAATAATAATATCAATATATCTTTTTAAAGCTAGATTTTATTACTAATTGCCAAAAAATAATTAAAATCTTAGAAAATTTTTTTGAAATGAAAAAAATTTAAAAATACCAAATTTATGAAATTATTTGTAAAAAATTAAAATAAATATGGCAAAACATAAATTTAATATAAACTAAAATAAAAACTGAATATTCTTAACTAAAAGTTGATAAGAAGCAAAGAAAGAAATTCTTAAAAAATTATTTTCTAAATTCTAACTTACAACATATAAAAATATAAATAAGTAAACCAAAAAACACTTATATGAAGTAATAATAATTTATAAAAATTAAGTATTTCAAATTAAATTTCAAAAATTTTATATGTAAGTTAAATAGGCACAGTGACAAAACTAATCTCTCTTGAAAGATAAATACTCGGAAATCTTTTCATGTGAATAAAAAATTTTAATTATATCTTGTTCTTTATAACAATATGTAAAATCTTAGCTTTTTTCTAGAAAGCTGCTTCCTTTTTAACCTGCAAGTATCAAAATTTATACATTGAAGCTTCTCAAAATCTTACATAAACTTTAAAATAGGTAATTGTCTAATATTTCTATTTTCTCAGTTTGATAAAGTATAAATTAGAGAGTATTCCTATTATTACAAGTTTTTGAAAAATAAAACTTATTTGATGAAGCAAAATTATTATTTTATTATTAATTTTTTTAGTTTTTTACAAAATAATAATAATTTTTTTCTGCCAGTCTAAATGTATAGGTGCTAAAAAACAGCTAATTTAAAGAATTTCTTATAAAATAATGGAAATATTGATTTCTATTAGTAATAGTTTAAAATTCTTTTTTATGAATCTCTTACGTAACCTAATCTTAGCACTCATCATCACTTTGTAAAGTCCTTAAGTTCTAAAAGCTTATTTAATTTTATGAAATAGAATTTGCTTTTGACAAATTATTTTATTTATTTTAAACAAATATATTTTTTTGGAAAATTGGTTGTTAAGAAGATTAAGTAAAACTAAAATTCACAGAAGAGTTTTAATTTTCTAATATATAATTATGAGGAGTGTTTTTTATTAAGTCAAATGAAGCATTAGAATTGTTTTCCATATCTGTTAAAATTGTTTATTTATTTAATTCTGTTATTAAATGAAATTAAGATTATTCTTTTACAAAATTTCCTTTAGCACAATCAGTTTAATATATATACTCATCACACATAATGTTAAATTAATTTGATTTTGAAGATTATTGAGATTATAGGTGGTTTTCTGATGATTGTATTTCTTCAACTTTTTAAGAATTATTTATGTTAGATGTCTAATCTTAGAAATTTTTTTATTTATTTAAGAATTAAATTAATAATTTATTTTTTATTAATAGAAGCTAATTGGCTTTTATGAGTTTGCTTATTTAGTATATTTAATTGCTTTATAAATCAAAAAAAGAGAGGGATATTTTATCATTAGATTTTACTAAAACTGTTTTAATAATAGTTTAAAATAAATTTAACGAACTCATAAAAAATTCATCTAATTTCAAATTTTAAAAATTTTAATCGAGAATTTCTTGCGTTCTGCTATTCATTTCTAAATCTTCAAAAGTTATTGATTAATTTATTTCTATGCAAAAAGCTATTTATATTGAAATGCTTTAATTAAATCTGGAACTGTATTCAATGAGTGATTTGTTTTCAATTTTATGGTAATTAAATATATACATTAGCCTATCAACTATTCTATAAGGCATATGAGACATAAACAGTTTATTATTCTCTAATAGACTTGTTAAAATTATAGCAGCTGTTTTGTACTATTTCTTAAATATAAGATATTCTGCATAAAAAAATTTTATGAACTACCTTACTAAATCTAAAGATGGTGGTACTTTCAATTAACATGTATAATTTACAATATTTTAATTTTCAAATTCTTTTTGTAATATTTTATTAACTATTTAATATCTTTAACTCATTATGGAAACTCTTTTTTAGTAGTTTTAGCTATTAGAAGAAATTATTTAATTTTTATTGTTCTTATTATTAATTTGATGCTAATTTTTGGATGAAAAAAAATTCTTTTTTGAGTTATTACTGATAATATCTGAACTATTAGCTAATTGAAAAATAGAAATAATTTAACTTTAATTTGTTTTCTCAAATATATTTGTTCCATGTGAATCTACTTTAAACTAACTATATCCTATATACTTTCGATGTAACGATTATTGTTTAGTTTCCTCATCAAGATTAGTTTGAGTGATATTTTAAGATTTATTTTAAATTTTTTAGCTTTATAGATTAATCTTGTTTTTATGCTTTTTAGTATTTATTTATTTAGAATCTATTAAAAAATTAGGTTCATTTTCAAAGTTTAGCTGTTTACTTTATATTCCTTCATTATTTGTAATTTGAATGGCTTCTTAAAAATTTAACACAGCTTCATTACATTAAAATAATCTATAACTGCTTTTTGAAACTAAACATAAATGCAAAGCTTAAGCACTTTCGCTTGTAGGAAGGAAAGACTAAACTTGAATTAAATCATTTAATAGTTATCTTATTTCTGGCCAAAAATTATAACTCCATTAATCTATTTAATTCTTTTCTAAATTCTCTTAAAAAGCTATCAAACTTGCTGTATAATTAAAAATACGTGACTTTAAGCTTTCTAAAAGCTCAAAAAACTATTTTTATTTTTCCTAACTCTCATATTATCTAGGTAATTATTGCAATTTGAATTATTAATCATTATCTTCATTGGTTAAAATAAATTTATTTTTTTATTTTTGGTTATTTTAAAATATTTGTTTTGGCATTTATTATTATGGAGCATAAATAGAAGAAGTTTCAGAAGTTCCTTAAATATTTTCATTACTTGCTTATTTTTCTAAATTGAAGGAATTCATTTTTAAATTATTTTATGTTTCAGAAAAAGAAAGATTTTTTTTCTTGAATGAAAAATTAGAAATTTTTGAAATTTATGATTCCTAATTCTTTATTTTTTAGGATTTTTCAAAGTTAGTTTCATAAAATTAATATAGTGAAAAGATATTATCAAATAAATAGTTAATGTTGTTATCATTATAGAATTGCTAAATTTCATACTTGGCATACATAATAGCTAGTGAGAAATGTTCTAAAGCTTAGAAATAATGCTATTAATTCAGTAAAATATTTCCTATGTTATTATGAATGATTCCAACAGCTGATTTGTTTTCAAATTTTTTAAAAAAATTAACTCTTTTACTTAATTCTAATAAAGTTTGCCCTTAATTATTCACAAAAAAATTTTCAGATGTGTATTAAACACATTCAAAAAGCTCAAAAAAACTTCTATAGAGAAGTTATGTTTCTTAAGAAAAAAACAATTCATCTGCATTTCTATCAAAATCTTTTATAACTTCAGATATTTCCATTATTTTATTTAACTCATTTATCTGAATTAAATCTTTAGTTAAATAAATGATAGGCTATGTAATTAAATTAGCTATTTAAAGGCCATAATAAGTAGATATAAAAAGGAATATTAAGGCCAAGATACCTAAACCGATCTAAATTATCAAAAAAAATTGAGAAGAAAACTCAATTAATGAATTTGTTTAAGCTTTTAATTCTTCATCAGAGATTATGTTAATTTATAAATAAATGTATTGCAGCTATTAGCCCTCTATTTTTGAGTATTTCCTGATATGTTTTGGAATATCATCGTAGCTAATAACTGGATTTATTATCACTTTTTAAAATGAAGAATTTCTATGATAGTCAATAATGATATTTTTTTTGCTTAAATCCATCATTTATTAGATGCTTGTATAGTTATTTTGTGTGAGAAAGGTCCACTTATTAAATTTTGAGTTTATTATATCAAGAAGTTATTGTGATTAAGTTTTGTTCTATAAATATTTAAGTTCTTCATTATAAAAATTATCTGTTTGTTAGAGAGAAGAATAATTATATTGTTTATTAGAATTATATAAGATTGATAAAGTCCTAGGGTCAATTATATAGTATTATTTGGAAGATTGAATAACATTTTAAAAATAATTTGATATATTTGTAAGCATAGCTTCTAAACACTATACTTTATAAGTTTGTATTTGTTTTGTTGTAAAATTATAATACAGCATTTTTTAACATCCGAATTATGATAAATAAGGTGTTACTCTCCCTACAGACACTAGAGGAGGATTCATCAAGAAAGAAGTCTAATTTAAATTATTCATATACCAAAATCTGCATCTTGGATCGTATTTGAATATACCTTTATAACAATTAGGATCATCTACTGTAGAAAGAGATGAGTTCAAAAAGTTAGAGAAAAGTATGCCATCTTAAGTTGTAGATTAGATAATTTATTAATATGGAATTCTTGAATAATTACTAAAAGGTAAATTTAATTGGTTTTGATTTCCAATTGCTCTTAATAAAGGACTTAAGTAGCTACAATTTTTTAATATCTCCTGAGCTGATATCTCCAATTGGTTTATTTCTGTTGCATTCTATTAAAACCTATTTTAATATAAATATATATTGAATAAAAATATGTATTTTTTGCAATTTACTAATTATAATTTCCTTATTCAAAAAAATTCTTTATTTATTATAAGTTAAAGCTTTTTTGGCTTATATTCTATGCTTAGTTATATAAATTCAATTAATTTATTAAGATAACAACATTAATTTTTATCAAAAAGAAATTGATTAGTAGAAGTATAAATAATATTTATTTGTTTTTACACCTTTTATTGTTTGTTAAAAATTATTTTAAATAAATTTATAAAAATCAGTATACTTACTATGATTTTTTACTTTAAGAAGCAAAATTCATTTTAAATATTTTAAATTTAGATATTATTTGCAAATAATAATTTTACCAAGAATTCACTAAGAATTAGTTTTTATTAAATATTTAGACTATTTTTGGATTCTCTGTTTGGTAATAGGTCTTCATAACATTATTAAAGGCATAAATATGGTAAGGATTCGATTTTACTTATCCCTCAATGATTTTCTAGTGAAATGAGTTTATTTGATTTAAATAGATAGGGAATTAATAAATTTCTCTACTCAATCTAAAAGAAACAGCATTTATTCTCTCAGCGCTAAAATTAACTTAAATTTAAAATAGATTATCACAAAATTAATTGATATAATATTTTGAATAGTATACAGCAGTATACTAGCTAGCTATAGAAATCGTAAATATAAGTATAATAGGAGAGATCGATAATAATATGATCGTTTTATACATTCTATGATAGAAATTTAGCTATGAAATTGTAAGAAACCTATGTTATTAATAGAAAAGCACTAAATATTAAATTTATAAGGTATATTAATATATTGATTAATTAAGGAGAATTATCTAATTTTTAAAAATTGATTATAATGCCAAGTAAAAAACCAAATTCTTAAAAAAATATAAAACTAAAGTCAATAAAAATTAAAAAAACATTTTAAGGTTATAAAAAGTATTATTCATTCATTTTTTGATTACTTAGAAAATTTGTAATGGATATAAAAAATCTTAATCATGTTAATTTAACTTTCACAACAAATAAAATTTTAAGTTTACTAAACAACTTTTTTATAAAGTTAAATTTTAGCTACATCATATATATGATTATAGAATCAACATGAAAATATCAATACATTTTAAAGGTAAATTTTATTTATTACTAATTACCAAAAAATTTAAATGATTCTTATTTCAAAAATAAATTTGCCTTCAATGAATGATATTTTTCAAATGAAAAATTTAGTTTTTGTTTGAAGCTATCTTAAAATTTTAAATCAAGTAATATCACTACATACTCTAGAAAGTAGGTAGGCATTCAATTGGTAATATTTGACTTCATCACTTTATCATATTTATATTAATTAAAGATAAATTAAATTTTTAAAAAAATGAAAATTTAAAGCAATTTACAAAAAATTTTAAACATTTCAAATACTAAATAATAAAAATTGAAAGAAAATCATAACTTAAGAGTAAAATAATTATTTAGCGATTTTGAAATATACACTTAGAGAGCAATAAATCTTTTTTTATTAATTAAAAGAAATTTTAAATTAGTTAAAAAAAAGGTATCGAAATAGGTTTTGAACCTTGCAAAGCATAAAAATAAAAAAGTCTTAATCAAAGATTTTATTTTTTGATAAAGAAATCTAAATTTTTAAAACAATTATTTAATATTAAGCTTTAAATTTTTTCATTTATTTAAAAAAAAATTAAAATTATTTATTAAATGCTAAAAAACTAATTATTAAATCTTTGATTAAACATTTTTTTATTATTTTCTTTTATCGTTTGATTCCTACTTTCAATATCTTTTTTTATTTCTTTTATATTTACTTTTATTTTATAAAATAATATTATTTATTATTTAAGTTTTTATTTTCTCCTCATAAAATAATTTTTTTAGGATAGCTAAATGCCAAAATCAAAATGTGAAAGATAAATAAGTATTATTAAATTAAAGATATGATATGATTAATTATAAATAACTAAGTTTGTTGAGTATGTTTTATCAAAAAATTTAAAGAATATGGGAGTTAATTCATTGATCACAGAAAAGGCATTTATAATTTGATTCTCATTAATTGATATTGAAACAATAAAGTAAAACATAAATGTTTTCTTAGCTAGTCATAGGTTAGATAATTGTCTATAAAACATAAGGGTATAGTGCGTCTGTGATTTAGAAGACACTAAAAAGGAAGGAACAAAAATCATCATCAATTCAGTCAACAGTATTTTTAATAAGTACTTAAGCTTTAGTAACAACGAAATAAAAGTAAATTAACTGCAAAAACCTAAACGATTGTTTGGAAATGAAGAGAGGACGAAGATTTTTCAAGCGATAAGAAGGAATAAGTATCTCATAGCATAAAACATTTAAACAAATTCTAATCTCAACCCAATTAATGCTTCTGTTAGAACTGTGTAGAGATTTCTAAACTCTATTGGATTGCATTCAAAGACTGTTCCTTCAAAAACAAGGTTAAGTGATCCAAACATAACAAAAAAATATGATTTTGCTCTCGATTTAGATGAATGGGCAAATGAAGAAATAAGGAAAACTATCTTTTCAGATAAAAGTAAACTTTTTTCAAAGAATTAAGGAAAATTTCTAAGAGCAAAGAGAGAGCAAGTTATAAAAAGTAAATATTTAACTTGACAGAAAAATTTAATGGGGTAGAGAGATCATGGTTTGGGGTATGATCAATTACTATGGTGGAGTTTCATTAGTAAGAATTGATTCACCACTAAATGCTGATGGTTATATTCAAATCTTAGAAAATAACCAACTTTCAAACTTCAATACTGATAAGAATATCTTCTAGAATGACAACTGCCCTTGCCATAAATCAAAGAAGGTTAGAAAATTCTTAGAAAAGCATTGAGACATTATCATGGTCAAATCTCCTGATTTAAATATAATAGAGAACCTCAAGGGTGATTTATTTTATACTAGCTTGTGCTCCTTCTTCTTATTTGTATTCATCTTTATGTTTTTTTAAATATTCAAGCATAAAAGAGAGTCCATTCGTAAAATTATACTATTTTTTAACATTAAGTATGCTACATAATAGGCAACTTGCAATTTATCCAGGTGTTATATATTCAAAAGAATTCTATTTTATTGAATTTTTTTTATTAGTGGAAGAATTATCAAATTTTTATTAATTTTATTACTTTTAATCTTCATTTTGGCCATTGTTTTGTGTAACTTGATTTTAATTAATCTAATATACATCTTGATTTTATTAAATTTAATTCATTTTATTCAAATTAATTATTTTTCCTTTTAATTTTTTTTTATCAAACTTATTAATTTATGTGAATTTTAAATAAATAAAAATATGAACTCTGTTAAATAGATGAATTAAATACAATCATATCAACAATTTAAATATTAAAAATATTTATTAATTAATGTAGACAATTTAATAATAACCATATCAGAAAATATAAATCATAAAAAAATCCAAAATTAAGAATTTTGCCCAATATAAACAGGTGCCCTCGTTAGAGAGGTGCCCAAAGAGGACAGGTTGCACTGTATATCTATAGCAAAACAAAAATTTAATACAAACTAAAATAAAAAAAATGAATACACATTAATTAAAATAAAAGTTGATAAAAAGCAAAGAAAGAAATTCTCAATTAATTGCTTTCTAATTTCAAAATATAAAGATATTAATAAGTAAACCAAAAAATATTTATATGAAGCAATAATAATTGATAAAAATTAAGTATTTCAAATTAATTTTCAAAAATTTTATATGTAAGTTAAATAGGCACATTAAAAAAACTAATCTCTTTTAAAAGATAGATATTAAGAAATCTTTTCATGTGAATAAAAAATTTTAATTATTTCTTGCTCTTTATAACAAAATGTAAAATCTTAGCTTTTTTCTAGAAAGTTGCTTCCTTTTTAACCTGCAAGTATCAAAATTTATACATTGAAGCTTCTCAAAATCTTACATAAACTTTAAAATAGGTAATTGTCTAATATTTCTATTTTCTCAGTTTGATAAAGTATAAATTTAAGAGTATTCCTATTGTTACCCATTTTTGAAAAGTAAAACTTTTTAGATGAAGCAAAATTATTATTTTATTATTAATTTTTTTAGCTTTTTTAAAAATAATAATAATTTTGTTCTGCAAGTCTAAATGTAAAGGTGTTAAAAAACAGCTAATTTAAAGAATCTCTTATAAAATAATGAAAATATTCATTTCTATTAGTTTCAATAGTTTAAACTTCTTTTTTATCAATCTGATATGTAACTTTATCTTAGCACTTATCATCATTTTGAAACGTTCTTAAATTCTAAATAATTATTTAATTTTATGATATAGAATTTGCTTTTGACAAATTATTTTATTTGTTTTAAATAAAAATATTTTTTTGGCAAATTGGTTGTTAGAAAGATTAAGTAATAATAAAATTCACAGAAGAATTTTAATTTTCTTATATTTAATTTTGAGGAGTATTTTTTTTTAAGTCAAATGAAGTATTAGAATTGTTTAGATTTTCCATATCTTATAAGATTACTTATTTATTTAAATCTGTAATTAAGTGATAAAAAGATTATTCTTTCAAAAGATTTCCTCTATTAAAATCTTTTTAGTTTATAAATTCATCACAAATAATGTCAAATTAATTGGATTCTGAAGATGATAGGTTGTTGCTGGTTGATAATTCTTTTATTTCATCAATTATTTAAGAAAAATTTATGTTGAATGTTTAATCTTTAAAATTTTTTTTGTTTTTAAAGATCTAAAGTAATAATTGAGTAAATAATTTATTTTTTATTAATAGAAGCTAACTTGCTTTTATTAGTTTACTTAATTAGTATATTTAATTGCTTTATAAATTAATAAAAGAGAGGGAAATTTTATCATTAGATTTTATTAAAACTGTTTTAATTAATGTTTAAAATAACTTTAACTAACTCATAAAAAATTCATTTTAATTTAAATTTTAAATATTTTAATCGAGATTTTCTTGCGTTCTGTTATTCATTTCGAAATCTTCAAGAGTTATTGATTAATTATTTTCAATACTAAAAGCTATTTACATGGAAATATTTTAATTAAATCTGGAACTATATTCAAGGAGTGATTTGTTTTCAATTTTATGGTAATTAAATATATATATTAGCCTATCAACTATTCTATAAGGCATATGAGACATAAACCATTTACTATCCTCTAATAAATTAGTAAGAATTATAGCAGCTGTTTTATACTATTACCTAAACATAAGATACTCTGCATAACAAAATTTTATGAATTACATTACTAAATCTAGAGAAGGTACTTTCAATTGATATGTATAATTATTAAAACTTTAATTTTCAATTTCTTTTTGTAATATTCTGTTAACTATTTAATATCTTTCACTCTGTACAGAAATTCTTTTACTGCAGCTTAAGCTTTAATCCAAATTATTATAGTTGTTTTTATTTGAAAATAATTTTAAGTTTTTATTGTTCATACTATTGGTTTAATGTTAGTTTTTAGATGAAAAAAAATTAAATTTTGAGTTATTACTTACAAAATCAGGACTATTAGCTGATAGAAAGTTAGAAATATTTTAATTTTAATTTATTTTCTCAAACTTATTAGTTCCAGGTGATTATTCTATTTTAGAATAATTCTATCCTATAAAATTTAATTGCTTAAATTACTGTTTAGCTAACTCTTCAAGTTCCATTTGTGTGAAATTTTCTTCCTTATTTTAAATTTTTTAGTTTTATAGATAAATCTTGTCTTTATGCTTTTTAGTATTTACTTATTTAGAATCTAATAAAGAATTAGGTTCATTTTCTAAATTTAGCTGTTTACTTTATTTTCTTTCCTTATTTATAATCTGCATGGCTTCTTAATATTTTTACTCAGCTTCGTTATATTAAAATAATCTATAACTACTTTTTGAAACTAAACATAAATGCAAAGCTTAAGCACTTTCGCTTGTAGGAAGGAAAGACTAAACTTGAATTAAATCATTTAATAGTTATCTTATTTCTGGCCAAAAATTATAACTCCTTAAATCTATTTAATTCTTTTCTAAATTCTCTTAGAAAGCTATCAAGCTTATTATATAATTGTAAATACGTGACTTTAAGCTTTCTATTAAATCAAAAAACTATTTTTATTTTTCCTAATTTTCGTAATATCTATTTAATTATTGAAATTAAAAATTTTAATCATTAATTTCATTAGTTAAAAAAAGTTTATTTTTTTATCTATTTTAAAATTTTTCTTTTGGTATCAATTATTATGGAGTACTCACAGAAAAGGCTTCAGAATTTCTTTAAAAATATTAATTACTTGGTGACTATTCATAATTGAAAGCATTGATTTTTGAATGATTCTTTGTTTGAGAAATAGAAGAATTTCTTTTCTTGATAGAAAAATTAGAAATTTTTGAAATTTAGCATTCTTAATGATTCATTTTTTTGTATTTTTCAGAGTTGGTTTCATTAAATTAATATAGTGAAAAGATATTCTCAAATAAATAGTTAATGTTGTTATCATTATAAAATTGCTAAATTTCATACTTGGCATACATGACAGCTAGTGAGAAATGTTCTAAAGCTTAGAAATAATGCTATTAATTCAGTAAAATATTTCCTATGTTATTATGAATGATTCCAACAGCTGATTTGTTTTCAAACTTTCTAAAAAAATTTACTTTTTTACTTAATTCTAATAAAGTTTGTCCTTAATTATTCACAAAAAAATTTTCAGATGTGTATTAAACGCATTCAAAAAGCTCAAAAAAACTTCTATAAAGTAGTTATGTTTCTAAAGAAAGAAATAATTCATCTGAATTTCTATCCAAGTCTTTTATAACTTCAGATATTTCCATCATTTTATTTAACTCATTGATATCAATTAAAACTTTAGTCAAGTAAATAAGAGGCTAAGTAATTAAATTGGCTATTTAAAGAGCATAATAGGCTGATATAAATAAAAATATTATGGCCAAGACACCTAAACCAATCTAAATTATCAAAAAAAATTGAGAAGAAAATTAAATCAATTAATTTGTTTAAGCTTTTAAATCCTCATCAGAAATCATATTAATTTATAGATAAGCATATTGCAATTATTAACCCTCTATTTTAGAGTACTTACTGATATGTTTTGGAATATCATCGTAGCTTATAACTGGATTTATAATCACTTTGTAAATTGAAGAGTTCCTATTATAATCAATAATGATATTTTTTTTGCATAAATCTATCATTTATTAGATGCTTGTATAGTTATTTTGAGTGAGAAATGTCCATTTGTTAAAATTTTAGTTTATTATATTAAAAAGTTATTATGATTAAGTTTTGTTCTACAAATATTAAAGTTCTTCATTATAAAAATTATCTGTTTGTTAGAGAGAAGAATAATTATATTCTTTTTTAGAATTATATAAGATTGACAAAGTCCTAGGATCAATTATATAGTATTATTTGGAAGATTGAATAACATTTTCAAAATAATTTGATATATTTGTAAGCATAGCTTCTAAGCACTATACTTTATAAGTTTGTATTTTTTTTGTTGTAGAATTATAATACAGCATTTTTTAACATCCGAATTGTGATAAATAAGGTGTTACTCTCCCTACGGATACCAGAGGAGGATTCATCAAGAAAGAAGTCTAATTTAAATTATTCATATACCAAAATCTGCATCTTGGATCGTATTTGAATATACCTTTATAACAATTAGGATCATCTACTGTAGAAAGAGATGAGTTCAAAAAGTTAGAGAAAAGTATGCCATCTTAAGTTGTAGATTAGATAATTTATTAATATGGAATTCTTGAATAATTACTAAAAGGTAAATTTAATTGGTTTTGATATCCAATTGCTCTTAATAAAGGACTTAAGTAGCTACAATTTTTTAATATTTCATCAGCTAATGTCTCTAATTGATTTACTTCCGTTGCATTCTATTGAAACCTATTTAAATAAAGAATATTATCAAAAAAATATGTTTCTTTTACAATTTATTAATGATAATTTCATTATTCAAAGAAATTCTTCATTTAAATTAAGTTAAAAGTTTTATTAGCTTATTCTCTACTGTTTATTATGTAAATTCAATTAATTTATTTAGATAATAACACTAATTTATCAAAAAAGAAATTGATAAGTAGAAGTAATAATAATATTTATTTATTTTTACCCTTTTTTGTTTGCTAAAAATAATTTTAAAAAAGTTTATAAAAATAACCAAACTATGATTTTTTTATTTTAAGAAACAAAATTTATTTTAAATATTTTAAATTTATATTTTGTTAGTATAAATAAGTTAATGATTTTACCAAGAATTCACTAAGAATTAGTTTTCGTTAATCATTTAGATTATTTTTGGATTCTCTGTTTAGTAATAGGTCTTCATAACATTATTAATAGCATAAATATGGTAAGGATTCCATTTTACTTATCCCTCAATGATTTTCTAGTGAAATGAGTTTATTTAATTTAAATAGATAGGGAATTAATAAATTTCTCTACTCAATCGAAAAGAAACAGCATTTATTGTTATAGCGCTAAAATTAACTTAAATTTAAAATAGATTATCACAAAATTAATTGATAATTTATTTTGAATAGTATAAAGCAGTATATTAGCTAGCTATAGAAAACGTAAATATAAGTATTATAGGAAAGATCGATAATAATATTATCCTTAAATACATTGTATGATAGAAATTTAGCTTCAAATTTGTAAAAATTTATGCTCTTAATAGAATAGGACAATATATTAATTTTAGAAAATATGTTAATATATTAATTAAAGCCAAATTAACCAATTATAAAAAATTTATTAATAAAAATACATTAATTATAATATCATATCATATCTAAAGCTAAATTCTTTAATAAACAAAAATACAAAAGTAAATTATAAATATAAATTGAAAAAAAATTAAAAAATAACATTTTTAGGTTTAATGGCAATTATTTATTTCTTGATTAATTGGAAAATTTATAATTAGTATAAAAATTTTAATAATGTGTAAATCAAATATTTTTAACAATAAATTTTAGAAACAAATGCTGGATACATTACAATATATAAAAATAAGTAAATTAAGCAATCAGAGTGAAAAAAATAATCTCTCTTGAAAGATAAATCCTTAAAAACATTTTAATGTAAGTTAAAAAATTTTAATAATTTCATGTACTTTATAATAAATGATTTGCAAATTCTTACTTTTTTCGAGAAACCTATTTCCTTTTTAATCTGAATATTTAGAATTTAAATACCAAAATTTAAAAAAATCTCATATAAACTTCAAAATAAAAGATAAATAATTATCCTACATTTTTATTTTCTCAGTTTAATAAAGTATAAATTTGAGTGCATTTCTATTATTATTATTTATTATTATTAATTAATTAATTAATTATGGGCTTATTAAATGTCGTTGATGAAGCAAAACTTTTTAATTTTTTTATTCTTATTAAATTCCCTTTCAGAATCAGATATGTAACTATATCTTTGCATTCATAGTCAACTTGAAACTTTCTTTTATTTTAAAAATGATTAAATTTTTGAAAGGAGATCTTGTTTTTTTCTTTTTTTTTGACACCACATTATTCATTTAAAATAGAATAGTAGAAGTAAAAATTTTAGATAGTTATTTATTTATTTTTATGTCCTTTTATTATTGTTAAAAATTACAAATTTCATATGATCCTAAAAAATCACAATAATTTATATTTGTTTTTCATAAATAAAATTCATTTTAGCTACATTTAAATAAATATTTTATTAATAAGTTCATGAATTTTATCAAGTTTTGTGTAAGAATAAGTTTTATTAATTATTTAGACTGTTTTTTAATCCTTCTTTTAATATTAGGTCTTCATAGTATTGTTAAAAAAGTATAAATATGGTAAGGATTCAAATTTATGTGTCCCTCTATGATTTTATAGTGAATTGAGTTAATTAAATTTAAATAGATATGGAATTTATAAACTACTCTACTTAATCGAAATGAAATAATGTTTTTACTCTTTAACACTAAAAGAAACTCAAATTTAAAATAAGTTAAAAGAAAATGTTTTCATATATTATTTAGTTTTGTATAAAGCAACATTCTAGCTAACTATAGATGTATTAAATATGATCAATATATGAGAGATCGATAATCATCTTATCTTTTTATGTTTTTTATAAAAGTCATTTATCTATCAATTTGTAAAATATATATATAATTTACTTTATTTCACTCAATATTTTCTTTATTTAAATAAGTTATTGTAAATCAGCATAAATTTAAAAAATCTGCTTATTAAATTATGCCTTATTTTGCTTTTCTTTTCTTATTTTATACTTTAACTTTAAATAAAAAAATATATATAAGAAATTTAATAAAAATTAATTAAGGAAAAAACAATCAATATTGATAGATTAAAAAGATTAACCAAAAAATTATTTATTTCTTGATTTTTTTGCAGTTGTTAATTTATATAAAAAATTTTAAGATGATAATTTAATAAGAAAGAAAGATAAAAATTTAATAATAAAAATATTTTAAGAAATAAATAAAATTTTTATAAAATTGAATTTTAACTACAATATTTATGCATTCATAAAAAAATCAATTCAAATATTTATTCAAAAGTTTTAGATAAATGAGAGATAAGCATAATGCGAATATTAATCTCTTTTGAAAGATAGATATTATAATGTTTTTTCATAGCAGTAAAATATTTTGATAATTTCTTAATTTTCGAAGTTAAAAGTTTAGTCTTCATACTATTCAAGAAAATTATTTCTTTTTTATTGTGCAATTACCAGAATTTGTACATTGAATACACGTAAAGTTTAGCATAGGCTATAAAATAGATAATTATTTCTTACTTCTATTTATTATGTTTAATAAATTATAAATTTGAGAGAATTTCTCATAATATTTATAAATTCCTATTTAAGTTTATTATTTGAGCATAATTATTTATTTGAAACTTCATAATTATTTTAATTTAATTTGGTAAAATAATAATTATTTTCAGCATACCTAAATGTATATAAATTTTTAAATAGTTAATTTAGTGAAATTCTAACGAAATTATGAAATAATTCATTCCTGCTCAACTTAACTTCTAATAAATTTTCATTCTTATCAGTAAAACCAATTTGATTTTTTTTATTTAAATTATCAGTTGTATCAAATTTTTCAAATTTATTTTTATCTAAATTAAATATTTTTTATTTTAAATTATTATCAGAATTAATTGAAGAATGTTTTTAACTATTTATTATGTTTTAATCTTCTATTATTTAATCATTAAAATTGTGTTAATTTTATTTTAAATTAAGCTTTTAAAATGATAAAAAATTCTTTTATTTGTTTAAATTTGTCATTAAATGAAACAAAGTTTCCTATTTACAATCATTTTCAATAGCCGTTTTGCTTTAATCTAAATAATATTCATCACAAATTTAATCTTACTGATTAGATTCTGAAAATTAATCTAATGGTAAGCTATCTTCAGTTTTATTTTGCTAAGTTACTTTAGAATTTTAAGAAAAATCTAAGTTATTAAATTAGATTTAAATATTTTTTTATGAACATTCATAAACTAGATTCAATATTTCAATCAAGACATTTTTTTTAAGTTAAGAAAGCTAATTTGCTTTGATTAGCTGAGTTAATTAAAATATTTAGCTATTTTACATATCAATCAGTGACAAAGACATTTAGTCATTCTGTTTAATTAATATTTATTTTAACAAAGATTAAAATAATTATAATTGTTTATTTAGAAATTTGCTTAAATTTAAATTTTTAATTTCTAAGCAATTATCTTTATCTGTATTTTTTTAATTCTCATCAATTTTTTCTATTTAAGTCTTTTCTATACAAAAAGCAATTTAAATAGAAGTATTCCTATTGAATCTTTAGTAATACTAAAGAAGATAGTTGCAATTAATTTTATGGAAGTTAAAAATTTAAACCAATTTATCCACAATTTTGAAAGGCAAATGGGACACAAACATTTTACTGCTTTCTAAAAGGTGTGTAAGTAATTCAGCAGCGTCTCTATATTATTTCCTAAAAATTAGGTATTCGGCATAGTAAAATTTAAAGAATAGACAAATGAAATCTAGATTAACATTTTATTGGTAATTTGGGTAATTCTTTTTCCTTAAACTTTCAAGATCTTTTTATAATATTTAGTTAATTATTTTATTCCTTGATGCTAAATTTAAAGCTTTATTACTGTTCATGTTTAAGTCTTTTATAAGTTTTTACTCACTTGGGTTTGAATCAAATGTTTAATTTTTACTACGGGTATTACTACATATTTGATTTTATGTCTTATTTGAACAAAAGTTAAACCTCGAATTTAATGCTGAGTAACTAGAGCTTTTAGTTAGAGGGTCATTAGCTTAATTTTAAATATTAATAGGTTTCTCAATTATCTAATTTACTAATGATTCTGGCTTAGTAATATTTTGCTAACTTGGGTAATTTTGATCTTGTTGTTAAATATTTTGGAATTCTAAATTTATTTATGATAGATTTCTTATCTTGTTTTTGAATAATACTTTGAATAATGTTTATTGTTCTGAAGACTTTTTTCGCACATTTAATTATAAAATATTTCTTTCCTAATATTCTTTTTATTTTTTTAAATCAATTATAATTGCTTTTGCTTCTTTAAATTTTTACTCAGCTTCATCGAATTCAAAAGATCTAAATTGACTTTTAGATATTAAGCATAAACTGAGAACTTGAGAGCTTTCACTTTAGGGTAGAAAATTTTATATTTTTATTAAATCATTAACAAGAAATTGAATTTCAGGCCAAAAGTTAAAATGGCTCGAATTAATATTTTATTTTTCTAAATTCTCTTAAAAAGCAATCAATGTAATTATGTAATTATGCATACGTGACTTTAAGCTTTCAATTAAATCTAAGAGAGCATTTTACTTTTCTAAAATATGAAGCTAATTATCATACAATTAGCCTTGAATAACTTAAATACTGCATCTCTTTTTTTGTTCAACTATATTCTGTTTGTCTTCTTTATTTTAATACTTGGATTTAGTTCTGGTTTGTTAGATTCTTTATGTAAATTAATTACTAATTTATCTATCTTGTACTAATTGATTGCTATTTAAAGTATAGTTTGGAGATATAAAACTATTTTGTTTGTCTTATAAGATAGAAACATTTGAAAATTTATGCTCTTAAAGGTTAGTTTAATTTTAAATTTCTGTATTACCTTCTTCAAAAGAATAAAGCTAAAAGATATTTTCAAATTTATATTAAATATTATTCTCAATATAAAATTGCTGGATTTCATACTTAGCATGCATAATAGCAAGTGAAAAATGTTCTAAAGCTTAGAAATAATGCTCTTAATTCAATAAAATAATTCCTATATTGTTGTGAATAATCCCTACAGCAGAGTTATTTTGAAACTTTGAAAAAAAACTTACTCTTTTACTCAAATCAACCAGAGTTTGTCCTTCATTACTAATAAAAAAATTATCAGACGTATATAGAACACATTCAAAAAGTTCAAAAAAACTTCTATAAAGAAGCTGTGTTTCTAAAGAGAGAAATAGTTTATCTGCATTTTTATCAAAATCTTTTATAATTTCAGATATTTCAACAATTTTATTTAACTAACTAATGCGATTTAAATCTTAAGTTAAACAAATGAGAGGTTAAGTTATTAAATTTGTTATCTAACGAGCATAGTAAGCAGATATAAATAGAAATATAATACCTAGAATACCAAGAAGTATTTGAATTATCAAAAATAATTTAGAAGAAAATTCAATTAATTAGTTAGTTTAAGCCTTTAATTCTTCATCAGATATCAAATTAATTTGTAGATAGACATATTACAACTACTAACCTTGACTATTTGTATATTTGCTGATATGCTTTGGAATATCATCATAGCCAATAACTGGGTTAATAATTACTTTGTATATCGATGAGTTTCTGTTATAGTCTAAAATGATATTATTTTTACTTAAATCTATCATTTGCAGAATGCTTGTATAGTTATTTTATATCAAAAAAGTCCATTTACTAAAGTGTGAGTTTATCACATCAAGTAGATTTTAGGATGAAACTTTGTCTTACGAATATTAAATTTCAATATTGTAAAAATTATCTGTCCAATTTAAAGTGGAATGGTTATATTATTTTCTAGAATTATATAAGATTTATAAAGTCCTTGGATCTATTATATAGTACTGTTTCGAAGATTGAATAACATTTTCAAAATAGCTGTATAAATTGCTAAGCATAGCTTCAATGCATTATACTTTATATATTTCAATAGTATTTGTTGTCGTATTATAAAATAACATTTTCTGACATCCATGCTGTGACAAATAAGGTGTTGTCATTCCCTAAGAAATTTATGGTGGATTCATAAAAAAAGAAGTCTAGTTTACATCAGTCATATACCAAAATCTACACCTTGGATCATATATAAATCTACCAAAATGACAATTTTAATCATCAACAGATGAAAGAGATGAATTGAAAAAGTTAGAGAAGAGTATTCCATCTTAAGATGATGATTATAATATCTATTTAAATGGAATTCTTTAATAATTAGCAATAGTTTGATTTATTTGGTTATAATATCCTATAGAGTTGAGTAATGGGCTTAAATAACTAGAATTTTTTAATATTTCCTAAGCTAATAGTTCTAATTAGCTTATTTCTGTTGCATTCTGTTGAAACCTATTTAAATATAAAAACTATTTTAAACTATTGCTTTCACTATGTCTTATCAATTGATATCTAATTTGATTTATTTATTTTCTTTGAATAGGTAATTGAAAACTCTATGAAGAAAATAAGTAAAAATTCTTTACATAAATGAATATTAAATATTATATTCAGTTTTTTATGATTTAGTTAGTTTCTGACAGACTTAAAAACAAACTGTAAGATTTGTTAATTTTTTTCTAATCAAGTATTTCCTTAAAATATGCTTACAATAAATATAAAAAGATATTAAAATTTAGTAAATATCAGAAATCATTTAGTTCTCCTACTTATTATTTGTTAAAAACATAAATAAACAAATGTAATGATTCCAAAAAAATACTATTTAAACTTCATTTATTTTTCGTATCATCTTTAGATACTTTGAAATGTAAAAAATAGTTTTAATTTTACAAAATTTCTTTAAAAAATAATAATTTACCAACTATTTACTAAGTATGGATTTTTTTATATCATTTAAACAATAGTTGGATCTTCTTGTCGATAAAATGTACGCATAATATTACTAAGAGCTTATTAATGCTTTTTATTTATCATGACTTTACCCTCAATAATCTTTTGATGAAATGAATTTATCAATTAAAGATTTACAGGGAAATTGTATACTTCTCTACTTAATCTAAGAGAGACAACATTAGTAGACATAGAGCTAAAATATATTTTATCTTAAAATAGATTATTGCAAAACTCATTGATGAATAATTTTGTATAATGCAGGGCTATATATTAAGTAACTATAGAAATCATAAATGTTAGTAAAATAGGTGTTATAGATAATAAAATTATCCTTTTCTTCATTAGCTTTCACCAATTGAATTATCTTCTCCTTTTATATATATTGTTTCCTCAAGTTTTAATTTTGCTAACAATTATACATCAATAATTATCTATTTTTTAGCAATATTACTAATTATTTGCAAATCCTACATAAATCTTTAGAAATTATTAATTCATTTTATATAATATAACTTCACTCACGATTAAATATTTTTACTCATACAATTTTATTAACAAAATTAAAATGCCTTAATATCAGTTTACATTTATATAGATTTTATTTTGAGGTGAGAGTGCATTAATTAAAATTTAAATATTTAAGGATTTTTATTTTTTGGAGGGTTTTATTTATGATAAATTTTTTTCGGACCATTTCTTGTTTCACTCAAAATTTTTTTAGTATAAAAACAAAAATTGGAATATAATATTTATTTTTAATGAGTAAATAAGGTAACTAGAAACTTTAAAATCAAATAAAATTTTAAAATAATATATAAATAAATATATATTTTAATCAGTTTTTATAAATTTCTTTTTTAAATTTTAAGTTAGTATATAATTTAAATACAGAAATTTCATTTTATTGATGTAAATTTCAAAAATGTTGTAGATAGCTGGTATAAGTTTTCTTTGTAAACTGATTTCTTTAAGATTAAAGAAAGTTGATCAATAAGTTAGTAGAATAAAATATTCTTATTATTACTTTTTCTTGAAAAATGTAACATTAGTCTTACTCCTACTCAAGAAAATTTTATCCTTTTTCTGATGAAAAAATAACCAATAGCATATCATGAGAAAATAGAGTAAAGCATAGTTAGTTAAACATATTGTTTTTCAATACTTGAATTTTGTTTGTAGAATACAAAATGACTCTATTATTACTTTATTGAGTGCAATTTTTTATCTAGAAAATGTGATAAAAATCAAAAATATCGTTTTATTATTTATTTAGCAGTTTGTATTTGCAATATTAATATTTAAAATTATTTTTAAAGACATTAAACTTTTTTTCCTCAAATTATATTTATTTGGAATATAGTTAGGCTATTGTTTATCTTATTAAAAAATGAAATTTTTAATTTATTTTATTAATAGTTTCTTAATCTTTCTAAGATATTATTTCATCTATAATTTATAATGATTTGCACTAGTATGAACTATCCAAATTACAAGGAAGTTCTTCTAATTTTATATTTGAATCTGAAAATTCGTCTTTGGATGAATCCATTTTAGATTAATCTACAATATCTCCTTAGATATAATTTAATTTTACTATTTACACGTCACTCAGATATGAATCTTAATTGCGAGTTTCTTCTTTGGGTGCTTAAATCATTAATTATGAATCTTATTAATTTCCTTTAGCTTGAATTTGTTATCTAAAATTAGTTAAAATTTTATCTTTGTTATCACCTAAATAATCTAAAAGATTCATTTACTTTTTTTTTAAATAGTTTTGGTATTTTTTACTTTAGCTTTGTTGTAAATTTTGTGAATCTTGTTAATTTAAAGTTAAATTTGATTAACAGGATTAATCAAAAATGTCATATTTTTAATTTTCTTTTTGAAAATATTATTAATGATTAGAACAACTTTGTAAAACATTATTGTCAGATTAATTATTAAATATTCCTGTTTAATTTTATTGGTTTAACTTTTCTTAAAAATTACTAAATAATGGCTAATCTTGATTTGGTTTTTCATTAGTGTTCTATTATTATTGCTTCAAAGTATTACTATTACCTTAAAATAGTTAATTTTTATCATCGTTATCTTTTTCTAATATTTCTGATGCCATCTAAATTACATCTTGGCTTTCAAATTTTGAAATAATAGAATTTATATCAGATAATATTAGATTTAATAAACTTTTTATTTAACTTACTTTCATAAATTCCATGTATTTTTCTAAAATACCTTCTTATTGATTGAAAATATTAATTGCTAATTGATCTTAGTTTTTATACAAAACATCATTGGATACACCACTTATAATTTTAAGTGATTAAATAGCTGTTTAATTATTACCATTTGTATCTAATATTATTGATAAATGCATTGGCTAATTTTGATGTAGCCTAGTTAAAATTTGGTTTAGGGAAGGAGATAAAATATTGTAGTGATTAAATATATCCTTTAGGTAGCTAACTATTCTGTAAGGAAAATGAGCAAGTATTCTTTAATTATTTTCGAAAACTTTAGAAAGTTAATCAGCAGAATTTAAATAATCTTTCTTTTATAAATAAAATTCAGATTAATAAAATCCAATAGTCATCTCAATAGTTTATATGAACAACTAAAATTAAGATGTCTTTTTATCTAAATTTTCTTAATATTCCTTTGATTTCGATACAAAATATGACTCTAAATTAAAATTAATTGAGTTCTATTTTTCAATATCTTACTCTTTTAATTTTGATAACGCATCGCTAAAAGTTTAATTATTATTCTCTTTATTTATTTAGAATGATACATTTCTTGTTTTATTTTAATTATCATCAATTTAAGCTAATGATCCAGCAAATTATTAATTCTATTTAGATTATAGGTTACTCTTCATTGATTTATACCTTTACAAAAACTATCTATTAGTCACTTAATTATAATTTAAAGGAGTGGTAAACTTTTAGAGTTAGTATAGCCTTCTTTGGGTTAAAGGAGAAGATTAGCTATCCAAAAAACTTTCTTACTATGCAGGATTAGTCTCTCTAATTGGAACTTTATAAATTTAAGAATAGTCGATCAAGCAATCTTTCTAAAAAGTAATATTAGAATGTTATGTTTGAGGGCTCAAATCATTTTGTTCATGTTTGAGATAACTACTTTCTAAGTTTTTATTTGTTATCTATCTTTAAAAATTTGAATATTTTTTTTAAGTTTAATAATCTTATTCGCTTTAATTATTGGTTATGAAATTGCTAAGTTAATTTGAAGATTATTTTAAGTTAAGATTTTAATTTACTAAGGTTTGATTCTACCTAATTTAAGTTATCCTCTTCTGGGGAATACTTAATGGACTTTTTATTGTTTAATTCATTTCTCTACTAAGAAAAAGATTTTCCTAATTTCTTACATCTTTCGGAGAATTATTTTTATCTTTAGAAGAATTTTATAGATTTGTCATTAAATTTTTTTTTAATTAATCCATTTGAGTATAGCATTCATTTAATTTTTCTTATGCTATTGAAAATTCATTTAATCTAAAGTGACATTTAGACGTTAAAATATTAATAGGTGATTCTAAAAACATTTTTATTGGTAGATTCTATGAAATTATTTTTAATTCTTAAATTAAATCTTTTATTTCATGCCATAGATTAAGTTAAGGAGTTTGATTTTATTCTGATGTTTTTTATTTTTATTTTGCTAATTCAAAACTTTCTTGATAGGCAATTAAAGTGAATATATAATTTTATTTTCTATAAAAATAGGTAGTATATAATTAAAATATTTACTAATAATTTTCATCTATTTACCCTTTTTAATCATCCTTATTTTATATTTCTTCTTATTTGTTTTCATTTTCGATTGGTTTTTTGCATTTAAATATTTTGTAAAATATCACTTTTATTGATTTCCATATTTTATGCTTAAATGAGCTCTCTTACTTCAGTTTATTTGATTACTAATCTACTGACAAATTTAAAGCACAGTTTTTTTGAGAGTTGATCTTATTTTGATCTGAAGATTGTTAGTCAGCTCTTTAAAAAATAGAATTACTTTTCTTTTTATCATATTCTGTTTATTTTCTTTGCAAATTATTCATATTAGTTTATTCCTATTAGGTTTATTGAATGTCTTTCACCAAATCTTGTTGGTTTGAATTGTTATCATTTAACTAAAAGTTAAAGCAGTATTTATATAACCCTGATGATTAAGCTAAGCTTGGATTTTAATTACAAAATTTTTAGATCTCGTACTTTGCAAATTGCACTGAACTTTAAAAGCATTCAAGTGCATGAAAAAATTAGCATTGGTGAAGCAAAAATACTCCTATATTATTATATGTAATGCCCACAGCGTAGTAATTTTAAAATTTAAGAAGAAAATCTAAATTTTTACACAATGTAATCAATGTTTTGGCTTAGTTATCTTTATATACGTTTTCAGATTGTAAGAGGAGGATATTAAAAATCGATTAAAAACTCATATAGAGTTCATATGTTTCTTGAGAAAGGAACATTTCTTCTTCGTTAAGCAAATTGCTAGAAATAATTGAACCTAACTCAGGATCATTCGTATTGATTTTGACTCTTTTGAGTATTTTTAGCAAATGGTTTATAGGGGCCTCAATAAGGTTTATTATTTATATTGTGTAGAAAAGTGAAATAAAAACTGAAATGAGTGTAAAAATTAACACTAAAACTCCTCCATATAAAAAGTAATTATTCAATATGAATATTATATCCTATTAATATTGTAAAAGTTCTTCATCTGATATTATATTTATTGATAAATATGCTACTTCTACTAAGGTCTAACCTTTTTGCTAAAAATTGCCACTATAATAAGGAATTTAATCAAAAATAAAAATAGGATCTATGATAGCTTGATATTTAGTACCGTTTCGCGTACAAGGAATCGAAATAGTTTAATTCCCTAAAGTACTAACAATTTTATTATCTAAATAATCTAAGGAGCTAAATATCCAATTTTTGTAATTACTATTTAGTGTTTGTTGCAATTATTAAAAGTCTGAATTTTATGGATCTAAATTATTAAATTCTGCTTATTAAAGAGTTTAGAAACTTAAATTTTAATTTAAGTTCGTTTAAGAAGAATCGAAAATTACAATCTAAGAAGATGGCGATATTATGTACAGTTACTTAGTAGATTATGCTAAATTTTTAAAGTAATTTTTAATTTGGGATATCTTAGATTCAATGCATAAAACATGAGATATCTCTTCTTATTATGTATTTTAGTTAAAGTACATCACCTTTTAGCAAGATTGCTATGATGGAAAAGGTATTTGATCACCAAATGAAATTATTGGAGAATTCAGACTTAAAGATGTCTAGTTCATAGCATCTATAAACCATTAGCGGCAAGTAGGATCATAAACAAAAAGCCCTTTATGACATTTTTCATTTGGCTCTATACTTAAAGTAGAATTGAGACTTGTAGAGTAAAATAATCCTTCCAAAGAAAAACCAAAAAATATATTTTAAATTGGAATATACTCTTCATATCCATCATTTTAGTTTAATGATAATATTGCTTTCATTAAGGGATCCACTCTATTAATTTAAGATAAGAGTTACTAACCCTAACTATTTAGTTAATTTATTTCAGTAGAATTCTACTAATACCTTTATTTTTAATTAAATTTAATTTTCATTTCATGTAAAAAAGTAAATATATATATATTTAGTTAAATTTAAAAGTGCTTTTAACACTTTTTTTGTGCTTCTTCTCAACCAAAAATAAGCAAATAAATAAATAATTAATTAAAAAATAGTAATTATTTAGCTCTATTAACATCAAAAAAATTTTTTTAATTTAATTGAATATTATTTTTGAAAGGAAAACTAATAAGTATTTTTTAGTTTAATTAATTAATTACCAAGTAGAGATTAATAATTTATTTCTTAAATACAATTCTATCAACTAAGGGTCTCCTTTTTGGTAATAAAGATTCAAAACTTAAATGATTGGGGAGCGGTAGTTAGGAGTAAGCTTGATTCTCCCTGTAATAAGCTTATAAGAATAAGAATTTATCAAATTTAGCTGAAATGGAATACTCTGCATTTCTATTTAAAGCTTTAAAGATAATAACTATGATGCTTTTTGACTAAAATCAATTTAATTTTGATATAATTAGTTTGAAAATTGTTAGATAAGCTGTTTAGAATGGTATATTGAAATAGCTTGACTAATAATAGCTTATATAAAGGTGAGCATTATTGTAATATTCACTATAAATATGAGTGCTAGTTTAAATTTCATTGCTTAACACTAATTCTATCTCAGTCAGCTTAAGTTCTTTTTTACAGATTAAATTATTTAATAATAACAAACAATATTTTAATAACATAAATAAATATATTAACTACTCTCCTACTGATTTGTTTCTCTCAATATTATTAAAAATTTATACAAATATATATAAATTGCTGGTTTCTAATTAAAACCTTAAAGAGAGGATAGCTAATAAGTTAAATTTGTTTTGCTTGTTTAAGTAATTCTTAAATGAATAAAAGTTAGTAAATATAGGTTTCTTAGGTTAATTATAAATAAAAATATGTGCAAATCAAATAATTTTATTTTTTAATCACTTTTTCTACTTAAAATTATTTCTATAAATCTAATACAAATATTCAAAATATTTTCTAGATAATCTATTTATTATTTTTAAATTCAATAGATAGTTTTTTTAATTAAAGACTATAAATATCAGTGCTAGTTTAAATTTCATTGCTTAACAATAATTCTATCCCAGTCAGCTTAAGTTCTTTTTTACAGATTAAATTATTTAATAATAACAAACAATATTTTAATAACATAAATAAATATATTAATTACACTCCTACTGATTTGTTTCTCTCTATATTATTAAAAGTTAATAAAAATATACATAAATTGCTGGTTTCTAATTAAAACCTTTAAGAGAGGATAGCTAATATGTTAAATTTGTTTTGCTTGTTTATGTTAATTCTTAAATGAATAAAAGTTAGTAAATATAGGTTTCTTAGGTTAATTATAAATAAAAATATGTGCAAATCAAATAATTTTATTTTTTAATCACTTTTTCTACTTAAAATGATTTCTATAAATCTAATACAAATATTCAAAAGATTTTCTAGATAATCTATTTATTATTTTTAAATTCAATAGATAGTTTTTTTAATTAAAAATTATAATTGAATAAAAAACTATTTTAAAGTATGAAAAATATCTATGATTATTTCCTAAATATATACTGTTATTTTTGTTTATTAAAACAATCTTCATTTTTGTATTAAAATTAGCCTCATTTTTAATAATAAATTTATGTATTAGTTAATGTATATTTGCAGTTTTTAATATAACTATCTATAATTAATTAATTTACAATATTTATATTAAAGTTAGAAAAATTATTACTATTGAAAATTTCAAAATATTAACAAAAAAATTTTTTAAAAATTAAACATATTATTTTAAGGCTATAAAGACAACATATTCTTTTATATTATTAATTAAATTATGAAAAGTATTTTATAAGAATTAATGTGGATGGATATATAAATTTTCAGAAATTCGAATTTTTTTTTCAAACAAAATGCTTTTTCTTTTACAGTAATCAATCAGAAATGCTGGATGATTGTTGGATAAATATTTTAAGATATATGTTCTCTTTGATTTTGAAGATATTTTAGGAGGCTTGAATAAGTGTAAAATAATTTGATTATCACTTTACTTTCGTATCTATAACTTAAATCTGGTTCTACTTCTAAAAAATTATTCCCTTTTTATGACAGCAAAATTATTAACTTTATATTTAGATATGATAAAAGAATACAAAGCTTATCAAACAAATCATTTTTTATAATCTCTATTTTGTCAGTAGAATAAATAATGATTTTATTTAAATTTTATGAAGATTAGAAAGAATCAAGTTATTATTTTTGAGAAAATGTATATTAAATGCTTAAGTTTTAATTAAAAAACATTGAACTTAAAGTTTTTCTCATGCATTAATGAAATTGGAAATTTCTATTTTAAAACATTTAAAAAGTATTAAGGTAATGGTATTTCAGATTTTCTAAGCAAGATATAATTGAAGAATCATGATAGTTAATGTCTTTACACTATTTTTACAAGTTATCTAAATTAGGATCTCTATTTATTTATAAAGAATGTTCTATTGATAATTTGTTTCTTTTTTACTCTTTCTTTACATTTTCAAATTGATTTTATTTTTAAATATTACTTCTTTAACTATTTTAATAAATTAGATCACATTTTTCATTTTTTATTTATTCTTTATAAATACATTTTCTTATTTATTATTATTCCTTATGAAGTATATTACGAAATGGAGTAGTACTAATAGGTTTTTGTATGAAATCACTTTTTTCTTCTGGTAAAATGTAAGATTCTTAATGATTTTTTTCGGTATTAGGAGAATCGTTTGGTATGCTGTATAAAGATTTTAAAGTAGATATTCTATCAAATGTAAAGTCCTTTTTTTATTAATTATATATATTTGATTTAACTTCTTATTATCTTTTTGAAATGTCTATAAAGTATTCTGATTGCTTTTAATTTTCTAAATTTTATAAATCCAAAGTTGATCTTTATGAATTTTCTAAATTTTTTTCAGAAATTTTACATAATGTAACACATTATAGCAAGTTTTAGAAGTCTTAATAAGATATTTATTAATATATATCTTCAATAATATTCTAAAAAATTGGTTTTATCATACTAACAAATGTCAGACACTAGTATTATTATATATAAGAATGCTAAAAGCTTGAAATAATTATACCCAGTTAATCTTTCTGCGAAATTAATATTTAGCTAACAAGATTTGATAGTAAAGATATTGACTAATAAATACTTTCGTTTTCATTTTGACAAGCAAATATAAAAACTATTTACATTGAGATCTTAGGGTTTAACTTTTTGCATATATTATTAAAATCTTTAGAGATGATGCAACTATTATCAAAAATTAATTTTAGCTGCTTGATTATTTTATAAGGAAAATGTGACATAAATTTCTTACAATTTTCAAACAAGTTCGTTAAAATAATAGCTGATTAATAATATTTTTTTTATTTTGATAATAATTCTACATTTGCTATATCTATCTCAAAATTTAAAACATCTTCGTCTAATTCAAATATAATATCTTCTTGATCTGCTCCTATTTATTCTATTTTCCTTATATTTTACAAAATTAGCTCTATATTTTATTTAGTTTATAGAAGATTTAAATTTGAATGATTAACGCACTATTTATGAGGTTATATACTTTTTTAATCACTTGGTGTGTTACTTTTCTCAAGGATATTTGTTAGAGATTTTCTTAAATTTTAAAAATTTTAATCTTTTTCTTAAATGATATTTAGAAATTATCTAACTTAATTCTATTTCAGGTATGAAGATTGAGATAATCGTTATTTTTTGAATTAATTTCTCTGAATTTATAAGTTTTAAGATTCGCTTGGGGAATCGCATGATAAATTATTAGATAATAAATTGAATTATTTATCAAAAGTTGTTTAGTTTTTTTTTCTTAAAACTTAATAGGTACTTGCAATTTACAAGCTTTTTTGCATTTTTTAGGTACTATCATATTGGTCAATCAAACCTGCTTAAAAATTAATATTTTTTTAATTTAAATCTTATTCAGAATCCTTGTACTAGAGCTATGAAAAATTAAGATAATTTTCATTTAAATCTCTGCATTAAGAACTTTATTTTTCACCATTCTCGATCATATTATCCTTTAGGTTTTAGTTTTAATTTTAACTTTAAATGAAGCTTGATGCTTCGATTTTTTATTACATTAAAGTATTAAAAGACTTATTTGATTATTTGTGTTATTTGCTTTAATATTTATAATTAAAAATATTTTTATTTTCATTATCAGGATTAGCATTTAGCAATTAAAAGTGAGTTTCATTTAAAGTTATATTTTTGATTTCTCCTTCATTTTTATTTTTTAAATAATTATTAAGTCTTTACGTTGAAGATATTGCTTAGCTGTGTTCGAATATTTAAGAGTTAGCAGATACAGATTTCATATTATTACTAAAACAATTATTATTTTATGATTTATTTTGTTAAGTGGAGGCTTAGAAAAGTTCTTATTACATTTTTTCTATTCTAGAGCTAAAATAGATTTTAGATTAATTATTAGTTTATTTATTTTATGCACTCACGAAATCCAAATTATTTGTATTAGCATTTAACTAATTTTAGTTTTTATAATAACAACTTTTTCTATTTTTAAGTAAAAAATTATCATTTCCATTATTTATTATTTTATTATCTTTTTTGAGAGACTATTTTAAATTATCACAGTACATAAGAATTATTTCACATTTTTAGAGATTATTAAGTTTAACATGGCATTTGCAGATAAGAGTTAAGATTTCAATTTCATGCTGTTTCTCAAAAGGCAAATAAGGGAGAATATACAAAATATTTTTTAAGAGACTTTTAATTTCCTACCAAAAATTATATTTATAAAGCTCTTAATTTTGTGATTAATATTTTTTATCTTCATCTTGGCTTTCCTAAAAAGCAATTAAAGTAGTAATGTAGTTTCTTTTTCTGAAATAAATGTTTAAAAGAAGTTGATATCTTTATTATAAATGCCCATCATCAATAAAACAATAGCATTCTTAAGTTAATCTTTTGTAATGTTAATCACTGTTTTCATTTTTTAATGAGATTCTATGCTTCTAGGTTAATAAATCTTCTCTTTATGAATTATAAGGATACCTATAGCTATTTTTGATAAAGTCCTCAACATCATTTTAGCTAATATTTTTTTTCTTAAAAAACTAACTTTTAAGCTTTTCATATATGCTTTCTTTATTGATTTCATTTAAAATATGCAAAAATTAATTTTCTTCTTAATTACTTTATATTTATGATAAACAGAAATCATCTGTTTCATTCTTATCTGAAAGATTAGGTTTGATAATATTTTTTTCAATTTTGAAATTTTACCTTTTAGTGATGTATGGAGTATTTTTTTAATAAATACTTGACAGATTATAGCTCTGCATACTATTTAAAGGATTGCTTTTATCAAATTAAATATACTTTTAATTCATCGTTTACTTTTTTTTTTGACTATGATCAAACCCAAATTGTGTCAATATTTAAGAACTTAAAGATTATTTATATTAGAGACAAAAATCCTTTATTTCGCATTATGCAAACAATATAGATAAAGAAAAGTGCTCTAAAGCTTGGAAGTAATGCCCCTGACTCATAAGTATTGACCCTATATTATTGTGAGCTATTCCCACAATATTGTAATTTTCAAATTACTCAAAAAACTATACTTTTCTGCAAAGACCCATCAAAGTTTAGTTTTAGTCGCTAATGAAAAAGTTGCAAGAAGTGTATGTCAGATTATGAAATACTAATTCGAAGCTTTTAAAAAGATCATAAGCTTCTTTAGAAAGAAAGATATCCTCTGAATTAAGTGAAAAGTCAACAAACAATGAAAATAGCTAATCAGTTTTTATGTCAATCTAAATCCTTTTGAGGATCTTGATTAGATGATCTATAGGACTGTTAAGAAGAATAAGAATTTTAATAGTGTAGTAAATCTAAAAAATAATAACAACAACTCCAAAAATAATTTGGGCAATACAGTTGTAGAAGTAAAATTAATCAAAAAACTCAACCATGTCTTCAGATTACTATTTTAGCACAGTATCTGCTATAATATTTACTTATAAAAAAGCTATATCTATGTCAATTCTAGATTTCTGCTCTTATTTTACATTTAAAAATTAAGGTTTTTTATCAATAATAAAAATAGGACTTAATATCACACTTGAGTTAGTTTAATTCCTTTGATATTCAAATACTGTTACCTATTCCGTTAATTTAGTTAACAATTCGTTGCTGCTGTAATTTAAAGATTCTAATATCCAATAATTATATTTGCTAAGCATTTAATCAAAAACTTAGGCACTTTCCTGAGATTACAAATAATTCAATTCTATTTGTTAAATAGTTTATTAAGGATACTCATATGGCTGACTAGAATCATAAATAACTTAATTGCTTCTTGGATCCAAAATATAACTTTATATTGTTGATTTTGCAAAATTTTAGAAATATTTGATTAAATTTTAAATTAGCAAGTTAAAACATTAAACATGATGAATTCTGTCTAATCCATCTTAATTGCTAAATTAGTTCATCTTTTAACAAAGTAAATTGGAAAACTACCCTTTAGCGTTAGCATAATTTGGTGAAAATAAAATTTAGGAATCATAATTTTAAGACTAAATGAACCACTATGAGCATCTAGGATCAAAATTAAATACTCCCTTATTGCATTAATAAGCATTTGAAATATTTGAAAAACTGCTATTTCTTGTTGTTAGAAATAAAATGCCCTCACTTTCTAAACCAAACATAATTCTTTAAAGAGTAATTGAAGAGTTATTATTCTACTAACTGTATTGGTAATTGACTGAGTGGATTAAAGGATCTAATAATGTTATATTTTTCAGTAAATTTAAGCTTCGAGAATCTAGCTAATCAAATTAACTAATATTTTATTAGTACCTAATAAAATAAAATCTTTATGTATAAAATATTTAGAAAATAAAAACTTTTGAAATAATAGTTTCTATTTTATTTAAGAAAATAAGCCATATTGAATAATAAATAGAAAACAAGCTTTCTTTCAAATTAAATAAAAATCGTATTAATAAATACTAAGCAATAAGGATGTCTTTCAAAATTTAAACTATATAGAACTAATAAAAACTAAGTTATTTTTAAGGTGCGATGAAGATTAATTACTTTAATTTACAAGCTAATAAATAACTAGTCAAAATTGAATCAAAATGAATTTTTAAAGATAGTTATTTTTATTTTAAATTCTTTATTAAATAAAATGTATTAATAGAGAAACTTTTTTAGTGAGTAGTTGAAGTTGTATCCATCGATTTAAATAATAAAATTTATTTACCATTGAGAAGTTTATGCAAAATTCTGTTTAAAACCCTCTGTTAGGTATTTTTCTTCTTTATTTTGGTAAAATAATTCTGTGTTTAACAAAGGTCTTATGTAAAAAGGATTTGCTTAGATATTCCCTGCAAGAATCTTAGAATAGAGTTAGTTTACAGTTGTAATCATTATAGGATATATTTGCAGCTGTTTGCTTAGTTGATAAGATGTGCATTATGTTAATTGTTTACTAAACATAATTTATTATTAATATAGTTTCTCTTATAAAGCTTAAACCTAGCTTTTTACAAATTTCAAAGCAAAATACTAACTCAGAAGAGCAAAACCAAAAGCCGCCATCAAAAAAAAACTAGTAGCTATGATATAAAATAATATTTTCATTTTTAAATATTTATTGAGTGGAATATAGATATTTTTTTTTCTTGTTCTTCCTAATTAGTTCTACTATTAATTTTTTTTCTTTAGTTTTAAATTTGTTATTAATTAAATCAACTAAGAAAATTTTGATATCCTTTTATTGTTATTGTTTGTTTTGTAAGATTATCAATTTTTCAGTACTAACTAATACTATAATTAGAAAGTTATAGTAAGTTTTTCTATTAAATGAAAAGAATGATATATTTTTAATGAAAAGAATGAAACAAATTTTAATGAAAAGAGTGATATATAAAAATTTTCACTATTTTTATTATACTAAAACCATAAATCATGTAAACAGTTTAGTGTTTTATAAAATATAAACCAGCTTTGCCATAAAATCCATAAAATTGTAAGAAAATTGTTTCTAGTTTTAAAAAGAGAAAAAAATAAAGGTTTGTTATTATTAAGCATTACAATTAAATTAGAAGTAATAATAAAAAAATGACATTTATCTTTTTTATATATGTTAGCAAAATATTATTTCTACCCTATTAATAATTAATTAGTAATAAATTTAAAAACATATTTTGTATTAAGATTAATTTAATTGTAATAATTTTTTAAATATTACTAATTGTATAAACTAATTATAAATTTTTAAATATTTACATGAAGATAATAAATTCAATTTCTTTTTATATTAAAAAAATTATAAAATATTTTTTTTAATAAAGTAAGTTGATTTCAAAGATGATAAGAAGCTAGTTTTATAATATTTAATTAACTTTTTAAAAAATAAAATAAAATAAATCTTAAATTTTTAGAAAATCAATATTAACTGGTTTCTCATTTTATATTTATTTGTTAAAATTAAAAAATAAATTTTTGGTTTTATTAAATAATTATAGAAGATAATTAATTTAGATCTAAAAAAATAAAAAAATATAAAAGAAGAGATTTAAAACAATTTTGACAGGACTTTGCTTATTATTGTCCTTATCAAAACTTGAAAATAATGATGAAGAACACTGTTTAAAAATGCTCATATATAAGTGGTTATGTATTACAAATAGGTTTATCTCGTTTATTATAGAGATATTATAATAGGCGATCTTCGCTGTAAAAGAACATTATAACTTAAGTATTGTTAAAATACTCATCTTCACAAAATTCTTTCTCTTTTTATGACTCTTTTTCATTTAATTACAAGACTATCAATAAAATTTTGAAAGAATATAATAATTTTATTAAGGATCTATACTTTTAATCTTTAAGTAACTTTTTTTATTCATCACACACAAAAACAATTATTTTCTATTGATTAATTAAATAGCTTTGTTGATAAATGCTGCTTTTTTTAATGTTGTTTAGTGCACGATTTTTCTATTATTTTTCTTAATTTTTTGCTTCTAAAATATTTTGTGAAATCAAATAATTTTTATTTTACATTTTACCACTTAAAATAATATCTATGATTGATTTTCTTACACAAAAATGGAAAATTCTATTGTAGTTATCTTATTTATTTCTAAAGAGTTTATAGCGATTTTGCAAAAGCTTTGGAGAAACTGTTTGATTAAAGATTAGACCATGATTTTATGTTTTACTTTCAATCGGAGTTGGCTATAGCTATATTAGAGGCTACGAAGCATAGTGTAACATATTTTATGTAATAAATTCAGGTGATTTAAAATTAAAACTTAAAAGTGGTATATGAGGAGGGCTAGAAATAGAGTTTATTTAATTCATAGATTAGTTTTAGAAGCTTTTCGGAGAATAATTTTCATCTTCAATCTAAATTTATTCTATTGATTATTTTGTTTCGATTAAGTTATCTCCAGCTTTTGAAGTAGAATTTTTTCTAAAAGGATTTCTGTTATATGGTTGAATTAAATAATTTTTATTTATTGGTGAATAAAGAAGACTTTTATTTTTAAGTGTCAAATCATCACTCGCTTCTAATCTCTAATTTTCATAAATGCTTAACTAACGCTGAGGCTTTTGCAAATTTAATATTTGAGGAGTGTATAAATTTGAGTTTACATAAGAAATATTTGTATTTTCTTGGTTAAATTTGGATTATTTCACTTACAAATGGAATAAACTTCCATTTTATGAATGGTTTATTTATACAATTTAGCTTTTTTATGGATTATCAATAGCATCATTATAAATAGATTCACAAAATTCACTATTTTAACTACTTTTTGATTAAATTTCAGTTATAAAATTTATATCCATGCTCTCATTTTCTATTTAATTTTTGTTCAACTAATTTTAAATGATAGTACTTTTTTTAATTTAATTTGATCTAAATATGTTTTCTTTTTTTGATTTTTTGGAACCTAATTTTTTAAAACAATTGAAAACTTTCCATATTATTGAATTATTTTCATTTTAAAGATATGTTTGCATTTTTTATGTTATTAAACTACTTCCTTTTCTGCAACTTCTTCTTTGGAAAATTTTTTTAACAGGATTTTCAAGTTTGTATATTTCTCTATATATTTGTTTTAAATGGAACTTTACTTAGTGGAAGTTGGATTTTATTTAATTTATCTTCATCAACGGCACTTATAGTGATACAGGAAGAAATGAATTATTTACAATTAGTCCAAATTTATCATTTTAATTATTCATGAGCTCATCAAGGATGTCTTTGCAAAACAAATAAGTTCGTTTTTGGTTTGAAGACTTTGAAGAAGCAGATATAAGAGCAATTTTGAAGGACATATTAATATTAAATGATTAATGGAATTATTTTAAATCCTCGCTCTCAATATTTAATATTTCAAATATATAAGTGAGTTTTTCTATAAGTCGAGATCTTAAGTGAGAAGTGTAAAATTATGAGCACTCTATATTTTTAGTCAGTAATTCAGCAGCTTTAATAAACATTTGTTTAGAAATAAGTAAATCTGCTTCTATAAGGACTAGTTAAGTCCTTAAAATATCAGGGAAAAACTCAAATCTAATCATTTTTTCATCATCAATGTATCTTTTTACTTTAGATATCTTTTCAGGAGCAGCATGATTATTTTAAACAGCTTATTAATTGTTAGCATAATTATTCTAATTCTATTTATCCTCTTGCTAGATTAAATTAAAATTAATATTGTTATTTCTATAATTATTACTTGGACTAATGTTTAATTAGGTATTTTATTCAGGATACTTCTACCTTGGTAAATGTATAGGGACATCTAAATTTCTTATAATAGGTTTATTATTAATATCTAAAGAAGAACTTTATGAATTACAAATTTGTAAGCTGTTTATTTAATTAATTTCATATTAACTATTTAAATTAAATTTTGCATTATTTGTGTTTTAACCAATTTATGTTTGTGTTACTGATTCCTCTTTATTATTGTTATTATTATTTGTTGAAAAATACCCACTAGGCTACTCAATTATGGTACGAAATGAGCTTTATTTATTTTGTTATTCATTATTGATCGAGTTTTATATTGTTAAACCAGTGTTTAAATTTAAAGGATTAAGAAGAGCTTAAGAGTCTTGCTGTTGAATTTATATCTAGTTCATCTACAATTGAGTAAAGCTATTATATTTAGGAGTAGTATCAAGACCTGTTTTCATAAATGATGGATTCCTATTTAATAAATAATAAATTAGCGATGAATATTTGGGAGATAAAATACTTATCTATTTGTGTTTTAGGTTCTTTATCTTCAATCTCAATCTTTATTTAAAAAAATAAGAAATAAGTTTTTTAAATTTGTCATCAAAATAATTAATTTTAATAAAAATTAAAATAGAATTCAATAAAAATTTATAATTAAATACTTCAGATATCTTTAAAAAAGATTTAGAATTGTTGATTTAGGCTTGTGTATTTTCTTGCTAGCCAATATTTGATAGCAATCTGCTAAATCTACGAGGTTCATTCATTGAAGAAAATATGCTTTAAGTAGACTCTTTTCCTTGAAGCTATTTTTTGGATTTATTTATCATCCAATCTATTTCTCTTCTATCAATAGAACCTTATCTTTGTAGAGTAAATTTTTTTTTGAGGTTTCCCTTTTTCATTATAGTTGGGTTGATTTTTTATCCTGTATTTAATTTTATTTCATTAACTTCTTCTGTGAATGAAGTTCCTTTGTTTGAAGATGATGTTTTTTTAGGTGTATTTAATTTTATGCTTGTTTGCTGCTGAAAAATTAGCTGTCCTTTTAGATTTAATTTATTTTTTTTTTAAGGAGTAAAAAGAGTTGGGGAAGGACAATTGTCTATCGCAGCGGATTCTAAACCAACAGCTGCCATCAAACTTTGCTAGGTCTCTAAAAATAGCTACTTACATTAATTTATAATTTTTTTTGCTTCGACATACTAATTCAAATCTAGCTTAACTTAAGCTCGTGTTAGTAGTATTTACAGAGTTCTTGAATCAGACTTTTATAGATGCTGTTCGATTATAAGAAGCTCTAAAAGAAGCTCATCCACCTCGTTTAGAAAACAAGAATTAATACAATAGGTTTAGTTTTAGTGAGTTAGATGCAACGATGACAGAGTGTATTTAGTCACTGATTAACTTCGTATAAGCAATATTAATGTGTTAATATAGTTATACTTTCTATTAAATAATTTTTAATACAAATATTATAGTTCTTACTTTTCACTTTCATTATTTGTTTCTGTTTCTTAATTAATATTGTTTTTATTTTCTTTTATTATAAAGCTGTGCTGCTTTCTTCTAATCAATCTTTTCTTTTTACTCAAATTATCAAAATAAGATATTTATCTTTAAAATGTTCTTCTAGGAGATAAAGATGAAGGAGGAGATTAGCCTATGAGACTTTCTTATTCAGTTTTTGCTTTGTCTTTGTAAAAATCTAGTTCATATTAGGCATAAATAATTGAAATGGAAAAATGTTATAAAGCCTCTAAAAATCTGCCTTAATTCATATGAATGCAAGCTATATTGTTATGGCAAACTCCTAGAGCACTATTATTACCAAATTTTTCAAAATATCGTGATTAATTTATTAATTTCATGAGAGATTTGCACTAATTTTCATCAGTCAGTTCAAGTAATTTATTGTTAGTTGTATTTAAAGTTTTAAAAAGACCTCTAAAACTAATATATAGCAATTCTGTATCTTTGCTCATAAAATACAAGTTTTATGCATTTTCACCGTCTATTAGCTAAATAATTTCTTCATCACTTGTATTTGCATTATTTGCACAGCTAAGAAATTTATAGAGTTTTTTAAGTACTTTAGTTAAGTGAATTATTGGTAAATAAAACTAGTTTTTTAATTTAAAAGAAAAAATGACTGATATGATCATAGCTATAGCTAATATAATAGACAAAACTATTTCATACCATAGCATATATGATCGTACCTATTTAAATTAATCTTAGATAGCTGTTTCCATAATACCTTGGTTGAATACTTATATGAACAATAAGCTCTAGCATTTATAAAATGAATTTCTTTCTGAAGGTTTTTTACTTACCAAATACAAGGAGTTAATTATAACAGTTAAGGGATTACTATTTTAATCTTGAAATTAATAAATAAATTATGTAGAGCTATCGTTCAATGCACGGATGCTAGTAGAATTTAATTTCTAGTAGTTGTGATTTTGCTTAGCCTAATTTTGGATAACATTTAATAAATTTGTTGATATTTGTTAATCATATTTTGATTATAAATAGGTGTCTAATTATATATTTTATGAATTCATACTAGAATCTGAATGATAAATTATTCTCATTTCATCTGGGTCAATCATATAATAGTATTACATAGATTTCCCCATATTTTAACCTAAAAGCTCATAATCTTAAGCTTAGTAAACATTGCACAAAACAATATTATTCTTTTTTAAACCTGATTGTTAACAAATCAGACCAATATTTAAATTATTTATCATTTAGCTAGATGGGGACATGTATTAAACAGAAATGGGTAGCTCGCTTTTCATGGCTTCTTAATAGAAATTTTACTACCTAATATCAAATTAATAGTAACTTAAATTAGATTATTCTTAAAGCTCTTTTATTTCTAAATCAGTTAAATTATAGCCCGTGGAATATAGCATGCCATCATAATCAAATCCCAAGAAAATTCTTTAAATTTATAGTTTGCTTTTTTATTATTAATCTAGATTATTTGAGTACTTAAAAGCTTTTATTAAAGGATCTAAAATGCTAGAGAGATGTATTTATTCTTATTAAATTTTATCCAATTTTGTTAGCATTGAGTAGTCTTTTTAAATCCTAAAATAATTTAAATTTAAAAATTTAACAAAAAATAAATGGCGTTGTTTATACTCAAATAATATTAATGATAATAAAAATGTATTATTTAAATGAAAAAATAACTTATTTCAATATAGCTATAATTTTATTTTTTTAAAGAATAAATGGAAGAGGTTATATATTTTTTCTTTTAAATACTTTATCTGATTAGGAAATTTGATATTTAATAAAAGAACATTGGTTAAAGCTTTAAATGTAAGAAAAACTGAAAACTTACTCAAAAGAAAATATTTTATTTTGAAATTAAAAATCTATGAAAATATTATCTTATAAATAATTAGATATTTTATTTTAATTTTTGCTTTGAAATAATTAATTTGTATTTATGCATTCAAAATATAGTAACTAATGTTGTCATTTAGAATTATTTAGATGATAAAATTGCGTTTTTTGTATATTTGGAAATTTAAATATTAATTTTAAAAATATGTGGATAAATATAATCGTCTTAAATATTTGTTTACTTGAAAAAAGATAAAAATCTTAAATATTCAATTATTTTTTTTTGCAAACACATAATTTTGGGATAAATTTTGTCTTTATTCAATTTAGAAGATTAAAAGTTAATTAATATTTTACCAAGCTGTTGTGAGTAAATTGTTCTTTAAAAATAAACCTAAGAGTTATTCTTAGCTTTTATCATTGTTAAATGCTAGCTAAAGATTCATTACTGCTGGAACATACTTCGGGTTAATTAAAACCTATCCAGTTCTTATTTTATTATTCATTATATTAGCTATATTTACGCTCCAAGAAATATCCTAAAGCGCTTGTCTTACTTATAATGAAACACCGTTATGAATAGATGATTGTTATTATAATTGATAAATTAACATGTTTGTTTTTATTTATTCTAGAGTTGAAGAAGCCTAAGAAATAATTATCTAAAAACCTATGTATGTGTAAATTATAAGCATGACATTAGGAATTATTATGCCTAATTACACCCAATAATCACATTTTTTTATATTTGCTTTCATTTTAATACCTTTTTGATTAACTCAAATTCTATTTACACCAATCTTTATTTAATATATATACTTTTTGAATACCTTTAAGTCTTAATCAAAATTATATAAATATTTTTTTTAATAATTATTGATTTCTAATTTTTTTTGAGTGAATATAATTGAGTTGAATTATATTTTTGTTATTTTATCAAAGATAAGCGAATACTTGTATTTTTAAATAATTTGTTTATAGTCATTAGATTTATCAATACTCTAAAGGTCACACATTATTTTATTAGCCAAATTTTTGCTTAATTTACATTTTTTTATTAATTTAAGAAATAACCTCTTTTTAGGAAATATATAATCAATACCTCATTAAGATTAATAATCTATCTTCTTATGTTTTTGCTTGTTTGTATTATAAAAATTAAAGTATTAAATTCTATAAATAAAATTCTACTTAGCTTTTAAAATATAAAATAATAGATTTATATTAATCATAATATATTTAATTTATTAAAATATTTTCTTACACACACATTCTCTCTCTCTCTCTCTTATTTTTTAAATGAAATATATTTCCTGAAGGAATTGTCAAACATTTTAAATTTATTATCAGTTTTGATGTATGCCACTTAAATATTAATAAAGAAAAAACCTTAAAGTAATTAACTAAATGACCAAATTCAGTAACATTTTTCAAAAATATTTGATTGATAAAATGTATAATTATTAAATATTTGAAAAAATAAATTTACCATCTCTAAATTTAATTTGAATAAAAAATAATTATTGTAAATTAAAAAATTTATGATTTAATACTTAAGTATCCTCAAATAAATTCATATTTATAATATTGAATTTTTGAGTTAAATATAAAATAAATAAAAATATATACATTATATAAAATCAGCTTAACTAATTTTGATTATAATGAACAAACTTTTTAAATATTATTTAAATTTGATAATAAAACTCAAATAGAAAATAAAAGTACCTCTTGCTATTGTAATATATTTTTATTAATTGATATTCTTTGATTGAAATATTTTTTTAATCATAACCTCTACTAAAAATAAAATTTATGCTGGTCTGGTTGTTTAATTTTTATTCTTTACAATTTAAATAATTTTTGTTCGAATTGAAATCTAGAAGCAATACTATTAATAATTAAATGTCATAAAAGAAACACATATTTCAAATATCTAATTTAATGTTTTAGAATATAATAATTATATTTATTTTATAGAAGCATCTTTAATAATTTTATAAATATATAATAAAGTTTTTAATCTTATTATATTTTGGTAACAAAATTAAAAAAATAAAAATGTTACTCTTGTAAAACCATATTTATTTATTAAATTCTCTAGAATAATATCCTTGATCTAAAGTACAAGAAAAATACTGGCTTGATTGTATAATTTATATTTCATCATTATTTTTATTTTTATAAAAGAAATTTTGGGTTCAGAGGAGAAAAATAAATATTAACTTACAAGATAAATTATTATTAAAAATAATCGAGTTTTTAAAAGATTAAATTTTTTTATATTATTCATATTACTGCTTAAAAAAATAAAAAAATGAATACAAAATGTTAATTTAAAAGAATCAGCAAAATTAATAAATTTATTCATAAATAAGCAAAGTTAAAATTCATAGAAATATTGAACGCATAATTATAAATAAATATCTGTTTTTGTATTTTTAATTCCTATATTAATTTACTTTAGCAGCAACTTTTAATTAAAAATATCAAATTAAATAGTAAAATAAATGATAAAAATATTAAAGATGGATTTTTAATAGTATAAAATTTGTATAAAGACATAAAATTGTGCAAGAATTAATTGATCTAAATCTGAAATTAAATTATTTTTTATTTTTGTTGAAATTTATTAATAATGTTAATTAATTAAATTATTAGTTAGTTTATAAGGATTGAGAGATTTTTTGTTTATCACTTTCTCTTATGTCTTTTCATTTGAGATACATTATTGGGGTTTAATCTACCATATCCGAATTCTAAATTATGGTTATGGTGTTGCTTGTGCTTGATATCATCTAAAGTGAAACCATTTTCAAACTCTAACATATTTCTACTAAATTCTTTTTCTTATTATTTTTAGGCTATCTTACATTATGTTAATTTATTACCCTTTAATAAATCATCTTCTCTTAAAACAATATTGTTAGCTTGTTTACCAATTTAAGGCTTTGGAATGGAATACTAAATTATTTTAATAAGATTATATTAACCAGTGAAAAAAAAATTTATTTCAATAAATCTGTAAATTAATTTGAAAAAAATTTAATTTAAAATATTTACAATGAAACCAGCAGTATTTAATTTGAATCCCTTCTTTCTGTATAATTTTATTGAGCCATCAGCTTCAAAGCTGCAAGAGACCTTAAGTAAAGTAGGGTTTTTGCACTTTGGACAGAATTTTTTTGTCATTTCTTTGCATAAATGTTAGCAACCAAAGCACTCTAAAATAAAACGCTTGGCTCTAGTGATTAACATACCATCTATAGAAACTAAAGGAATACCCATTTATAATGCAACATTCTTTATATTAATAAAAAAACAAATTAAAATTATATTCTATAAAACACAATTCAAACAAAGGTTTCATTTGAAATAAACATAAAAATCAATCTAGCTGAATATTTATCATTATTTATGAATGTAAATAATTAATTAAATTTGTATTTTTGATTATTTTAGCCAAAACTAAAATAATAAAAACTAACTTGATTGATCAATAAATTGTTTACTTATCATTATTGTAAAAATATTAAAGCCATTTTTGAAAGTATCCTTTCAATACTTTGCTTTAAGATGATATATATAATAAATAGTAAATAAAGAATATGATATTTACCTGCATGGCAAAATCAGCAGTCAAGATAGAAACACCAATTTAGCTGCCAGTGTTTTCGAGCTTCTAGTTACCTTATTCTTTGTATAAGTGAATGTTTTCAGTGTTAATCCAACCTTCGCCATCATCTTCATCATCACTTTCTTCATCTTTTTGCTTCTTTGGCTTTTAATTTTTTTATTCTTAAACTGCTTCCTTGTTTTATTCACCTTCAACATTTTCTTTTTCTTAAGTTTATTATTATTTTTCTTCATTAGTTTTAGGTCCTACAAAATTCCAACCAGTTCCAAATTCATTCTTAGGTTTGCTTATTACTTTCTTTTTTTCTTTAACTGGGACAACATTCCATCCATCATCATCGTCTTTATCATCTTTTTTTTCTTAATCATCATCTTCATAATCTTCATCATTATCTTAATTTTCATTACTATCTTCCTTTAATTCTTTTTATTCACCTTGTTCTTACTTCTATTCTTAGCTAGTTCAAAATAAAATAGAATTAGTTGAATTAAATGGAATATTCAATTAAAAAATTGAATAAAATGTTAATTATTTTTTTTAAGAAGTATTTTTCATTCATTTTATAAAGAAAAAATTAATTTTTTTATATTTTAAAGGCAAAATTATAATTTCTTCTACTTTTGATTTTGCTACTGTTCTTCTAAAGTGAGAGATTCTAAACCGTCTTGAACATTTTTTTAAGCAAAGGCTTCCTTGATCTCAGGAGGTTCTTTTCTCAATAAATCGGCAGTTTTATTTTCTTCAGCGAAGGTGTAACAGAGAGCGATTACATTAATATCAACAGAACTCAAACTAGCTATATCACCAGTGGTAGTGGCAAATTTTCTTACAGCAGCTACAGCTGTTTTTGATGGGTCTTTAACCAAAATATCAAAAGGTAGAGTCAAGAATTTTTCTCTAGCCTTCTTATCACGGATTTCAAACTTAACTTCTTAAGTTGTGTATAAATCATATTTATTGTAAAGAGATTATAAATCTAAGCATTTGATAAATGCATTAGTATCAAGTACTAATACAGGCTTTTTGGTTTAGTCTTTGTTATTCTATTTTAAAAGTAAAGGAAATTGTAAACTAAAGGAACTAATAGTATTTTATAAGTTCTAATTTAATAAAAGTATTTATAATTTATACCTAATCGGAATTAGAATTATCATTTCTGTTATCAGCTATAATATCTTGGTCCCACATCTTTGCTATTATTAGTTATTCTAATTTATTAATTTGTACCTAACTTTTTGATAGATTGATTTTACTAATTATTTTTTAATAAATTAATTAATTAACTTTTTGATAGGAATTATAATATTTAAACACTTTACAAATAAATGATTATACAAACTAAATAATTAAGATGTCTTAAAATCAAATGATTGAATTTAATTTTAGGAAAGATTTTTAACTCCAATTAAATCTGTTATCAAAGCAATATCAAAGACAATATTGTATTAATAATATTTCTTTTAAATTATTAAAATTTGTAAATACATCTATCTAAATTAATTATTAAAATTGCTTTGGATGCTTTTCTTTTCAAAAATTTTAATCTCCCATTCTATATAAATATCATTAATTAAATCTAAAACAAAAAATATATTCAAATTTAATTTCTTTTAAAATCTATTTTTATTTTTTAAGTTAAAGAAAATTTGAAATAATTTTATTAAAAAATTTAATATATTTAAAATTAATAATAAATTGAATTAAAATTTTCAATTATTCTCTTAAAATATAATCATTAAATAAATTCAATATTTCATGTTATTATTAATTTTAAATATGAAAAATATCTAATTATTTTGGAAATTAAAGCAAGAGGTAAAAAACTAATTATAAACTAATAGTTAAATAATAAATTATTTAAACCTGATAAGCTAAATGATATTTTCTTAGTTCAGTTTTTATTCAACCTAATCAATATCAAATATATATATTTTTAAATAAGATTATTTTATAAATAATATTATTTATTTAATCGTCTTTTATAAATAAATGTATGAATTATAAAAGATTGGTTGTCTATTTTTAATTATAAATTGATGAAAAAAAATGTTATATATTTGATTGTGAAACTTAAACAATTAATAATACGCTATCATATTTTTTTGAATATTAGCTAAAATATTATATATTACTTAATTTTGGATTATTGTTTAAATTAGTTTATTTTGGTATTGAAGAATTTAAAATAATATCTTTTATTTAATTTTTTGAATCATAATTAAAATCTAATCATTGGTTGGCTATAAAAAAATGTTACTCTGAATTTTCGTATTTTATAAAATGTAAAAAATTAAAAAAATATTTTTCTATTAAATTAAACTTTTAGATTAAATTAGTTTTTTTATTGTTTTATTTTTATTGAATTGTAGATTAAATTAAATATATTTATTATATACTTTTTTTATTATATCCTATTCTATGAAGATCAAAGTTTTTATCGTTTAAAACGTAAAATGCGCCAAATTATTAAAAATTTATTTAATATTCTGAAAATTTGAATTTAGCTAAATCTTAAGCTATTGTTTTAGCTTCAATTAAGCTTATTAATTAATATTATTCACAAATATTATCAAAAAAGATATTAAAAATAATTTAAAATGGAAAAGCAAATTATACCAGTTTAATTAGTTGAAAAGGTTCATTAAGTTATGAACTACTTAAATTGTTTTGCATCTGACCTTTAAATGAATGACTACGTTACTGCAGAAGAATTTTATTTAGCACTGGAAAACATGAATAAACATGAAAAATTCGATTAGTTAATAAACTACATAGCTGGTACTTTTGTAATGTCGATGTTTCGAGAAATAAAAAGCAAAAGTAAGTAATATTTTGTTGTTGTGTGATTTATGTAAATATTTATTTTTCAAAAACTAGACAAGCATTAAGATTATTTAAGCTACGAATATGATTTCAGAATTTTAAAATCGATGAGATAATGCTTTAAAAGGATAGATGATAATGTTAAGACGTTTATGGAGATGTGGAGATAATTTTTAGTGTTCTTTTTACTAGTAAAACCCTTCCGTAAGACCTTCTTAATACCAAACTATAGCTCTACCTCTTCAATTAGAAGGGCTATAGATGAAGAAGAAGATAATGAAGATGATGATGAAGATAATTAGTTATAAGAAAATAATGATTAATTTAATATTGACGACGACGATGATGATAATAGCAGAGATTCCTCAAAATAAAATATTAGAAATGAAGATGGAGAATAATTGGAAAATTAAAGTAATTAAAGTAGTGGTGAAAAATAAAAATTGAATTTTAAAAAGAAAGACATTTCTAAGGAAGATCAACTCTATGAACACTATTATTGCAGATCTATTTCTGATACTGATACTTTGTTTGCTGATTTTTCTACTACTGAAAAGTTAGAAGCTTTTTTAATCCTTGTTAAAATAGCATATAAATTTTCATTTTGTTTGACATATTACTCAAACAGATATAAGGTAATTTTAAAATTAAGAAAAATCATTTTATAAAAAAAAAATAAAGTCAATTCTAATTTAAACATAGAGCCAAAATATCTTATAAAAGCAAAAATAATTAATAATATAATTTATCAATTAAATATATTTTTAAGCAGTTTATTTTTTTTCTATTTCATATTGCTATTTATAAAAATAAGAATTTAGTCAAAGATGAAGTCATTAAAAACTTGAAGAGCTAAATTACTGAAAAAGAAGATCAAAGAGATTAAGCTAAATAGTAATTATAAGAATTAGAAAATTTATTAGCTGATTATACTAAAGATATAGATGGAGATATTAATTAACTACCAAATGATAAGCTATAACAATATAAAAAGGAGAAGATCAAGTTAAACCCTCTCAAATAAAAATTAGAAAAGTTAGAGAAGAATGTTAGTAAATTAAATGCTGATATGATACTGAAAAGAAGAATGCAGTTTTTTTAATTTTAAAATTGGGTTTAATTAGGAAGAGATAGAAATAAGAATTTATTTTTTGCTTGTGTTTATGAAACAAGTTATGTATTTAAGAAAATATTCAAATTAAATGATTAAGATGGTTAAGCAGAATGCTTTATGCACTAATATGATAACCTAGCTACTTTAAGATCGGAATTTAATCTTAATAATATTGCAGATGATTAATTATGGGATAAGATAAACCAATTAAATAGAGATGGAATTTTGACTATTCCTGATTAAAAATAGCCTATAGAAATAGAGCAAGATCAATTGTAGGATAGTGATAGCAGTAACATGTCTAAAAAAGATCAAATTTCTAACTATTACAAAGCTAAATCAAAACTTATTAAGCAAAATATTACTACTAGAGACTTCTCTTTCATTTAAAGGCCTGCTAAAAAATCATCTAACTTTAATAGCACAAAAAAGAGCATAAATACTAATGTTGATCTTACAGTTGACGATTTACAAGATTTTAGCTACAGCAGAAGAGTTACAAGAAGCTAATTAAGCGGAAATAAAAGAAAAAAAATTATTATTGATGACGATGATGATGAAGAAGAAAATGAAGATAATTAATAGCAAAATAAAAAGAGTTTAAGTAATAGAAAGAAAGTTTCTTATAAAAATGAAAGTAGTAATAGCGAGAGCTCCTAATCAGAAGAAGAAGAATTTTGAAATTACTTGCAAAAATTAATAAATAAATAAATTTATTTTTAAATAATAGATTTATTATTCAATTTGAAAGATATTTTATTTGGTTACGTCCTGTTAATATGTTTGATAATTTTTAATTTAAAAAATAAAAGTTTTTCTTTAATTATTTTTTTAATTTAGAAACAAGTCAGATTAAATTGACTAGCTAATAAATATGATTATTTATAAAATATTTTGAATTTATAATTTTTTAATAATTAAATGATTTTGTTTATTATTTTTAATTAAGTTTAAATAATTAGTTTTATTGTTTTATAACTTAAATTTTATTTAATCTAATCTCAATAAAAAACATTTATTTTTGAATAAAATAAATTTAAGTGATTTAGATAAATATTTGAAAATTTAAAAAAAGTAAAAATATTAATTTCTTAAATATAAAAATATTTTTTAAAATAAATAATTTGATTTTAGCTAAAATACAATATGGAATGACATATTAACACTTAAAATTTTAAATTTTAGTTATTTCATACAAAAAACAGAAATATCAAGCTGTTAGGAATATTTATTTATTTTGATAATTTATTATGTTATTTTTATATATACCAATAATTTTTAAATTATTTTGAAAGAGTAATAAAATGATTTTTTGCTTCTCTTGTTTATTCATTCACTGCTCATCCATTAAACCGTTTTATAGATAGAGAATTCTTAAATTTGAATTAAATGCATTTTCTAAAATAAGAGTATTCAAAGGAAGTAAGAGTAAACATCTTTTAGTGTATTTGTAATCTTAGACAAAATAGTAGTATCCATATAAGACTAGAGACAAATTTAAAATTAGCATAAACATTAAAAATAGAATTGTCATCAAAAGCATAATTTTCCAGGCACTATCAATCATTTACTATATATCCCTGTTTAAAATATCACTTGCATATTTCAGGATTCTAGTACACATTATACCTGCTTCTAAATGATCACCATCAGGATATCTTGGATTTCTTAGAGTGATGTTAAAATTTGTTATTTTATGTTCATTCTGTTTATTAAAATTGTTAATTATGAAACAAATTTAAATAAATATATTAGCCTAAAATCAAATAGAAAATAAAATTTATTTTAAAATAATATTTTATTGTTTTTGTACAAAAATTTTATTATTTAAAGATATTATTTGATCAAAAAAATTCTTCAAATTGTATTTAATTTAAAGAAAAATTACATTTAAATCATTCAATAATTATGTAAAAGTGGTAATTATTCCTGTCTGCATTGAACCAGATTAAATTTATTGACAGAGTTATAAATTGTAATCTTGCATATTTAAGATCTATGTACAGAGATTTGTATTTTACAAGCTGACTATGAAATTTTAAAAGTCATCTAAAAATTAATTTGAACCTAAATTTTGTGTATTTTAAAGCTCACTTGAAACAAAATTTTGAGCTTAAATAAGAAGGTTGTTATATTCAGGTATAGAAGTAGTTATATTACTATAATTCATATATTTAAACCAGTTTGCGGTTATACTATAATAAAATTCTTATAATCCTGTAAGCCTTGAAACAAGAGAGTGAGAATCTGCAAATTTTTAATAAGTTTTGCAAGCACTAACATAACTATTTATGTATTAAGTATTATAAATATACACACCTATCAAGCAGCTCGTAGTACCAGCTATTTTTATTTAATTAAATTATTTTTACTTTATAGAAAATTATTTGAATTTAATTTTTTAGTAAAAATGGTATATGAATTTCAATATTTTGAGAAATAATTTTTACCTACAAAGATGAAATACATGATAAGGATTAGGATTTTATTAACAAATCTCTTTTAAACAATTTTAAAAGATTTGCTGTTATTTCCTTATCTATAAGATTTGATAGAGGAGTTTTTCTTGTCTTCCATAGAGCCAAGGTGACTGTCTTTTTCTTCTAGAGAGAAATTATACCCGTTTAAAAAATTTAAATTATTATAATTTTCAATTTATTGCAATGATTTTTTAGATCTTTCTATTTCATTATCAGCCCAAGCTTTATCAATATATCTGAATAATTCTATTAAAGCTTCTTTTAGTCTGAGATATTTTACATAGAAATTTGTAGAAATTGCACTTAAAATACAAAACACGAGCATCATTATAATCAAAATAATTAATATAAGTTGATTCTAGTAGCTTACATCGTTTTATAATGAATCCATAGTTTATTAAGATATTTTGCTGAACAAATCTGTAATAGCCATAATATTTGCATTTAGAAATCCAACATCCTAATTTATTTTATATATATTAAATTCACTTATAGCAAGCATTTTAAATATAATTAATACATTAACATAAAAATTAAAAAATAAAATTACAAATTCATAAACAGAAATATCTTATAGCTTGTCCCAGTTCCAATTAGATATGTATTTGAAAGCTTTCACTAATTGGTATATGATTAATCTAAGTATATTTTTTTATAAACATTTTTAAAAAGATTTAATATATTAATAATTTATTTATTTTAAATTATTAAGTGGAAATATATTTTTTCAAACTCAATTAAATAATTGAAACGAAATTAAAAATTTTATTATTATCATAAAGTTCAAGTGCTCATATTATTAAAGAAAGAAAAATATATTTATTTATTTAAGTTTAGAAAAAAAGATAGATTATAAAAAATTTACCTATTGTACTGCAAAACTGTATTCACATTTTTGTAACCATCTGGCTAAAATAAATAGGTTTAGCTATCTAAAAAATCAAGGATAACAGGATTTGATTGATCAACTTCAGAAAAAGACTTTAGATTTGTATAAGTATAGTTTATGTTAGCTGATATAAAATTAATATGTTGCTTATAAGTTGTATAATTTCTAACTTTTGTTGCCATTTAGAAATAATAATTAACTCCTTACCAAATACATCCAAATCCTTAGTCGATGGGACCTAAGAACTCACTTTAGTATTTTAATATTTGAATGTTGCTTTGATGATTGTTTATCAATGTTTTAATAAAAATAGTAAATGAAGAAATCAGAATAATAGAAGCAACTAGCTCTGTGATTCTTAAATACAAGAAATACATAAGAGATTTAGGATTTGACTTAGATTCCATAAAATAATGCAACTTTTAATATTTCTACAAATATTGGTATCTTCCAAATTTATTAGTATTGGCAACTGAACTTTAATAGTTGTTTTTAATTTAATTTGCTTCTTCTTCTTTTTAGTCCATGTTAGGTTGGTTAGTTGAAGTAATTTCCATGCTTTCCATGAATTTTTATCTCCTAGATTGATGCTTCTTTTTTTTTTAGGATTTGTCGTAGTACTATGACTTTATTCTACTTTGAAAAAATAATTTTTAATTCAAGTCTTATTTTTTTTGTTGTGTTTTTCTTTTATGTTAAGTATCATTTTCATCATCTTCTTCTGTTACACATTCTTCTATTTTTTCCACTTTTTAAAGTTGCTAAAAAGAAGAGTTTTTAGGGCTGATGAGTTAATTCTATGAGAAGGGGAGATAAGATTAATTATTTAGAGAAACTCCTGATGTCTCTTCTGAGGTTGAATTTAATAAATTTTTTGCACTTAGCTGTAAAATTTGCTAATTGACATCTCGAGGAGAAACAAATTACATTGTGGGAGAAGTTAATCCATAATATTATGGAGACAAATTTTAATTTTTATCTTACTATGCCTGATTGCTATCGCTGCTAGATTCCTCAGATTTATTGTCGTAAAATATTTACTAATTTCCTTTTGAAATTGCATTCATTTACTATTGTTTTTGAATATCATTTTGAATGTTAATTTTATTTGAAGGTTTTATTTAATTTTCATAAAAAGAGTGATTTTAAAGTATTTAATTGTTATTGGCATCTTTAACTCCATAATTTCTGTCTATGCTGATAACCTCTAATTCTTTGTAATCAGTTTCTTAGTATAAATTTTTTTAACCATTTATAGAATAATCATAATTGCTTAAATCATAATTTAATTTGATCTCTTGTTTACTTAAGTCTTAAAATTGCTTTAAATCATTAAGCTCTTAATTAGTTTTAATTAAATATTAATTAGATTAAGAATTATTTTTATTGCTAAGTAAATTGCTTATGTCTTGGTTATATTTAAAATCTAACTTAGTCGCTTCATCATTCTGATCTATATCTATTTTTTTATTGATTAATTTTCCATCTAGTTAATTATTATTATTATTGCTATTTTCTTATTATTTTTTCTGGAGAGTATATTTATCTGTTGGATTTAGTTAAACCGGAGATAAATCTAAATCCTATTAAAAGTATTTGTTTGCTTTCTCTTGGTGGTCTGAAATAAATTCTTTTTACAAAGAAATATATTAATACTAAAAAGACTCTTCTACACTTTCTTTTCTATCAGATTCCCTAGGTGATTTAGAATCAATATGTTCTTGGATAACTTCAAGATCTTTATTATTTTCTTAATGAATTGAAGAAGATTTCTTTACTCTTATCTAATTTCCATTTATTTATTATTAAGAAGTAGACCTTTAATCTCTTATAGGAATAACTTCTTCTGAACTCATGAAATTATTAAATGTCCAATAAGTGGAAGTATTATTGAGTCTCGATGGAGAAAACTAATCTCTATTTTAGCCCTAATATATTGTTTTACCTAAATCACTGCTTGATTAGTTTTTAAATGTTGGGCTTTTTTCTAAAATTTACTATTTATTGTCTGAACCATTAGATGCTACTACTTTAGATTAATTCTATAACTATATTTAATTTTAATTATTTGTTTATTGCTCCAAAACATCTTATTTTACTACTTTATCTAGTTAAATATTATTTACTTGCTATGCATTTTTGCTAATTTAATTTGTGCTATCCTAACTTTTTTTTTTATTTTTCAATAAATTTTATTATCTTATATGATCTGCTTCATCTTCATTAGTATTTTATTCTGTCTCTAAGCCATTCGTTATCTTAATAGCACTATTAACAGAAATATTATCAGCAGTATTAGTTTTAAAAGAGGAGTCTAACTTTGTAAAACTTGTACTGTTTCCTGATGTAGAATCATCTCTAATCTAATGATATTTAAATCAAATAATATTTTATTTTTTTCTTTTCATTTGATAATTGCTAAAAATTAGTTTGATAGCTCAATTATTTACATAAAAGATATCAAATTAGCAATAATTAATTTTATCATGAAAGTAAGTTTAATGTTTTTAAAATATTTTATAAAGTAATTCTTAAAATTTTCTTTAAGGTGAAAATCTTTAAAAATTTAAAGTAATTGGTGGACATTTTCTTTATAAATTATTTATTTAATATAATTCATTTAAAAATTGTGGATATTTAAAAGCAAATTTTTAAGTTTTTAAATTTTTAAATTTAAATTTTTGATATTTTAAATTTTAAATTATTAAATTAATTTTTTAAGAAATACAAGATAGATTAGATTAATAAAAAAGCTAAAAATTATATTTATTTGAAATAATTATTAGATATTTTAAAGGGGATGATGTAATTTGTTTTAATTAAAAAAAATGTAGATAGTGAGAAGCATTAGTATATATAAAAAATAGTTGTATTTGGATTATGAAAAATAGCAAAAATTGTATTAAAAAAAAAATAATAATAATGAAATTTTAGACAATAATTCTAAAAGTTTAATTAAATTAATTTTTTATTTAAAGAATGATGTACCTTTTTAATGTCGTCTAACTCAAAAATGTAATACCTTTCATATCTGCCTTATTATCTATTTTGATAAGGCTGCTATATCACATTTAAGGCTACTTCAAATTCAATAAATCCTCGTTATTTGTAAGAGCTTTGAACTTTTTGGGATTCGTAAAATACCTTAGGAATATTAAAAGATGAGGCAGATTAACTTTTTGAGTTTACGGAATTTTCTTTTGGTAAAAACATCTTAACCTTGAAGAATTTATTAAAATTTCTCTCTTAAGTTTAATTTGATGTTATGTATTCTTAAATTTTTGGGAATAAAGAATACCAGCTTAAATTATGCAAATGAGTTTTCTCGAACTCTATCATTTCTTCCTATTTATAAAGTTAAAATTTATTTATGTAATCTATAATTTTTTTTACTTTTTAGAATAAATTTTGCCATATGTTAGGAGTAGAGCATTAAAGATTTCCATCAAAATCAAAAAAAAGGCTAACAGTACTAGAATAACTTCTTATAGGCTTAATAAAAGTGATCAAACTTAGATCATTAAGCTATAAACTATCAATGTCAAAAAATATTATGCATTCTTGAGCATAGTTTAATTTATCTCTAATGTATATCTTTGACAGTTTTCTAAAAGATTTTGATTTTCCTGTTTTAAGAAAATTTTAAACGATCTAATTGTGATGTTATCTTATTGGATTTGGAATTAAATCATTTATATGATTGCAATACTTGAGTGTTTCTTCAGAAATCATCAATATATTAGAAGCATTCTTTGAATACCAATTCAATTTCCCTTTTTCACTTCCATAGCCTACCTTAAAAATGCATACTTTCTCAGAAAAGAAGTTGATTTTGGAGTTCCTCAAAACTCTTTATTTTTTTAAAAAGGCATTTTATTATATAAATAGTTTTTTTCTTAATCATATTAATAAATATGTCAAGGTAATTAGAATTTTATAATAAAAATTTTAGGTATTTGATTGAGTTTTTTCTCTATTATATGAGAAAAAAATAAGATCATAAAACTTCCTTATATTACTTTTGATCAGTATTTTTGGTATTACCGAATTAAAAGATCCAATTTATTTATAATTAAAAATTTATTTACCTGATAAAAAACTCATCTTCCATGCATACTTGCTTATTTATTATTTGTGCGCCATAAAGATCGTTTCTAATCTCACTCAAAAAGAAGGTTAAAATTAATTTTTAATCATAAGATGGAAATTCATTATAAAATCTATATATTTCTTTTTAGATTTTATCTAACTGGTAAGTTAATGCCTTAGCGTCATCAAAAAAATTTTCATTACTTGAGTAGGAGTTTTTCACAATTTTTTCTAATATCAAAAGTTTATTTTAGATTGCTTTTGTTAAAGAAAGCTTAATTTAATCTTTTTTTTGCGAAACTTTTTGAAATTTTTCAGTGCAAATTTTAACATCTTCTTCTTCTTTATTAACTTACTATTGAAAAGTTAGAATAAATTAGTTTCTTACTTAATTCATCAAAATTGGTAGACTTGATTTGACCAAGTAATTTACATTAGCTGCATTGTTTTCATACAAATTTTTAGCAATTTAATTGTTCAAGTAAAAAAGTTATTAGAGTGACTTAGAATATCTGTCCATTCTACATAAAGCCATAGCATAATGGAGGAAAAATAATTAATCTTCTGATTTATTTAATTACAACGCTTTTTTGAATTTCTCAAGCATATCATACATGTAGGCAAAATAAAATGACTAAGAATAAATAATATTAATTTATTTATGCCTTTCAGTCTCATTTGATTGTTCGTATGAAGAAGCAAAATTTTAACAATAGCAATATTGATTTTAACATGACTTAATATGATTTTGCAGCAATCCACAAACAATAAAATTTTAATTCTATTCTTTACATAAAATATCTATTTCGCTTAAGAGTAAAGATATTTTATAATATATTTTATATTTTACATTTTTATCTTATTTAATATCATTTAAATCCGTAGATAAAATCTTCTCAAAAAATTAGCATTTTCTAACTAAAATAAATTTTACAATTAAAAAAATTGTGAGAATTATAAGTAAACTATGCATTTTATCACCTATTTATTTTCATAAATTTAATAATTAAATAATTATACAAATGTATGTTTTATTGGTAATTAATATGATGATTTTGATTAGTTTAACTAAAGAAACGAAACGATGCGTTTATATTAATGAGATAAAAGAAAGAATAATAAAAATAAATAAACTTTGAAATTTTACTTAAAATGTTCAATGGATTCCAGAATATGTAAAGAACCAAAGAAGATAAAGAAATGCATATGCAAATCAAAAAAGCTCCAATTACAGTAAAGCTAGAGAATGGAAAGTAAAAGATGACGTCAAACGCAGAAATAATTAAATAAAAGGCTATAAATATCAGCTACAAATATTTAGCAGTATTTTAGAAACCATAATCATTTGATTAAATTAGAGAGAAATAAAAAGTGCAAACAATTTTGATGATATTAGAGAAGGCATAAATATTAGTCCTGTTTAACCTAATTAGTCCTTTACTCTCCATTAATAAAGATTATTCTGAAAATTAAGTAATATTCAGGCTGAATAAAATTGTAAGAACCAAGTTAAGGATAGAAAATATTTAGATAAATACTTTTTTAATACTTTCTTATGTTTCATCTACATTTGCTTCTTAAGAAGAAAATTAGCTGCAAAGAAGTATAGTTTGCAGCAAAGGTATTAAAATAACATAATTAAAACAGTGAAAAAAGTGATATAATATATTGTCCAAATAAGATTTATTATATCTAGCATTAAGGATTTTATGTTTTTTTTTAGTATTTTCTTCTAATAGTCTTTAAATAATGATAGATGTAATTATTATAAACACAAATAGTATAATCAACTAGACAGAGAGTTAGATAGAAAGAACTTGTTGATAGACATCAAAAGTATTGCTATTAGTATTAGTGGGATTAGTTGATCCATCTGTGCTATTTGTATAATTTAAATTGTAAAATCCAAAATCTCTCTAACTATATTTAGTTTCTAATAATCTTTAGGTTTTTAATGTATTTCGCTAATTAAACTCTTAGCTATTTGCTAAATCACTATTGAGTATTCTACTTGAAGTTTAAGAATTAGCAACTTAATCATGTTAACTATACTATAAAATGAGTAAGTATTAAAAAAATTTCAAATTTATATAAAATAAAATAATTTTATGAAAATCGAGGATAGTTTATAGCGTATTAATCAATTTAGAAATAGCTTTTTATACTATTTCCATTTTTTGTAGTCATTATTTAATTATAAGCTGAATTACATATTTTGGATCAAACAACTCAGGTGCAATGTACTCAAACAAATAAAGTTAAGGATTTCCAGCATAGATTAGAGCCTCATGGAACCTATTGTAAGTGAACATTTATTTTTCGAAGGAATTTACTTTCTTTATCGTAGGAAAGTAAAGATACATATTAAGCTAAAGATAGCTAATCACAATAAAAAATGAACATAAGTAATCAAAGCCTACATTGCGCTCAAATTATTAATGAGAAATGTTAATAAATACTTTGCTGATTCTATTAAAAATTCCCCCTTATTTATCTTATTTAGTAATTATCTTAGATTTTATTTGACTGCCTTTCATTTGCTTCAAGAAATATTCCAAAACTTCTAAAAAATACTTATTTTATTTTGCTTTGCTTTTTATTAAAAAAGTTTTTTTTTGAAATTTAACTAAATTTACTCTATTAATTAATATTATCACAAATAGTGTAATTAACCGAATTAGTTTATTTTTTTGTTTGCTTTACTTACCAATAAAAAAACTTTTTAATCCTCACCTCATATGATATTCTTAAAGAATTCTTATTGTTTTTACAATTGATTAAGATACCTGCATTGATCAGCAAATAATACGCAACTCTACCAATTTATGACTAAAAGCCAGAAATAATATCTTATTTAGTTTAAATAAGGAGCAACACATTAATTAACAGTTTTTACCATAAAAAAATTATTGAATAATTTAACTTTTGGTTATACATTTTAATAAATCGAGGAAAAGATCATATCTAGATAAGATATTTACTCTTTTAAATTTGAAATTTTCATCTTCAATAAATAATACACTGTAATATTTTTTTCTTTTTATATTTACATTTTTTGAACAAGTAGGTAAAATAATAAAAATCAAATAAATTTAGAAAAGTAAATTTGTTTAGCAATTATTTTTAGTAAGAATTGGTAAATCTATTTAAGAAAATATGTTGGAAATTTGTTTTTAAAAAAAGAAATTTAAATGCGAAAAAGGTAAAATTCAAATTTTACATAGAAAATATTAAGATCTTAATAATTTATTAATATAGATTACACTTAGTAAATATATTCATTTTAATACTATTTGATAGTTAATTTAAGATTTCATTTAAATAAAATTACATGGTAATTTATTGACTAAATATTTAGATTGCATAGAACATTATTAAACGCGTAGATTACAATTTATATTTGTAAACATATAAAAATTATCTTTGCTATTTAAAAAAATATAATCAAATACTAAAATCATCCCTTTACACTTTGATTTTTAAATTATTGTAAACAAATACAAGTAGTAACTTAATTTTCTTTTATTCTAATAGTTATGCATCCAATATATAATTCTATTATTTTTTTAGTATTTTAACTCTAAAATTAATATTTTTTTCCTTAAAAATGCAAAATATGTTCTTTTTACTTGATTTGTTAAATATTTATTACCTATCTCATTTATCATAAACCTTTAGTTTCAAAAATCTATTTTTTAGCAACAATTATATAAATCTATATTACTCATTCATTTTTGATTGAATGAAGAAAAACTATTTGGTTACAAAAATTCAAAAGTTAATTTCTTTTTTGAAATTACAATAAATTGAATAATAGAAATTTATTTGAAGAAAGGAAAAACCTGATTTTGTTTGCATTTTAAGAATCTACAGATTTGAATGAAAATTATATTTTACAAAAGTATTCCTAATTTTATTTAAAGTAGATTTCTTATCATACGTGTACTAAAAAATTACTTTTCTAACTAGTGAATATACTCTTATTGAATTAACACTTAAATAAAAAATGTTATTATAATATTTATAAATATTATTGATATATTTTATATTAGATTCAAAATATAAATTGCTAATCTGATTTTGAAAAACTAATTCCTTATATAATTTCTTTTTTAAAAATTGATATTGCTTGTTTTGTTTTTGAATCAATGTAACTTGTTAAAAATATTATCAATATCTATTGAATTAAATCAATAATATTTATTTTAAATTCCTTTTAGCTTGAAAAGTTTAAATATTTTATAGGTAAGTAATGATACTTCGTATTATAAAATATATTATGATAAAATATTAAGCTTCTAAAAATAGTAATAAATTTCTTTTTTCATTCAATTTTTTATCAATTTAGTAAAAGCTACACAAATATAATTTGTTTTAATGGACTAAAAAATTTCAATAAATTGAATTAATTCATTTATTCAAAAGAAAAGAGTAGTATATTACCAAAATGAATAAAAATATAAATTTATCCTTAAACATTATAAAAGTTTTGTAAATTAAATATAAATAAAATTAATGATTTAAATAAAATAGAAAAAAATAATTAATTTCTTTTTTTTTAAATTATTTATAATTTTTTATAATTTATCTTAATGATATTTTTCAATTCTTCAAAAACTTTAAATTAAATAAACTGGTTAACCTAAATTTACTATATTCCCTCTATTTTATAGGATGTTATTATAAAAATTCAAATTCTATTCTAAATTTTAGAAATTTGTTAATTTTTATAAAAAATATTGTAAAAAATATAAGATACTAATTGAGCTAATACGGTAATATTGTTATTTATTACATAATTATTTAATAATTAATTTAATCTTTATTTTAATTCAGAAATGCTTTATATAAATTATCATGTGACAAGTAAAATTTAAATATCTAAAAAAAAATGTTATTTTTTAAGTATAAAAATTATTGAAAGAGTTAGAGATGAAAAGAATTTTCATGAAACATTGTTACTACTTAAATAATATATGCCAATGTAAATTTTAAATTGATCATTTCACTACATAATATATTACTTATTAAGACTATTCTTTTTCTTCTCCTTCATACTTTTACTTTATTGATTGATTATTATTAAATAAATTTGAGATAAAAATTTATTAAGAAAATTAAAAAGTACATTAAAATATAAAAATAAAGAAAACATCTTCTACTAGAACTTTTAAATGAAAGTGTGTATTTATTTAAAAATAGTAACACTTTTATAGCTATCCTTTTCGTTATTAGCATGCCCAACTGGTTGTAATGTATGCAACAGTTAAAATATCTGCCAGTAGTGTGAGCAAAATTTTTAATTAGACTAAAATTCAGGCGTTTGTATATTCTAAGGTTGCCAACCATAATTATACTTTTAAGATAAAAGTAATAATTAGCAAGGTGTTTGCTAAGCTATTTGCGATTAAGGATACCAAGGTGATAATTAAACAAATCTATGCGTCAGTCTGAATCAATGCTCTCTAACGTATAGCGCATAAACAGGAATTAGTAAAGTGAATGAAGCAATTAAGTAGATATTACCCTACTAAGATGATTATTTTATCATAGTATACTCATCATATATCAGCATGCAGCTTAAATCAACAGGGGTTTTTATGCAAAGTATTCCTTTCTAGCAGAATATTGAATATGTAGAATATTTTCAAGGTAACTTTTACATATTTTAAAATGATAACAAAGTTGCAAAATGGAATTTATAGAATAACAGCACTCAATTATTTAGCTATGCCTTATAAGGAAATTTAGATTAGAGCACACAAATAATTTAACTTAACAAATAATATGCTATTGTTATTACTTTTGAAAGAAAAAAGTCAAAAATCTATGGCAGTTTATTACTTGATTTAATAGAGTAAAAATTTGTTTAATACTCTTCAGTTATTTAATTAACTCAATAAAGTTTTGAATAATATTATTTTTTTAACGATTTAATTTATATTTCTTCACCTTCTGGAATTCAAATGCTATAATTTTTTATAGATAAGGATAATAATTTGAATACACAGAGTTATTCAAACTAAAATTTGTGCCAAAATTTAAATTCAGTCAGCATTTAACAAGCATTATCCCTAAATAATTTGTAAAACATTTTAATATTGAGCAAGCAAGCGCTTTATCTGGTTTTAGATTAAAATTCTTGCTAAGTATTTTCTATTCCTTAGCCATGTGCTTAAATTAAAATGGTGCCTTCTTCAACATCATAACCATAAAATTTCTACTTTTTATAGCTTTAGACAATGATTCTCGTTTTGGATAGTAAGTAAACCGAAATTGCATAAATAATAATCTAAAAAAATATTATTGATTTTCTTTTAATAACTACTTCTAGTTAAAATGTGATTTTATCCATCCTTGATAATTCATCTGATCTGAGTTTTTTTAATTTCAATCTGATTAAATTTGAAAATCAGTTAGTATATTAAAAATAATTGAATAATTTCAATCCCACTAGTCTAAATCTTATAAATTAACTTATTGATAGTAATAATTAGCCAATTCAAATTTAATTAATTGCTTATTCAAAGTAATTATAGTCCATAACATTGAACATAACTAATCAAAACTCTTTAACTATAACAAATCAGTACTACTTAAAGCCATTTTAAAGAAAATTTATTGATATGTAATCAGGCATCTAGTCAATGGATACAAATGATTCTAATAATCTTATAACTTCATGCTCAAGTAATGGGTAAATCATGACATGGAGCTACTCAACAATAACAAAACCTTAGCTCATCGATTAAACTTTCATAAAGAATCAAGGCTTATGCTAAACAGTATCATATCTAGTAAACAATTATGTTTTGATACTATTCTAAAATAGCATTATAGCTTTTGATGTTGTTTTTTCTAAAATTTTGTATACTTGGAGTTTCACTAATACACAATCAAAAATGAAAAACAAATTTATATTGCCATTAAATGGCAATTCATATCTCTTATATGATTCTTGCTTTAAAGCTTTTGATCAAAATTTTTCGCTGATATTTTAAGACTGTAGTTCATTCTTTGATGATGTTATAATGAAAGCAGTTTTAGATCTTAGTATGAATTTAGTTGTTTAAAAAGCGAACTCTTTTACAGTTTACTAATTATAAAATAACTAATTAAATCTTCTGGCCTCATATCCCAGCATACCTCAAATCTAAATTTGGAAGATAAGAAATTTCCCATAAAAATATCAATAAGCAAACAATATCATTTTCGAGATAGTTGCATTTTTTTCTGATTAATCATTTACAATATTTACAGAAAAATTAATTCCAATAATAACATACCAAAACGTCTTTCTCTCAGCAGCTGTTGATATAAGTTTTATGAATAATGACCCGGACGACAATTTATATGTTGTTGGAGGAAAAAATAGCTAAAAAGGTTCTTCATTTCCATACCAATCCTTCGGCTTATTCAAGAACTACACAAATATGTTTTCAGTTGCTTAACAAAGTGGTTTAAGTAAAATATTTCCTCTCTATAAAAGTGTAAACTAAAATAACAATAACATTGGCTATAGTATCTAATCAGTTGTCCTTTTGAGCTATTGTACTGTTGTAGCTACCTTTCATTACAACATGCAGACTTAAAATAATTTTTATTATGCAAATTAAATAGACTATAATATATTTATGAACTCTTTCTCGTTAGTCAAATAAGATTAATTTTTCATATTTGGCGATACAGCGGGTTTAATGACAGTTGACGCAACAAGAAGATAAAAATATACTAATGTTTATAATATAAGCCCAAATGAAATATAATCAAAGGATTTTATTAAAGGAGTGTATTAAAGTTAAGTGCTACAAAAATACTTTATTATAAAATCCAATATTTAAGTGTACAGACTGTTAACCAATGAGTTTATTGAAGTATTAGAAGTTAAGAAGGATCCTAACTAATCTATTTAATATTTCATGATAGTAGAATAGTAAAATTCTATCATTTCCTTAAAATAAAATGTATTATTTGTTAAGAATTACTAGACAAATTAAATCTACTATTTCAACAGTTTCTCTACAATTACTAATTATTTGGTAGCTAATGATATTATTTATGTATATGGATCAACTATTTCTATCTTACTTTTTGATTTGACATAAAAATGTACTTTAAAAGATCTAACTGATAACACTATCGTTCAGTAGTGTTCATTAAGCTCGATAGGATTAGTTTGCAAAAAAGCTTCAGGAAATCTCAATGTTTTTGATGGGTAGAATCTTAGCCCTATAATTAATTTATCATAGCGCTTCTTAGATAATAACTATAAGTTTGTAATAGATAACACATATTAAAGAATAATAATGTATTCTTCTAATATTGAGGTATACAGCTTAACTGGAAATTTTCAAATGTACGTTTCCTCTGTCAATTTAGTAATTTAAGATATCCAGATATATACCAATGATATCGCTATCATGTCTGCAAGTAAATTATTATCAATATGTTATTATATTTTTTATATTAATTTAAAATTGAAATAATAAATTAGGTATATTTATCTATGATAGAAAAACTTTATAATACAGAGGAGTGATTCTTAGTCCAGGAGGGGCAGCTATTTTAAATATGGGATATATCCCTGAATTAAATTAGATAATATTTTATACATCTTCTACAAGATATGCTTAGCTCTTTACTATTAGCTTAGACAATTTGCTTACAGTTATGTAATACAAAAATTCTTTAACATAAAATAATCCATCATTAGTTTCAGGTTATGCCTATGATAAAGATTAAAATCTAATCCTTTTTTTAGATACATAAGGAAGTTTCTAAGCTTTAGATTACCTGGGTTAGGTTATTTAAAGAGCGGCTTTTAAGTTTGCTGAATATGACTAATACTCAGCGTATTCCTTTGTTGGGTTTTCATTAGATTTTTAAAATAATAACATGTTGATATATTCTTAAACTTAAGTTTTTTATCTTTGCCTTGCTGATTTTTTGAATTAAGCAATTTAATTTAGAACTAACAAGAAATAACTATTTGCTTAAATTGCAGATAAAAGTTATTATGGTTAAGGTTCAAATAGCATTGCCTTTTTAACAGCAGGAGATTTAGGTATCCTTTACAAGTACTAAAATTCTTTATTTGAATACTTTTACTAAGTTAATGAAGAAATTCAAAGCATAATATATAATTCAAACATCAAAACATTGATAATTGCTCTTTCTCAGTCATTTATTATTTTTAATTAATTTGATTAAGCATCTATGAGCAATTTTAATCAATTTTAAAATCAATAAAAGATAATTTCTTTAAATAGTCTTTTTTCTTAATTCATTTGTGAAGATATATATATGACTAAAGATAGATTGATAAACCACTATGATTTTGTTAATTAAGTTACTCTTGGTAACATACAATTTAAAGACCCTTAATCCTTAATAATCTAAAAAATATGCTCTAATGTTACCCCAAATGTATATTTGGGTTTAAATAATGGAGATGTTATCATATACAACAGAAATACCTATTAGTAATCTACTATCAGCATAGTAACCAAATAATAAGGATAGTAGTATTCTAGCTTAGAAATAGGATTTTTAAAAGAAACATCCACATATTTATGGGTTTGCTTTAGTAATTCACAAGGAATTTTTAGAATCAATCTTTAGAATTAAAATTTCGAATAAATCATTTAATTTGACTCTCTGAATTCTTATAGGCCATTCAAATAGTTAAACGTTATGCTTTTTGATGTTGATGAATAAAACACTAGGATATTTTTAAATTTCTTGGGAGAAAAACTTCTTAGAGTGTTTGATTTTTCTGGTAAGTTTATCTAATAGCTTTCTTTACCAGACATAATGTATAACACTCTACAAATTAATTAGTCTCATTTGCTAGTTTATAATATCTTTCATGTCATGATATATGAAAGAAATACTCTTAAATACATCTAAAGAGTAAGAAGAAACAATCGTGTTGACATTTTAGTTGATGTAATAGAAATAAATAGTTAATACTTAGTCCTTTTAAGTTAAGATAAATATGAAATATTTTAAATAATGCAAAATTCGATTGAAGCTATTTTAATGGATCAAGTGGTTTTGTAAGATCCGATATTTATGGCTTATGCAATAAGCAGTGGAGATAATAGTATTACAGATTAAATCATGTAAATTTTGTTATTCTCATCGGATCAAATAACCGAAAAGAAATATAACCTAAATTATGAGAGCAATTAAAATTTCAATAAAATTTGTAGTATGCAAGTTTCTGTTAGTCAATTTTATGATATTTCATTTTCGATGAGCAAAATCAAGCCTGTGTCATATCCTGACTCAACTTAGGCTTCTATGATTCCAGTAGCAGACTCAAGTTTAAACAATTATTGGAATATTCAATTAAGTGGAAATGATTTAAGGAGTATTAATTTCCAAAGCACTCTTAATAGTTTTACTCAAGTCTGTCCTGTAAAAGATTCTTAAATGTCAAATAGTTAAACATTTTATCCTCTTCAAATATATTAAGATTCATTTATGGCATATACAAAACAAGTTGTACAAATAAGAGATTTCAGTTTCAACTTCTCAGACAATTTATCATCTATTAGTTTTTTCAATAGTTCTACAAATATAATTTTTGAAAATATTTAAATTAAAAATTAAGCTATTGGCAATATTACATTTTAATTTTCTAACATGAATCGCGTTACTCTTAACTAAATTAATTTGAGTAATCTACAAAGGAAATACAATTAAAATAGTACTCGAGCTTAATGGTTCTTCGCCTTTTAAAATGTGAACGAAGTCAATATCTATAATTTAATCTTAGATAATAGCAACTTGGAGAGCTTGAGCTTTAATGGTTTGATATCAGCGTTTAATGTTAAAAACATTACAATTTCGAACTTGACTGTTTAAAACTCAAATATTTATGCTTTAATTGATATCTATAAAGTTTAAAATTTTGAAATTCATAATTTATAGATAATCAATTGTAAATAAGCTTCAAACGATTAGAACAGATATGTCCTAAGTATCACAGGAGTAACAAGCTCAATTCTTTCAAAAGTATTAATTACTTAGAATTCTAATTTACAATTTATTTATGCAACGAACAAATTTAGAGATAATGGAATCTCATATTTTCTTGAGACTGATAACTTAAATGTCAATAACTTAAATATTACATCAAATTTAATATCTTCCTCCAATAGTTTATCTTTAGTTTCTGTTTAAAGCTCATTTTGCACATTTAATAGTGTCACTTACTAAAATAACTAAGGAAATTTTTTGATAACATTATCTTAAAGCTTATTAATTTAAAACAGCTTGTTTTAATATAATTAATGCTTAAACGGGGGAGCACTTTCTATAAGTGAAAGCTCTAACTAAATATAAATACACAATAGTACTTTTTAATTTAATTAAGCTTTTGCTAGTGGCGGGGCTATTTATTTCGAAAATGTTGGAGCATAAATATAAATGGATAGATTAGTTAAAATAACTTAAAATTAAGCTTTAATAGGTGGAGGAGTTAGACTTTACAATAATTAGCCAAATCTGCCTTAATAACTTAATTTTAATTACAAAGCCATTATATTTGATAATAATGCATAACTCTATGGAAAAAACGTAGGAATTTTCTTACAAAATACAATCGTCGGAGTTATTCAAAGTAATTTAACTTAGGCTACTGATAGCAGCTCTACTGAATCAACTATAGTAGACTATCTTATCATTTAAAACTAAGATATGAGTATATCTGATTAACAGAAATATTAATAAATACTTAAAGTATTTAATTTTAAAAGCGGTGGTATGCTAAATCTTCTTGTGAAATTAGTTGATTCTGAAGGTACATTTATGAAATTTTCTGCCTAAAAATATTAATCTCAACAATACCCTGATACAATCTAAACTGAATTGAGCTAGATAAATTTCAAAATACAAACAATTACAAATAATTAAGAAGTATTGATTAATGGAAGAAATATTATTACCTCCTCAGATTTTGATGATATTTAAAATCAATTTATATTTTCTTAAATTTAAATTTCAAGCATGCCAAATTAGACAACAAGTTTATAAATTGTGCCTACTTATACACCTGATAATATAAATGTACTCCCTACTTAAATGGAGTTAAATATGAGAATTTGCTATCCCGGTGAAGTAGTTAAACAGATATAAAATAATCTATACACATGTTATTCTTGCCCTATAGGATAATATTCGTTGTCAGATCCTACAAAGGATCAATTTTGGTAGGATAATATATAGAAGACTAGCGATAGTCATTCAAATGACCAATCATAAGCTTATTAATCTGAATGCTAAAAGTGCCCAGAGTCAGCTCTTGAATGCTAAAACAACACAATAATTTTAAAAACAGGTTACTGGAGAACTAATAAAATATCTACTGATATTGTAGAGTGCTCTACCTAATTTAATGCTTGTGACGAATAAGATAGTACAAATAAATAAGGTTGTCTGAGAGGTTATATGGGTCCTATCTGTAAAGTATGTGATATAGGTGGTTAGATATGGGAAGGTGAAAGATTTTCCACATCTTACACAAACTAAATGAAATGTGATGTATGCAGCGATGAAAGCTATCAAATTTTTTTTACCATATTAGCAATAGTTATCTTAATAATTTATTTCATTTTCAGCACTTTAATGTTTTTTAATTCTTTTGTTCACTCTTGCCTCTGCTATTACATTAGAATATTAAAAATTATACCTATCTCAAGATATTCTATCTTAGATTAGTCAAGTTTTTACATGAAGATATTAGTTAATTATATTTAAATATCTTCTGTTTTGAATTCTTAGCAGGTGAGCTTTTTCCCAAGTTTCCTCTTTTCTGTTACAAACTATGCTGCTGATCCAAATTCATAAGTGATAGTAAGTGTTAATTGCTTATTTAGCAAACACTTAATCTAATTATATGGTTAAGCTCACATTATATAAGTGTTGCAAGCATTTTTACCTTTAGGATTATTTTTTGTTTCACTATTAATCATAGCTTTCTGTGAAAAATTAAAGCTCTTTGGTGTGAAAAGGTTCCACAAATTCACTCTCATTAATTTTATTTTTATATTTTTTTAGCCTGATTAAATAAATTTCTTTTCCAAGCAGCTAAATTGTACTCAAATAGGGTCTGAATTATATGTTACTTCTGATTTGACTATAAAATGTAATGATCCTAACTATACATCATTCACATTTCCCCTATCTATTCCTTTAATAATAATTTGGAGTTTGTTCCCATTTATAATATTTAAGTGTTTATAGAAACGATCTTCTAAACTTTTTTCCTGCTTTACCCTTTATTATTTTGGATATTACTATTAAGAATACTATGAAAAGCGCTATTATTGGGAATTTATAAGAATTTACTTAAGGGTTATAATTGTTGTTGCTTTTACACTCACCTCACAATATCAATTTATTAGCTACTAAGTTGTAGTTTTCATACTGTTCATTTATATTAAAATTACTATATACTTTAATCCTATAAGAAATCGTATTTTGTAAAGGTTTGACTTTTACTGCTACTTTATTATCATGGTGAATTCTTTGTTATCGACAATAAATATCCAAATGAACTCATATGCAATCAAAGGACTGATATATTGTCTGCACTTTATGTTCATATTTAAAATTATTCTAGCAATTGCTTTTTTCAAATTAAGTAATCCTTTAACTTATGTTGGTAGGACGTTTAGTAAGATTCTTTTTTATATCCTACCTAGTTCTATCTGTAAAAAATATTTAAAAACACAAAATACAAAATGGAAAACTTTCATTCATTGGAGGAAATTGCAAAAAAATTTAAATATTTTAGTGAAGATGAAAGCTTTTTAAAAAGTTACAAACGAAAATCCCTAACTACTTTTAAGCTCTGTTAACTTATTAAATTGTATGAATTTTTAATATTTAATAATTTAATAAATTTATTTATTTTTTTTAACATAAAAAGCTACCCAATAACAAAACCGAAAGAAAAGTGATTTAATGAAGGTAAATCTTTTGAGTAATTATGTTTCTTCACTATTAGAAACACCAAAATCTAGAGATTCAAATATTGGTAATTTTATTTATTTAGTTTATTTCATTAATAAAAAATTTTTTATATAGAAATAAATTCTGCTAGGCTGTAATAAGCACAGAGTGAAGAATAGAAAATTAACGAAGCTAAAAATAATGCTAAAAGTATTTTTGGACTTTAATACTAAGAAGAATGTAATTCTCCAATAGATGAATAAGATTAATCATCACCTTTTAGTCAAAACAAAAACTTAAGAAAGACTTTAGAAATAAATTATGAAACCTAATTCAAGCTTTTAGATAGTATCAAAATGAAATAAAAGAAAGTTAAAGAATCATAATGATTTCTTCTATATGTTGAGTTAGAGATTTTATAAAAATCCTATATTTATAATTTAATATGATTTAATATAAATCTTAATATTATATAAAACAAAAAATAAGATTGTAATACTTAGCTTTAAAATTTATTTTTTATTTGTTATTTTAAAAGTAAGTCAAATAATAATTTTATACTTATCATTTTTACTTCAGTTATTACTCAGTCTAATATTTATTATAAAAATAAAAATTTTAATTTTCTTTAAAGAAATATTTGTTAAGAGAAATTCATGATAAAGAACTAAAATTATAAGAACCATAGCATTTCTCAAATATATTTTGAATTAATTAAAATCAATATAAATTTTATTAGTACTAATTTTTGTTAATTTTAAAATAAAAGCATTATTATTTTTACTAGAAAGTATTTTAACTTATATTTTATTTGATCATATAAAAAATATTTTTTGCAATAACGTAATCTCTCCATATCTTTATTGCTATTGATTGATCGCAAGGTAACCAAATAATTAAATTTAAACCAAAACTCAAATTTTAAAATTTCCATTTAGTATTATTTCATGTAACATCTCGTTTACAGTAAATTTGTATACACTTTTAATACATTTAAAACCTCTAAATTATTTTTGGAATTGTGAATTACTAATTAACATTTTTGAAAAAATTCAGTAATTAATTTTATAATAAAGGCTCCAATTAATGATATATACTATTTTTTTAAATAAATGGATATTTTGTATTAAATTTTTCAAAATAACTATAAGATCACAAAATATAAAATGAATATATAAAATAGCTTAATCTACAATAAAATTTAATAATTTAGATAATAATTATAAGGTATTTCATACCTATGAGTAATTGCTATATAGATCATACTTTAAATATATTAGTCTCAAACTTGTGCTGAATGTTCTTTCAAATGATATGGTTTAAATAGGAAGCAAAAACAATGACTGCTTCAAGAGAAAGAATTAATTTTTTATTTTAACTTTAATATAAATCATAATTATTAAATTAGCTCCTATAGAGAATATACCAAAAATTAAAATAATTGATAGTAAATATTGCCATGAAGAGTCACATAAGTCTTCAATACCTTTAAAAAGCAAATCACTAGCATAATTTAATACCCTGGAGCAAAAAAGACTTATTTCAAACACCTCCAGTTTTTATTTTGACCGCTTCTCAAAATTAGTTTAATCTCTGTCACTCTAAAAAATATTAATTTAAAAATTATTTTCAAAGATGCTTTTAAAAATAAATAAATTACTTTTATATCATTGATGAATTAGATCAGAGATGCTGATAGTCCTTGTTTTAATATGCCTCCGCTTGCAATATTGCAAACCTCCAGCTCTATACCATCAAGATGCATAATTTAGCTACATAGGTCATATGAGTTTGCAGCATTTAAAAATTTAATAAACTCTTTATTTTTAAATGGGCCTAAATCATTTATTTAAATCACCTAGTTAGTAATAAAAGATCTGAAAAGAATAACTTTTTCATCAAACTCATTTCTCATCAAAATAGTATCATTTTAGTTAAAGTAGCTAAACCAGTGAATATTAATTGCATTTGCCAAATCTATATAACCTGACAATCTTGAAGCTAAATTAGAAGAGTCTTAAAAGTATGAAAATTTTTCTGCACTACTAATATAGCTATCAATAAATGATTTTTTGATAAAAGATATTGATAGAGCATTACTAATTATAACACCTAAATTTATTTATTAAATAATATTTATTAATACTAGGAAAAAATCAAATTTAATTTTTTTACCTAAAAACATGATGAAAAATAAAACTAATAGTTTGCGTGAGTAAAACTATGGAATAGGAATTTCGATTTTATTCGACTAATTTATCCCCTTTCTAGATTTGAACTTGCTCTTCATCTTTTCTTTTGTTTATTCTTAAATATAAAGCATTTCATCATATTAATAGAGATTAAAATGATAATCTGAAAAAGGGTCTATATTCTAATCTAAGTTAACTTGATTTAATTTTTCTTTAGTGGATTACAGTTCTAAGTTAATCCAAATAGCATCATTAAAATGGAATAAATTAAAAATGCTTTTTTTGATAGCCTGAAATTATATGAAATAAACAAAACATACTATTATTAAAAGTGATAGTATAATTGAAGAAATAATTAAATAAACATTCACACTTATCAAACTTGATTATGAAATCTTTTAAAGAACTTAAATTAGATTTTAGCTTAGCTAGCTAAAGATGTTTGTTATCTTAAGCATATTCATTTACAAAAATGAGTAATCCTATTTTAAAAAAGTAATTAAGTTAATTATTTGTTTGTTTATTTATTTATTAATTATTAAATTACATAATAATATCCTTTGTTATCTAGGTAGTTATTTTCCCAGTCATATGTCTTTAAAAAGCTAAATGTTTTTAACATTTAAACTACAATAAATCTTTTATTTAAAAAATTAATTTAATGAAATGAATCAAAACATTTATAGTGAAATTATTTTCTAAAACTCTAAAACTAAAGGATAGTTTTTATACAATTACCCTAAACCCTTAACACAAAATCATTAATATTATTTAAATTTTTAAATATTTCAGATTTTTTAATAATGTATTTCAATCAAAAAATAAATTTTATTTTTATTTTTAATATTGAGAGAATATGGTAGTTTAATTGAAATATTGTTATTAAAAATTTACCTATTTGTAGAATTAAAATTGTTATATCCATAATTTCCATCATTTTCTCTAAATTCTGATACCTAACCTAGAAAATCAATGAAATCTTATTGGGAGTTGTCCATAGAATATTCAAATTATTACAATCTATCGTATGTGTAGTTGATATTAGATCTTATCAATTTAAAGTAATTTTAGTAAAAATCCAGTTCAGATTAAGGTATCCCATCTAATTATCCCAAAAAGTAATCTTCCATATTTATAAATCCTTTCCATAAAGTTCCGAAACCTTCATCAATCGGACTTAGGAATTAGCTTTGGAGTTAGATCAAATTAAGTTTATGCTACAGCCCAAAAATAGAATCTCTTAAATAAAAAGTAAGGCCGATTACTTAAATAACAGAGAGTATGATTTGCATAAGATTTGTAGCTGAGAGTATTTTCAATGAATTTGGAAGTTTCTTACTTTAAGTAAATTCATGCATACTTTTGTAATTGTTAAAGTACATATATTTACCCTTGACGTTAGAGCTTGTGTTGTTGTGATTAATTCTTTTCATATATTCTCTCTCAAATTACTATTAAGAGACTAAGCTTGTTTATATCGTTTTTACTTTTTTCTTAAAACTTTTCATTTTTTAAAAGTCATTTTGAACTTCATTTTCTTCCTAATCACTTTCACTACTTTTTTATTCTTTCAGCATTCTGTTAGTTTGCAATTAATTATTTAAATCGTTGTTCAAATTAATAAAATAATTGCCATGTTGCTATTCATAGTTTTTAATTAGGTTGTAAAAATTCTGTTCCTAAGTAATAGAGAACGAATCGCCAGGAATCTGTATATTCATTCTCGAAGATTACTGCTGATCATCGTTATTATAAATTTGGCTAATTGAATTATTATTATTAATTTAATTATTATATGGATTTTAATAACTTGAAGGGCTAAAAACTTATATCTAATTGCTTAGCTACTTTGCACTGTTCTCTTACCTAGCATTGTAATGATTAGTGGACTAGTCATCTAAACCTCTCAATTCATTAAAAAAAGTTAAGGAATAGCTACTTTAATTATTCTAATCAAACATAAATCCAGAACGAGAAGAGTTTATATATGAATTATGTCTATTAGCCATTTTTCTTAATTCTTTATTCTTGTTTTCTGGACTCATAAAGCTATCTTTATTCTGTAATCCTCTTTCACCTTATTATAAAAAAAATTATTAGAAAATTTAAACTAATTATCTATTAATTACTAAAATCAAACAACTGCAATTAAGAGCTCTGTCTTTAAGATAATTTATCTTTTTTAATCTCAGGTGACAAAGACATTTCAGTGTTAGAACGATAATCACTCATTTTTCTTTACAATTTTAATTTATTAATTCCATGCAAAACCTTCTACTTGTAAATATTTTAAGCATTTTCTGTATTCATTGTATTTTCTTATTCTTAAATTTCTATAAGAGATTGGTTTTTTTTAACCATTTTACTATCCTGTATTTCAGCACCCTCCTCTTCTTCTTGAATGTTTTCAAGATTGTCTTTACTGAAAAAGTTATCTTGAGTGTAAGAAAACATAGTTTCTAAACCATATAGACCTATTTATTAATTTCCTTTTAAGAGTTCCTTTGCTTACTTAGCTGTGTATTCACTATTTTTCTTTTAAATAATATAATTTTATCTTACATCTCTTTTTTTAGTAAATACAACAAATATAGGTCAATTAAATTAAGAAAAGTTAAAAATATTTTAAATATAATTTATTAATTTATTATTATTTTTTACTTAGTTTTTTATATTTTCTATCTCAACTACATAGTAAAATTGCTGTTGCATTTAATTTGATGAGCAGTATACCTACTATCTAATTGTTATATTTGCACAATAAGAGTATATCTAATCTTATTTTTTATGTCTCTGCTTTGAAATTTCTATAGGTTATTAAATCCATTTGTACTCTTAAGTTTTCTTCTTTGTATTTTCAAAACTTTCAAAAGTCTTTTTGTACATTTCAAGGTTTGGAAATAAATCATTCCAACTCATATTATGCAAGAAAGAATTTTCGAAATTTTTATCTTCTTAATCCTATTCAAAATTAAGTTAAACAAAAATTTTCAAGAATTATAAATTTTACTTCACTTATAAAAAATTTATTAAAAATATTAGATGAAGCTGATTCAAGAATGCCTTCGCTATTGAAAATTAAATATACTGAAGAATAATTTCTAACTATTTTAACAAAAGCAACAAGCCTCAAATCCTATGTGTAAGTCATATCAATATCAAAAAATATCTAAACAGGATCTGAATAATTATCTAAATTTTTCATTTGGAGCATATTAAGCTACCTAAAATTTTTTGATTTTCCTGTTAAAAAGAATTCTTTTATTAAAGAATCATGTATCTCAGAAACTGGAGATGGAATTAGCTTAGAAAGCAATTTCACATTTTATAGTTTTATCTAATCAATACTAAGTATTTGAGAGGCATTTTATGAAAAAGAATTAATCATAGCTTTGTTTTATCCAAAATCTACATAAATTCGACATACCTTATCATTCTTGATATCAATATTATATTACTTGTTTACCCTAATAATTTAAATTAATGATAACAAATATGTTTTATTAGCTTTTAAAAAATTAAAAAAATTAATGGCAATAAATAATTGTTTTAAATTATTTTATTTGATTAACACTGACTAAAAAAAAAATTTATTATGAGCATTAATCTTAAAAATTATTTATTTTTAAAAATATTTAAATTAATATTAGCTGAAATGAATACTCGCTTATTCAATATTGGTTTTAATTTTTTGATAATTTTAAAATAGTACTAAATTAATTTGGTATTACTATTAAGAGTAATCATTTTATAAAAAAGCAAAAAAATATTATAAATATTTCTCCTTTAAACTCATAAAAATTAGTAAAAATAAGGGAGTTTAAAAGTTTATTGCACAATTTTAATAAGTAGAAATTTCATTTAAAAAATCAAAATGCAAATAAATTTGTTATTTTATTTAAAAAATACCTTATTTCTAATGGATCTTCTGCAAAAACTTATTTACTCCAGATGTAGGCACCGTATAAATCATTTTTAACTTCTGCTAAAAAGAAACAAACTAATCTAATAGTAGATATACCCTTATCTTCTTTCCATAGATTTCTTATTCTGTTTTCTAATTAAGATATTTGATTAGTTATTGAATAAAGAGCTATCAAATAGCTTTCTTTTTATTATTATAATTTATTATTAATTACTGCCTCATACAAAATTATTTTTTTTTATAATAATTATTTAATATTTTTTTTGATGTTTTCTTTTTCTTCTGTCATTTTGAATACTTTTTAAACATACAACTTTGTATCTTATTACTAAGAGCTTAAAGAATCTTGTAAGTGCTTCATATAATTAAATGTTATATTGTTCTTAATAGTTAATGCATATGCTTTACAATAGCTATTTAATTTATCAACTTTTCTATTTTATTTTACTTCTAAAAATTCAAAAATCATTTATAAAGCCTTCGCTTCTTGGCCTAACTAACTGATTAAATCTATAAACTTCAATACAATTATTTATTGTTTGCCATTTTTATTATACTTGAGTTACTCAATAACATCGTTAGCTTCTTAAACTAAAAAGTTAATAAAAAAATTGTAAACAACTGAAATACTATATTTATCATTTATTTATTCTTCCTCCTTTTAAAACGAGATTACATTATCTTATTACTAACAAAAGCATTCAAATAATTTACAATTATTCTTGTGATAAGATAGAAAACTTATTATCATCATTTTGTATTCTTAATTTTAAAGTAAATTTTTATACTCAGCTCCAAAAAACTAAATAAATTTAATTTTGTTGCTGATAGTATTTTCTATTTTCCCTTTTTTTTTGAATGCATCTAACATCCTTTTTACAATTAGCTGCTATGGAATAGAGTAACAATATCTTATTACAAGTAAACATATTATCAAAAGAATTAAATTACTGCTTTTACTTCCTAATTTAATTAAACATGAAAATATGTAAAAAAAAATTAAAATACATAATTGCATTTGAACTTATATATTAAATAAAGTGTAAATAAATAAAATCTTTTTAAATTATTTAATTAAGTCTAAAAAATTTCTTTTTTAAAAAAATTGGGCTTTTTTATCATATATTTCTTAAGAAAGTCTATGGGGATTATTTATTTTAAAAACATTTCCTTAATATCATGAAAACATAAAAAAAGCAACACAAAAAAAAAATATTTTTTTTCTTTGTTTATTTCAGAAATTAAAGTTTTTGAATTATTTTTAGATGCTATAAAACAAAATTTAATAATATTTCCAAATTATAATAAATTTCTTATAAAAATTATTATAGAATATTGTGCATAAGGTATATTAAATAATTTGAACCTATGTAAATAGGTAAATAAATTATTATTGCTTGTATAGCCTTCCAATTTTATAAAAATATAACCTTCATTTTTTTTGAAGTAACCAAATAAAATTCAAAAGATTAAATCAGAAAATTTAATGTAAAAAGTAAGAATGTTTTTGGTTCTAGTTTAATTAATGATTTAATAATAAGAAAGAAAAAAAAAACTAGTAATAATTATACCTAAAATAGTAGTTTTGACTGTTAGTAAATGTACTACTACAGATAGAAGAGAATATGCTAAAAAGACTACATTCGCTATATAGATACTTATGGTAGAATAAGTAAATTTATAAAATCCATTTATTGATAATAAAACCAAATAAACTATTACAATCCCAAATTATATATCTTATACTGTTTAGAAATTTTAACTTTTAGGCGAATAGCTAAATATAAGAGTAGATGTTTATTTGAGTATTAAACAAAGCGATTCTATAAATAAGGAACTACTATTTTTAATGATTCCTGTGTTTCCTACTACTGTTGACTCATTCAAAATGAAATTAAATATCCAACTAACTATCATAACCATAATTAAATTAATTACTCCAATAATCTAAGCAGATATATACTGGTTCTTTAAAAAATCATTCTTTTGTGATATAAAAAATGATTAGATAAAGATAAGATTTTTAGATATTACTTTATATTGAATTGTAATAATTAAAAAAAATTATTTTTTGATTTTATTTGAAAAATCTAAAGTAAAAAGTGCTTATTTTATTTTGTTTTATTATTTTGTTAAAATCAAAAAAAATATGAATAAATTATGATCCTTACCTATGTATTAGATATATCTAAGCCTTCTTCATCTATAAAACTATCGAAAGAAGAAATACAGATTATTTACATTAATGGGATAAGCAAAATATTATTAAAAATCTAGTAAATTAAGCTAAGATATACTTATGTTGTTCTAATAAACTTATTTTCTTAGTCTATTAACTGTTTGCATTTAAATATTTCTACTGTAACACACACTAAGATACTTAGCATAAAGATCAATATAAATATTTAAAGAGTCAATTGCTTTTTATAAAATTAGAGGCTCTAACTTTTTTGTTCATTTCCATTATCATTTGTTAAAATTACGTTTTATTTTTTCATTTACTATTAAGATGTATCTTTTTCAGAAAACCCAAATTAGCCTTTATTAAACTGCTGAAGATACATTTAATCGCTGCTTGAGACTTCTTTAATAATTCTAATATTTTTGTGCTAAGATTTATGATCTTGTATCAGTTATTTCTATGATAAAATAAAATATTTACAATATGTGATTATCAACTTATTAATAATTTTAATGGAAAGTATTGATTCAAATTTTAAAACACTTCATTTATGTGATATAATTTGTTTTGAATTATAAATATTATAAGTAAAATTTTATACATATTCTTAGCCAACATAGAAGGTGGAAATCTAGTCAAATAAGTAGAATTAAGGATTTAGCATGTAATAAGGCAACTGGTAAAGTTTGTCAAAGGACAATTTTTTATCTTATACTAAAATGAAAGATGTGTGAGAATTCATGAAAGAATAAGTAGACATCTAATTTATTGATATTATTGCAATAAAAATGCAGAAATAGTTAAATTTAGCTTAATTTATAATATATTTAAAGTAGTAAGATGGCTATATAAGAGCATAAGATATCAAAGTTAGGAAATTTATTTTATTTTATTTTTTGTTTTCTTTGTGTTCCTTCTGGTTGTTTTTATCTTACCTATTCATTTTTGATTACTATTTAGTTATTTCTAACAATTATTTTTTTTAATATCTAACTAATTAATGATTTATGTTTAAAGATAGTAATTGTCTTAATAAAAATCATTCATGAATTTTACCAATAAATAAATAAATAATAATACTTACAATATATTAGATATATTTTGGTAACACTTCAAATTAGAAGGACAAAATAAAATAAAAATCTCCATAAATATATAAGGAGTTATATCTATATTTATATCATTTAGGATTAAAATAAATAAATAATATAGATATAAATTTATAAATAACTTAAAAAAATAATTAAAATGACATTCTTTAATCAATTTATCTATCTTTAATATATTTATATTATTTTTAAAAAATTGTTTAATAATTTTTAAATTTATTGTTGTTTTGAAAGAATAGTTACAATTTTGATTTTGAGAAATTAAAAATAATTTTAAATTAGAGTTTTAGAAATCAATTTTATTCAATAATAATTACGTGTTTAGAAATTATGATCTAAGTTATAAAGAAATCATTCATTAAAAATTATGATGTTTAAAAAAGCTAAATAAAAATAAATTCAATAATTTTTTTAAATTTATTACATATTACTGTTAATAAATTATTATAAACTTTTATTCTGATTTTACTTCGTCTATTTATTTATATCATATGGTTCATTCAACACAATTGTTTTTTTAATGAATAAAAATGCCAAAGTTTAAAAAATTTTAGTTTTTTAATTTTAATTTTTTTGAGTTTTAACAATTTAATTTTAAAAAGGAATTATGAAAATAATTTAAATTATTTTTTTTATTTTAGATTATTTAAATGTAAATGTTGATATTATTTAGTTGTTAATTATTAAAAGTATTTATTTTTTTGAGTTTATTTATAAAATAATCTATTTGGAATACTCAATAATTAAAATAGTAGAATAAAAATATTTAAATTTTTTTAACAGTATTTAAACTTTAAAAAGCAAATCTGTTTTTATGAATTAGGTAAAGTTTAAATTAATAAATAAATAACTCAAAAATATTCATAAATCATAGGATATTAATAGTTTTTAACATGCTCTCTTTGATTATATATATATTATAACAATTTTTCCTCACTATTAAAAAAGCTAATTACAATCTTTGAGTTTATGTAGATATTACTATGGTCTGAAAATTCTTCTAATGATTAAGTTTCATTTTAAATTAATACAAGCAACTCTAATTCTAGATTTATTAATAATTAGCTAAGATCTTACATCAAATTTCTATTTGAAAATGTCAATTGTTAATCAGTAATAAAGATTAAAAAATTAAAATGTTATTTAATTTATTTTTGCTATTATTGAGGAGTGGTTATTTTATTATACTTTTTTTATGATACATATAATGTTATTTTTTTATTTGTATCAAGTATAAATTATTTTAAAGCAGCTTAAATACCTAAGTGAAAGATTAACTCTGGATTTTCAACTTGCTTAAAATCATTTTAATTTTAAAAAAGACTTTTTCTTAAATAATCATTTTATATATTTGAATACTTACAAAAATATTTATTTTATGGTATTTTACATAAACCAGAAGTATTTTGGTTTTTTTCTTAGTTTTTCTTATCTAAGGCCTCATCCACATATTAGCTTTGACTAAGAATTTAAAATTTTTAGCTCAGAGATTAATAATTGTTCAAATTATTTGAGTTTAATATTGTTTTATCAATTTCATATTTTGTTTCTTCATTTTTATTCAAATGACTGGCAATATTTCTATTAATTTAAGTATGAAATAATGGAAAAAATTCATCATGTTCTTGATCAAAATTTTCTGAATAAATATCTTCACACTCTTATGACTTTAGCTAAGTGGAATTAAACTGCTCTTGTTCTTAGTTAATTAGTCCTACTTCTTAATTTTTTTATTCACTTGGATTAGTTACATTTGTTGTAGTAAAATTATCTATCTATTTATTCTAAAGAATTGACTTTTTCTAAACGGTCTATTCGTTTTACATAGGGATCAATATATTTTATTTTTTTTCAGTTATCTCAATATCTGATTTAAAAATAGAATTTTACCCATCTAACATCAAGTTTTTTTAAGAAAAAATATGTGATAGACTGGGTTATTATAATGAAAAATTTTATTTTTAAGCATTCGGCTATTATATTAAGTCGCGTAAACTGTTATTAATCAACTTATTATTAGAATCTTATTAAGTAATATAGAGTGATTTTTAAAAATAATTTTAAGAATAAATAGATTTGCTAATTTCTTATTTTTCTAATTATCTTAATTTAGATTATTTTTATTAATTATGATTTAAATTTGAAATATCAAAAGACTATTCTCTTTGAAGCTAAAATGATTTCTTGTAAGGAGTATTTTAAACTTTAACTACATCAATAATTTAAATTTAATTAATTTAAGAATTCTCTTGATTTACTTACTATTTCTTGAATTTAGATGTCTAATATATACTAGCTGTTCTTTTTATGCTGTTTCTATCATATTAAATAGATAAGCTCTTCAGAATTGGTTATTATTTTTATATTACACTTTGAACTAAAATGTTTTTGTAAATGACATCAAAAAGCCTAGGATTGCTTTTATAAATCTTAACATTTGTAGCAGAAATAAGTTATTTAAAAGTTTTCTCTTGAAAACAATACTAAACTACACCAAATCTATCATCTTGTTTATAAAGAATGTCATTAGTCAAGTCACTTAATAGTCCAAAAGCTTTTTTATTAAAATATTAATCTTTACACGCTACTACAATATAGGCACCAATATTGCTGTGAATAACAGTATCGTATTTATTTTTGAAGTATTCAAATTCAATACTAAATAGTTTGTTCTTCAAAAATATATTATGCAAAGATTATATTACCTGCTTTTTTAAATGAGGTAAGTAGTATTTACAGTTTTCTAGTGAATTATTGAGGATTAAGGCAGCATTATAGTAATCCTTATGCTTAATTAAATACTGTGCCATATAAATGGAATAATATTAAAAGTATATATCTGAACTAAATTCATACCTAGCTATCTTCTAAGAGTCATTTTATTTTCTCACTTAATAAAAGGTGAAACATTTTAATTATTCACTCATTTGTTATTATTTATTGCTTTGACCAATTAAATGTTTAATGTAATCTTTGTAATCATCCAAATTTTACATTTTAGAAATTTTTATAATATTTTTATTTTGTTCTGAAAATGATTTCCATCTATATGAATTGAATTACTTCAAGTCTTATTCACTTTAATAGCAATTTTTCGATTCTTGTGATAAAATACTGTTTAAAAAATTCCCATCTTACAATTCAGAAGTCAAATAAAATTATGTTTTTTTTATTCTACTTTTTCTTCTCTTTAAAGGATTAAATAAATTTTAATCATCTTAAATAGAAGTTCCATCACCTTTTTCTCTATTACTAAAATCCATAAGATTATTTATAAACTAGTTAGTTTAGCTGTCTATGTTTTAAGTTTTATTTTTTATGTTTTTTATGTAAAGATATTTTAATTTTTCTAGAATTATTTTGGCTTCACCAAATTAACTTTAATTAAAATAACCTGTTATTATACTGCAGTAATTATACATTTGTCTTTTGTTAGAATGAGGTAGATAAATTTAACTTATGCTTGTATTTTAAAGAGACACTTCAGAAAATATTTCTAATAAACCATTTTGCTAGCTTTTTACAATGAAAGAATTAAAAGCCTTTAAAAAATTTAGATTCCTGTTAAAAAGATTCCAATAAAGTTGATCCTTATCAGAATTATTTTGATTTTATATTAAATCTCCTTAAAAAATATTATTTTAAAAAATGGTTGTCCTTATTTTTTGAAATTATTTGTTAATCTATTAGCTATCTTTTAAACTGTTTTATGCCATAGATCTCCTTAAAATAGAAGCACCTAATTCAATTCTTTTCATGAATTACTTTCCTATAGAATCAGAAGAGTATAAGCCTAATTCATATTTAGCATAAACAATTGAATTTTAAAAATTTTCTAATGCTTCTTAATATCTAGAGCAATTATAGTGAATAACTCCAATGTTGTTATAGCAAACGCCTAATGCTCTGTAATTCTTAATTCTTAGGAAATTTTATATTTATTAATTTAAATTAAGTAATGAGGTGCTTTCATTTTAACTAAATATATTCTGAGTTGTAAATTTTAATACGATAAATAAGTTTTAAAAACTCTCTAATAAAACTAGGCTATCACTTGAGAAGCAAATTTGTTTGAAATTTTCTATGAAATTCTCATCTATTTTTATTTCATTCACATATTCTGCAAAGTTCTCTTGAAAGGAAATATTTTAGTTATTAGAATCATTTTGCAAAAATCTCTAGCTTAAATTAGCTTATGTTTAATTTTCAGAAGTTTAGCTCTATTCATAGATCTCTTTGATTAAATTAGTTAAATATACTATAGGTTGTAAAATATTTCTACCAAAGATTAAAGAAAAATACATTTAAAATGATAGTAAAGCAAGAAATAGTACAAATCCACAACTAAAAAATAATATATTGTAACGTTTTATTTCATTTTTTAAGTTTGAAGAGTATTAAACCATTTTTTCATTACTCACAACATTTAAAATTGTAAAAGTATTTATATTCTAATATTTTTTCAAAGGATTTAAAGATTTTAATACTTCAAAGCTAGGAACTTTGTCTATTACTGTTACTACGTTTTTTATAAAAGAGTACTTTGTTCTATTTTTACAAATATATTCAAAACTTTCAATATATTATGTATCAAAACCTATTAAATCAACTGAATTACTATTATTTAATAAAATTGAAGATGTATAGGTTGTGTTGCTTATCTATGTTTGGTTTTATAATTTGTCTTAAATATTTTAGACCCAAAAATTTTAAATTGACTCTAAAGTAAAATTTTATTAAGTTTTGATTTAGTCATATAAAATATTATAATTTCTTGAATCTAATATTATTGAAAACTTTGCTGTTTTATTAAAATTTGTAAAGGTTGATTGAATTTATGTTAAATTAACCATATAGCAAAGCATTGAATACCTTTTTGAATTAGAATTTGGATCTTTTGACTCATATTTTAATCTTCTTTAGCAAATCCTATTATATATAAATGATTTTCCATTATATTTAAAAATTTGAGGGGGAAAAATGACACTGCTAGAACTTTACATTGTGGACTCATAATAATCGCTTTATTTAATATCAAATTAAGAACTTAAATTACTTTAAATATCAAATAGACTTAAAAAGGTAGAATTATCTATAATCCTATTAGTTAAATAAAGCATTCCATCATAATCATGCATGATATACATGCTACTAACTTGTAAATAATTATTAACATTTTATATATTTTCCAACATCATAGGTCTCCAAATCGAATCTACTCTTCTTGCACTTAATAATTATTAAATCTCTTAATCTTATAATTAAAATAACTATTCAGCATTTTTTTAAGACCTTATATATATATAATAGAAAATATTAATTTATTTTCATTTTAATAAATATTTGTAATATTTATGCCCAAATTAAATAAATATATATATTATGAATGAATCTGCTTTTAATCTGGTTATATTTTTAAATGATAATTCAAAGAATTATGTTCAAATGATCAAAAATTAATTCTGTTTAATTAAATTATGAAAGTATTAAATTGCTTTTTATAAAGTAGAATTATTTAAAATAGAAACCATTTGTATTTTACCAATAACTTTCTAAAATTGGAGTTTTTGCCATATTCTACATGATAGAATTATAATTGAGTGAAGCTATTTCATAATTTTATATAGATAAAATATGATTTTAGTTTAATTCTATTTCATTTAGAAGTAATTTTCCTAAAAACTCATTGTCTACATAAATATTCAAAATTATACTTTGAAGTTATCTATTTATCTAGAAAACAACAGCAACATTCTACTACTTTATATTCCTGATTTGATCAAGGTACAATTTATCACTAAAGTCATATACTAAATTAATAAAAATAATTTGTTGATACCAAATGATTAAACATGATAGTAGACTTATGGTAATGGATGGTATAATTAAAGTCAAAACTATAAGCACCAGAGTCTTATTTCTGAGATAGTAATTAAATATGAAAAAACTGTGGCTGGTTTTCTTTTAATCAACATTTTTATTAAGTTATACCTCCATTTTATAATTTATGACTGCTATTCAATTTATTATTTATATATATAAATATATTATTATCTACTTTGTTTATATTTACTTATCAATTTTAATTGACTTAAATTTATTGAATTTCAAACCAATCAAATCATTTAGTTTCTTTTAAAAATTTTTATTTATGTTTTGTATGTTATATGAAGAAGAATAATCTTTAACTTAATTAAATATAATAAAATTTATTTAATATTTATTACTAAAAATTTTTTGTAGATAAATTTTTATAATTATTCAAATTTATGCTAATTAATAATAATTAATTTAATAAAAAAAATTAGCAGGATACTCTATTTATTTTATTGATAATTAAATATTTAAAATACATCTAAATGAAGCATCAAATAAAATACTTTAAAATATATATTTATTACTGATCCCTCTCTCTGGAAAGAAAAAATTTTACTCATTTTATATATTAATATCATACTTCACATAAGCTATTAATTTTAATTTATTTGTTTTAAATATAAGACAATTGTGAAGTTCTTATTATCAGAAGCATTGAATAGCTCTTACAAGCCTTAGTGTCTTAAAAATTATGTTTTTGATTCTTATTGAAGGGCTTTTATTAGTATTCTAAAATCTTTTATTAATTTAGTAAATTTATTAATTTCTAAAAATCAATTAATGTTTCTTACCTTATGTCAACACAAAGATTGACCAATCTTTTGCACTAGATGATTTCTTTACAAATAAGTACTTTATCTTCGAAATTAAGTTAATTAAAGCTTTTAAATTTATGATAATATAAGTATAATATAATTATGATATGAATTGATTACAAAAGTAAAAGAGTAAGATCTTTCAAATGTTCGATTTGACTCAAGGTATCTTTGAGTTGATTTGAAAAATTAGAATTTAATCCATTTTCCCTATTTTTAAAAATTTTTAAATTAATTTTTCATAAAAAAATAAAATTTTCTCTTAAATTTATTTTCTAATAAGAAACAAGATGAATTATTAAAATGTATTAGTTGTTTCTTAATTTATTTAATTTAACTCTAGACAGAATAAATAAAAAATTTTTACTGCAGATAGAGGTTTAGTTTGGTCAAGTTTACACACTTTGAGATATTTAGTAAGAGATAACTAAACATTATAGGATCTAATCTAGTGTTTCTTTATAATAAGTTATATAAATTTTGAATTTAATATATTTTACCCAAGTTGCAAGTTGAGCACAGTTAATTTTTGCATAGATTGAATTATATTTGGTATTTAATTTATGTAGTTATTTAAGTTAATCTGTCTAATAAAAAAAAAATTGAAAATATCTTCAAAAAATTAAATCTAATCTATCTACATTAAGCCTAAACAGAATTATGTCAGCTGCTTACAATCCTTAAGACTATTAAATATACTTAAGATGGTTTGATTTGTTACTCTATTTAACTAACTATATATAATACATTAGTGTGTGTTTAAACAATTAAATTATTACTTGAACGTTAATGTTAAACTTTTTAAATATACGAGCTTAGAAAATAAAATGTTCTCATTGTTACCAATCTTTTCATAACTATTTTAACTATTAACATATTGTCATAAAATATAATAATTTAATACTTATTAACTTTATTTACCCTAGATTTAGATTTAAAATCTCTAATTAATATAACTCTGTTACCGTCTAAAGTAATTAATCAAATTAATTAATTTTGTTTGAGCTATTCAATAAAAATTAATTAAATAAAATTTTTTTTGTTTGCAAAATAAATTCAAAAAACTAATTAATTAAATTTATTAAAAACATATTCTTTATTTAATAAATAGTATTTTTAAAAATAATCTTGGCTTAAAAATATTTACCTAACATTTATACTTAGCTCTTTAATACTCTTAAGTTCTTTTAAATGTTGTGATATGATGATTAATTTTTGATTTGTAATAGAGCAATAACTATTTAAATAAAATATAAATAAATAAGTTAAAATTTAATTAATTTCAATTTAACCTGAAATCCAATATTAAAGTGCTTAAATTTGTGTAGTTGTTTAATTTATTTAATAAGACATCAAGCTAATCGTTATTCAAAATTAAATACTTAATTTCTTGTGATCCTAATTATCTAAAAATATTTGAAAGATTTTTTTATACATTTAAATAAATTACTTATTGCCTTAATTTATTTTTTTAACAAATTTATAATATTCTTAATCTATCTATTTTAAATAAAAAATTTCTAATCTTTATATTTTCTTTTATAAATTACAGTATCAACTAAATCAAACTCAAGATTAGTGAAAATCTTTAAAAGCTATTCTTCACAGTGTTCTTACTCTTGCATAATTATGATATCATAGTTAGCTTTATTTGAGTTATATTATGAAATCAAAACTTATAAAGTTTATTTAAATTAGTTTGAATATTATTCATATGTTTTTTAACAGATTTTCTGGATATTCAAAATAATTCTTTATTAAGTTATTTAATTTAAAGCTGAAAGCGAAAACGATTGATATCCATATCCTATCAACTTAACATCCATGTAATTCTAACAATTATTTTACATAACCTAAAACATTTACACAATAATGGCATCATCTTAGAATACTTTTTAGTCTATTAACTTTTTTTATATTTAATTTATAGATGTCATTTTTTATTTTTAATAGTTAATTTATGATTTGAGATAATTTAATTATTTTCTTTAAATATATAAAATTATGATTGTACTTAATATAGAAAAATATATGGAATTTTATTTAATTACTAGTATTTTGATGATAGTTGTTTGCTTTCTTTTGATTTTAATAATAAAAAATTATCAGATTCATTTTTAAATATCATTAATTTATAAAAATAAATTTTATTCCAATTATATGTTTATAAAGCAAATTATATTTTAAAAAACTGTAATCACTTAAAGCCATAATAAGAAATAAGCATTCTTAATATACAAAGCAATTAAATATATAATAAAATTTAGCTCAACATTACTATCTATTTAATATGTTTATATCTTTAAAATTATTTAAATTTATCAAAAAATATTAAAACCTTTTATTCATTTAAATTAAAATTTATATATAGAATTATTGGGTAATAATGCTTTTTTTAATCTTCACTTGTTCTCATATAAAATCATAATTATAATTTTTTTTAAATAATGAATAAAATGTAATCAAAAACATAGAATAATAATTTTATATTTTAGTACTAAATACATCATATCAAAATTTTATTAATAAATATTATTTTTGACAGAGTATAAATTGAATTTTTTTTTATCAAAACTGCTCTAAAATCATAGGGAAAAGAAAATTTTTGACATGCTCTCTAGAGTTATAAATGTACTAAAGTAACTTTTATTCTGAGTTAAAAAAAGAAATAACAGATTTTTGATTCTAGAAAACATTTCTGAAATCAGTGTATTCTTCCAAAGATTATTGCTAATTTAAAGTTAATATTAAGAGTTCAATATTTAAGTTAAGCAGAAGATCGCATAGATTGTTAAATAAGAATTTGTTTTTAATTTATAGTTGCTAATCTGTAACATAAAGTAAATATGTCTGATATTATTTTATTTCGTTTTTTCTGAATTTTTTTTAAGAAAGATAATAATCAAGCTTTTCATTCGTATTTAAAATAAACTATTTGAGAGCAGCTTTGATACCATGATGGAATATTTATTCTCCTGTTTTAGGCGATTAGCTTAGTTTACTATTTGTTGAATTTAGTTTATTAGTTGAGATTTATTTAGGTGTCTAAATAATAGAATTTTTAGCAGTATCAATCAAAGCTTACTGTTGTTCTGATAATTCGCAAACTTTTTACATTTAAAATAACTTTGCTTAATTGGGAATAACTAGATTAAGCTATTTAAATTTATTTTGTGGAGAAGTTTGAGTGTATAAAGAATTTCTATAATTTGTATTCCATGTTTATTCAATTTAATTTATATTTTGAATACTTTTTTCTTCTTATTAAATATTTAATTGATTTTTATTTATTATTTTTTATGAAAAGCTGCCTGAAAAAATTTCATGATTATCATTTTCATTACCTCTAAAATTATTGACAAATTATTAATAATTATCAATCAAATTATTTGAAACTTCTTAGTTAAAAAAGGATAAACTTTCATTCATGAAACTATGTTTTCTGTTGTTTTTCGAGGTTGAATTTAGATAGTTTTATTATTCTAAAAATTAATTATTTTATTGAAAAAAATTAATTTCTGTTGAATTTAACATTTTATTTTAATCATTTCTGCTATCTAAGTTTGTTTGATCAACTTTTTAATCGATATTACAATTTAGTTAGTTATTTTCAAACGAAAAAGTTTTTTCTTAAAAATAGTTTTATGGACTATAGATCTCAGTTTCAGTTTTATCTTAAAAATAATTTTATGGGTTATCTATTTTATTTTCATCCTTATTTTTTTAAAAACTGCTGCTATTAGGTCTAAACACATATCTCTTTATAAATGAATCAAGGTTTTAAAACAATAAAAAGCCCTTTTTTTTCTAACAGTCTTTACTTTCTTTATTTTTGCATTCTCCATATTATTTGTCTTCAAATTTGTTTGCAAATGAATTACAGAAAGAAGAAGGTGTGCATGTTTAATCTTAATATTAATCATTGAAGGTTTTCTTTTAAATAGAATCCATAAAAATGCTATTAATTTTAGCTGATTTATTAGGAGAAATAATACTATTAGTTCTTGAGTTCTGCTAATTATTATTTAAGTCAGATACTTACACATATTTTGTGAGAGATTACAGTTTTTCTGAAAATAGTTTAATAAATTATGTTTCGAAAACGCTAAGTCTAGATTTTAAAGTTTTTAAATTTAAAAATTAAATTTATTAAAAATAAAGCTATTCTTCAAAAGAATAGTTTATTAAGCCAAATTAATCTCTATCTTTAAATAAAATATCTTTAATCAAATCACTCTAGACTGCAAACGATTTAAACAAAGAGAATTTACTTTTACATGCTTAAATAACGCAGACTTTAAAGTTAGCATGAGGCAAATAGGTATATTTTTGACTCATTTCTAGCAATTCTGGGTTTTTGATATTAGTTTTCTTAAATAACTAATCGAGTGTAGTTAATGCTTATTTTTTTAGATGAGGTAGATAAAAAAAGCATTTTTCAAAAAAATTAGTTAATATTAAGCCTGCATTTTAATAATTTTTCAATTCAATTTGGCAATAAGCCTACTCAAGTGCATAATACTAGAAAAAAATATCTGAGCTAAATTCATAGCGACTCATTTTTACTTAATTCATTATTTTTTTTATTTAAAAAAATTATTTTTATTCCTTTATTTCATCTTTTTTAATTTTCTTTCTAGTTGGTGAAATTAAATTATCTTCATTTTAAAGTGTAAGATTAATTTAACTTACTACATTAACTTTTTTTTATTAATTGCTTTAATTCAATAATTAAGTATCATCATTATTATTTTATTTTTAATTATTTTTTGTGTTCCGATTTATTATCTTATATCTGAAATGTTTGTAACTTTTAGATATTGATTTTTACAAATATTTCTGATGTTTGACATTTTAAATAGGAGATTCTAATAATTTATATAAATTATTTTGATATGAAAATTTTTTTAAATGACAATTTATTTGACTTTTGTTTTCATTGATTTGAAAATTATTTTAAACATTTTACAAAAAATATCTGTTTTTATATTTTTTAAGGTAAAGTTTCATAAATTTATCTAAAATTTATAAGCAATCTTGTAAATTATTTTGCAGCTTGTAGCTTATAAGGAGTGTGTAGCAATCTAGCATATCTCTTTTATTGGAAGGTGGTAAAAAGAGATGGCTAACACTGAGTAGTTCAAGAACACATTCATACAATATGTCATAAAGACTAATTTATTTGTTTATTATAATATAAGATCTCAATGCTTTAATCAAATTAAGCATTCGATTATATAAATTCCAAAAAAGATTAATTCTCTCAGAAGTTATTTGGATTTTATAATTTACTTTATTTTGAACACTAAACAATTTGAATCTTGATTCTTACAAATCTTCTTCTTCTACGCCATCTTCACTTTAAGATATATTTTGATGATTCTGCCTTTATTAATTGACATATTCACTAATCATTTTTGCTATCAAAAACCCATCACTATCATGATCATAAAATCCTAATTCATATTTGGCAAACACTATCGATTTTTAAAAATTTTCAATAGATTCTTAAAATCTACCGCAGTTGTAGTGAATGACACCTATATTATTATAGCAAACACCTTATGCTCGATTATTTCTGAATTTACTAAAATGCAAAATTTAAACATTCAAATTCATTAATGATTAGCTTTCATTATCTTTATATATATTTTGAGTGATAAATGTTAAAACTTTAAAAAGGGTTTAAAAACTGTCATAAAGCTATTAAGTATCATACGAAAAGCATTAATTTTCTAAGTTATTGCTATTAGGATCAACCTAATCTAATTCTTCAATATAATTTATATATTTTTTGGTATCTACTAGTGTTTAATTATTTGGTGTATCATTTTACAAGGCATTATCCTTGCTTTTTTCTTTATCTTCTTTGCTTTTAGCTATAATTTTATCAATTATACCAGTCAAATGAATTACAGGCTTTAGAAACTAGTTAGCTAAGATTAATGAGTATTTAATTTATATTAACAAAAATAACCAAGTTATTCCTAAAGTTATATAAGTGAACACCATATTATGTATTTTTATTTAATCTTAAATGTTCTATGAATATTATTCCATTTTTTCTT